TTTCATGTTTTACCCTCTTCCTAGCTGCAAAATGTGCCTCCACTAAATCCACTCAGGCTACAGACTCATTACACAGACAGAAGTGACTCGCATGGATCAAATACTGTACATAAGAGCCCACACAAAGGAGCTTTCATTTAACCGAGCCACTGAGTGAGGACAAACGTAACTTGAGCCTGGCTGTGATGAAACATGCTGTAGGCAGAAGCCGACATAAAAAAGCGTATTAGACCTTACTGCTTCTGAGAGGCACGCTGTGTTACCTGCAGCTCTTTTTTTAAACGTCTTGAATGATAGGCTTCGCCCCTTTTGAGATGGACTGCCAAGTGCTGGCACGCTTTTTGTCCAGACAAACTGAATACATTGCTTTTGAAGAGCGACGAGGGCTGGGGCAGAGGATTGGAGACTGGAATTCTAAAAAGACATGCACAAAATGTGTGATGAAACTTTCAGCACCACGGACAGCAGCCTTCAAGAAGTCTGACGAGTGGAGTGTGAGAGCGAGGCAGAGGGAGGGAAAAAAAAGAGAAAGAGAGATGGAGTAAAGTGGGAGGCAGTGAGTTCATTTGATAATTAAGCAAAGACATCATCTTCCCCACCCCACGCATTTCAGCTATCCCCATGTCTGCTCTTTGAAAAGTGAAGGCGCCTATCCCAAAACACACACACACACACACACACAAACACGCCAAACATTCCTGCGGCAAAACCCAGCTTTTCCACAGTTTTTCCCCCCCATCTCTGTGTCTTAGGCTGAATAATGCAGGGCCTTTACCCAGCGCTCAAGCATGAGTGGATAATCTGGCCACAAGGACAGGCTGTGTCAACATTTCCCTTTACTTCCTTATTTATTTATTTATTTATTTACCCACCCGCCGTAGGACTCGGGGAGGGCGAGGGAGGATATGTGCATGGCTAACAACATGCTGGTCCAGCAGATGACCTGCTTTCAAAAGGTTCACTTTTATTTTTTAACCAGGATTTTTAAGGGGTAGAGTACGGACTGTACCAAAGTGAATTCGGGAGATTAGACACAAGCTCCTTTTGGAAACCCAAATAGTTACAGCTCCCTGTGTCAGAAAGAAATGCAGAAACCAGTGCAACTCACGATCCCACTTTATCAGTTCATCCAAAAATACTGTCCTAAAACATAAAAACTAGAGACGGAAAAAAGTGAAACAAAGTGTCAACAGATTTTCATATTTCTTGTGTATTTTTCAGTGAATGCATCTTGGATTGACAGAACTGTGCTTCACCGTCGACAAGTTTTAAGACAGCCACGTTGGGTTGGATTTAAGTGGGTGGTTTTTCGACCGCCACTCCAAAGCTCAAAATGTCTGATTTACAATAAAATATCTAACTTTGAAGAGCATGTTTGCGAAGATAGAAGGCCTAGTGTTTGGTTTGATGCTTGACATAAAAGATGAGCTTTTAAAACCATTGGACGGATATATACAGTGGCTGTTTTTAACTGACATCATGAGATGAAAGTCAAACTTGTGTTTTATTTTAGAGAACTTATTATGCCAGTGATTTTGTGGGAGACACATTCACAAATTACCAGTATGGCAGACAGAATCACAAATGTTTAACTGATGTGAATATGCAAGACAATCGCCAACTTTAAAAGATTTAAAAGATAACTTTGCTCTAGATTCACTTCACAATCCCTCATACTGTTAAGGACACTTAAACATATGTCTACTCAGCTGAGTGCAGCTGACAGCGCTGCGAGTATCATTGACTATGGAGCTAGATTCTACTCAGCTAGTTATATAACATATTTCCTAATCACTCCAGAACTTGTTCAAAGTGATAAGACTCCCATAAGAGATCAAATGTTTTTGTTAAACATGAGGGGTGTTTACAATATCAGCTCTAAAAATGTAGGAACTTGCTGTAAAATCCACTCGCTTTGTGAGACTGGCAGCTGACAGAGGATAACTGCAGTGAATTACTGCGACACCCAGAAGTTGTTCTATCCCACAGAGATTATCCATGTCATTTCCCAGCATGTGTAATTCCAATTACCAAAAAAACAAAAAAAAAATCTGATGATTCATGGATTAATTAGAGTAAAATAGTGTTGTTTCTGTTGTTAGCTAACTTGGCTAGACAGAGGCTTGGTCTTCAAAAAGCATTCTCCTAAACTTTACTTTTCAGGGGAGGTCATCTTCTAGTCAGGGCTGCCCTATATTACCCTATCCTGGCACTTTGGATCTGGAATACTCAACCTAAAATTCGTCCAACTATTTTCTAACTATGGTCCCAACGAATGAGGGTGACAACATTTCATCAGTCAGTCAACTAACTGTACTTCTCCATCAAAACTACAGATGGATACCAATGAATCTGGGTCAGATCAGGAGGTTGATACATCAGTGTTGCTCTAAAAACACAGTTTTAAACATTTAAAGCTCCTGTAAAGACATTTTGAAAAGTAATGAAAGAGGTTATCTTAGGGCGCGTTCACACCTCCCTCGTTTAGTCCGGTTGAACCGAACCCTGGAGTGTTTACCCCCTTGGTGCGGTTTGTTTGGGTCAGTGTGAACGCTGACCTTGAACTCTGGTGCGGACCAAATAAACGAACTCTGGTCCGCCTGAAGAGGTGGTCTCGGACCGCTATCAAGTGAACTCTGCAGCAGTTTATTTCTGGCGTGAATGTCATCCACACACACTCCAGATGAGTAGCAAAAGCAAAATCAGCCTACAATGCTCCATGACAAGCGAAGACAGCAGAGCGGGGTTTGTATTCCTGCATAAACTAATGACCAATAACCGAACGATATTCACAGTCACGTGACTTCCGGTTCCATTCTCTGGAGTGATTGAGTTTGTCCTTTGTGAACACAAACTGGACCAGTTAAACAATCAAAACAAATGTATCGTCTTGCCCTGGATTCAAATCAGAAAATGGACCTTTAGGTGTGAACTAGGACTGGGCGATTATATGATCATGATTAATGATAGAGATAAATTCCAGTTCAATCATGGTGATCAGCTGTGAGCTTATTTACTCCATCAAACATGGCAAAAATGTGCATCACAACAGCCAATCAGAGTGGAGCTTTTCCTGCTCACTTCTGTAAGTTGCTGGACAAGTAAACAGAGTAACCGAACATGGACCTGAGGGCAGTAAAATAGATGTCACCCATGACTTTGAGTCATCCTCCAAAGATGTTGATGTTGAGAAGAAAAGTTATTTAACGTCTTATTTAGTATTTATCTACTCATTTTTTAGTTTTAAGTACAGATGCTTTAAAACTGGCAGTAAAAAAAAAAAATCGGGAAAATAATCGAGATCGGACAATATGACACAGTATATCAAGATCATCTTTTTGGCCAAATCGCCCAGTCCAAGTGTGAACACAACCTTAAACCCTGATGCTTCCACATGGCTTGCCTACAAAGTAAAACGGACCATTAGCAAGAACGGACCATAACAACATGCTAAGTTTGATAGCCAGTTTCAGCTGCCAACAGGTGGGTGATTAACAACACAAAAACAAAACAGCCATAGTTTGAATTTCTCACGACAATTAGCCACAGCGATGGATGTGTTTGATGTTTAAAAAGGCAGCAGGATGGAATATTTCATCAGGAAACACAACTCACACATGTGCAGGGCACAACACACGAAAAAAGATTAGGAGTACTGCTTTGTCCACGAGGGTCTCAAGGTCAACCTAATCCGAAAGTTCCTAACAGTGGCTTTAAGAACCACAAAGCACAGCTATGAACTTCTATTTTTAAACCCTCTAGCCAAAAACAAGGGGTGTTTGTGTGCGCAGCCAAAATCTCTGCTGCTTAGTCAATTCTTCATTGTGGATTTAACTGTCTTAAGTTTGTAAGTGTGCGGCTCCCAACTGATGAGCCAAAATCCATTTTGCAGCAGAAACTGCTGAGGCTTAATTGTTGCACATTTAAAAAGCCATTCACAATGACTTTGCAATTCTGAATCATGTTTGGGCTGCCTTTTGTTTGCTGTGCCTAAATAACTCATACAATATGACTCTTAGCACTGCCAATCGCAGGCTCAAGCATTAAGGGCCTAATCCTCTTTAATTTGTGATTACTTGTAATTCAAAATGGTAGCCCACTAAACCACGGGAGATTTATTGTTTGAATGTCCTCCTCCACTGTTTTGCAACCAGGATACTGATAACAGAAATAAATATCCTGTATATATATCCTGAGCTCTCATGGTGGCATTCAAGTAAATTACCATAAAAATCACTGTACAAATATTTTGGCATCAATCACTGAGCATAAATTGCTAAGTAGCTGGGAGCCCTCTTAGCATTCATAGTGAATGATTTCATTGGCATTCTTGTGGCAGATGACTTTAGCCGCACACATTCCTCACACAAATTGGAATGTGAGAATTAAGAGGGATTTCATACAGCACGATAAGTGTATTTTAAAGGCAGAACTGATTAAGCTTGAGGGGAGAGGGAGGAATTAGGTAATTATCTCCGAGCAGACACCACTGCTGCTCTGCTGTGTGAGAACAGGCCCCAGCACTCAGGGATCAAAGTGCTCAGCAGCAGCAAGTCTGTTCTCCACTACAAACTCAAAGTGCAACCCAAGTTTGCGTTACCTGATTTTTGCATAGACCTGGCAACCCATGGGTGTCAGGATCCAGGGATATGAAAGAGCTCCTGTCTTGTGATCTCTGCGTGAAAAGCATCACTCACATCACTGACTGAAGTAATATAACACTGAACATGACGCATTTCAGCTCCTTCAAAAGGAATGCCAAGTTTGTGTTTGCCTCTTATTTATTTATGGAATTCCTGGCATTAGATTTATTTTGTCTACTAGGTTAATTCATTATTGATTCCAAGGGCAGGATGTGTAAGCCTTTACAGAGAGAAGTTTCGGGAAGGAAACCTTTCAGAAAAGTAGATAGGAGACACTCAGTCGGCTACTTTTCCATTTCATTATCACTGTACTGCCAGGCTGCAAAAGTTAGTTGTTGATACTGAATTACACGCAAGTGGGGCAGGAGCGTCACACTCATTGACTAAGCGTAATTTTAGTTACCTCTTACCTCACGTGCCGAAAACTTAAGAGTGTGCTGCAAACTTATCTGATTATTTTTGGCACAATTTTGTTCTTTAAAGGCAAAGCCATGCGTATTTTCGTTGCGAGTAATACAGTTTTGCTTAAGGAGACTGGTGTCCTACCTGCTCGTAGCAATTCTCCCAGGTGAGGTTCAGGAGGCACGAGGAGAACAGCTCATCTTCGGTCCGGGCATAACCGTCCATGGTGTGCGTGTGTGTGTGCCAGCCGTCTCGGTCGAAGCTCTTATGCTGCAAATGGAGATATGTGTCTTCTGCTTGTCTTCCCTCGACGAGTCTGTATAAACGTGCGTGTGAGTCTCTCTCTCTGTGCCCAGCGTGCCTTCTCCGCCCGGCGCCGTACGAGCTGTATCAACCGAGCTGGCTGCTGCTTCCTCCGTCACGTGGGCGTCTTCTCCCCCCAAAAAAAGAAAAATAAAGTGGGATGCTTTCGGGGGCGGTGGTTTCCAAAGTGAAAAGTGTGGACGACGTGAAGGTGTCAAAGTGGGGTTAAAAGCACCCGAAATATGAGAAAGATAACTTAAAATTTACAGTAATTGACGGTGTTGTTCAGTGTTCACCTGTAGCCTCGTGCAGACCTACCTGAACACGCAATCAGGAAGCTTTATCAACTTCACCTGTGAGGCTTTTTTTTCTTCTTCCCCCAAACTTTCTTGAAAACATATTTATAAACAAACAAACAAACAGGCTGGACGTGCTTTCCTGTTTTTCAAATAAACTAAAGGATGCTTAAATATAAGTATATTTTGCACCAAAATCAAAATAAACATACAGAGGGATATATCTGTATGATACTTTTATCTTCATGGCCAAGGTAGATATGCCTTTTTTTCTTTTTTTTCTTTTTTTTTTTTTTTGGCATGCTATATTATCAAGACAGCTATGTTTACACTCATTCTGTTGGTTTGCAGGGAGGCAAAACATCTTGAAATATATGCAGATACACTAGTTAAAGACAAAACTATGATTGACTTGATGTCGTGACTTAACCCACTCTCCCCTATATTTAGTCTTTTGTATAAGCAATAGATCAAAAATAACTTCACTGTTGTTTACAGACTATTATGCAAAAGTATTTAGAGCTCCGTCTCCTGACTGGCAACAGCATAGGTCTTAAGCCTGCCTCTATTAAGATAATGAATGGAGCATGGGCAAAACTATAAATTGAAGTACACATAAGATTAACTTTTCAAAACATGGTTTCACATTTTGTGACCATACTGCTGTATGTTCTTCTGAAACTTAGGTCAAACTTTTCCTTTTTCTGAGAAGTTCATTTTTGTTGGTTATTTGTAGCTTTAGTGACAAATTCAGGCACCCGTAGCACTCTGTAATGGGACTTTTAAAAGTCACTAACTGCTGCTTTGAATCAGCTAAACAATAGCTGCTATGAACTTTAAAAAAAAAAAAAAAAGAGGGGGGCTGATGACAGTCCCAAGGCCAAATCTGTTGCCTTTACACATGCTGTTGTTCCACCTGCCCAGCTCCAACATGGCAGTATCCATCAGGACTGTATTAAGGCTTCATATCCCATGATAAGAGAAGTATGGAGATGTGGTGTCCATATTAATATACAGTTAATGGTGCAAAACTTAGCACCAACCCCTGCATGAACTGTAGGGCCACCCCAGTTAAAACAGTATTGATACATCTGGTACATCTGACAAAAATAGAATGAAGAGTCAGCACAAGAATGACAAATTATTTATTTGCATAATGCGATAGATACAAGATACAGATACCATTTCTTCTTTTAAAATGTAAAACTATTTATTTTGAGGACATTTCGCATCCACAGTGCAACCCCACAAGACAAGGATTTGACATTCACTCAGGACTGTGTAGGCATGCAGTCTGATTTTGATTGACATCTTCCTCACTCCTCCTTACGTTTTGTCACACCTGTCACTGCGGGGCGAAACCTTTATGAGCTGTTTCCTAGAACAGGTATACAAAGACAGGTGACATTATGAAATTTCCTGCATAGCTCTGCTTTTAAGTCCATCAGGCAGAATAACAATAAACATGATCTCTTTCTGCTCTTGCTTTACTTACCTGCATGATTCAATCGCACAAATTTTAACACAGCCCATTGCACCACTGATACATCTAGCCTGGGGCTTATTAGCATTACGTTATTAACAAATTAGGTGTTACTGAATTAGAGCAATACAAAGAACAGCAAGCTTATTAATAACTGTGATAAAAGATAACTTCTAAATTGTCAAGCTCAGTAGCATTTCATATCTTTGGTGAAAGCTAAAAGCTAAAATTTAATTGTAGTAGCTGAACAAATAGGACCACCACTGCTGTCACAAAGGGAGCTAAACTGTAGCACATTTAAATTTAGATATCAGGTTGTTCTAATAATATTAATAATTATAATTATAATGTGTTTCATTAAGTATCTTTCTAAACCAGGAGGAAAAGGCTGTACAATAAAAGAAAGTTTTAGTGCAGATTGAAAGAAGAACACAGACTGAGCTAATCAAAGGTTCTAGAGCTTAGGGGCCCAAACAGCAAAAGCTTGATCACAATGTCATGGAAACTAAAGTTGTTAGACATCTAGTGTTTGATATCTATAAAGCAGGACGATATGAAAGACACATCACTACAGCTGGACTTCAGTGGGACATATGGTTCAGTAATTGAATATTGTATTTTACTAATTATCAGACCTTGTGGGCGAAGGTATATTAGAAATAACAGTGGACCTAGAATGGAACCCTGTGGAACCTCTTATGTCTGATCAAAACTTGCACAAAAAAGTTTATTTAGTTCCAAAAGCATCATTGTATACTCATGCAGGTTTGTGAACTGATTAACTTTGTACTGTCTGACTGAAGTCTGACAAAAACGTACCATTTTATGACTGTAACACCATAGCTGTATATTGCTTTTCAAAATATTTCCCTGGTTTAATCACTATTTCTTATATCTTATTTAAATGTTAATCATGAATGCTAAGACATTTTAATTTTAGTCGGAGCTGTGCACCATATCTCTAGTGCAAAAGAAGAGATGAAATACAATTCTGTTGCATTGAAGGCACAGATTACTGCAGAACAACAGCACCACGCTGTCAATATACCATTTAAACAAGATATTTTCATTGATGATGCTTTTTTTCTGCAAACTAAAACTTCCATTATGTTTGCTTTATTTTTGCCTCGATGTGGCATTTGCATTCTTATTGTTTTATTGACTTACACATTTAGAGACTATTGAATATATTTTCCTTCAGCCCTTCATGGTACATCTAATATGGAAAGCGTGACAGATTTGAGGTAATATCCATAGAGCTTTGGACAAAAGTTAAAACTGTCTGCTATTAGAATAAATGTAAGCAAACTCTCCTCTTTGAGTAAAAACCTGCGCTGTATTGTACTACAGAATATATGAGCCACGTGCAGCCATGCTGAGCACAGAAAACCTTTCAATTCTCTGCAAACCGTACAAGCAGATCCGCTAGCAGGGCTCATTTAGACTCCTGTCTTTTAGCACACTGTTTACTGTGATGTGAGAGCCATGCAGCAAAAAGAGTCTTTTTTTTTTTTTTCTTGTTCATCACTTTCCTCACTGGCCTTCTTGTTTGATCAGATGAGTTTGCTACGCATGATCTGCACCCGTTTGAAGTGTGGTCAATTGGCACAGCGCTGTGCACTTTCCCTTTTTCCTGGAGAAGCTGTGGAGAATTTACTGCAGTGGTGAGAGAGTGGAAAGATAGAAGATGACGGTTAATGTTCCCCATGGTGATTGTCTGTAATATAACCTACATAGTCAATCTAATTAACCTTAACACAGCCTGAAAGCTGTGTCAATAGCAGAAATTATGAAATAAAAAAACATTCATGACCTTATTTTCTCTACATTGGAACAAATCTTGTTTTCAAAGATAAATTTGAGTGATTTTGATTGTTGCTCATTTGAATGGAAATGCATTATTGCGGTGAAAACACGGTGAACAAACTAAGTGAAGGAAAGTAGGGCCCACTCTGCAGGTAGAGAAAAAGAATGATGCAAGCAAAATGAAGAGCAGTTTGTTCTTTAGCCTTATCTGTCACCATCGATCATAATCTGTCCTGTGCTGTAGATTAATTTAAAGATTATGGAGTGCCATACATTTGCACGGTGCAAGGCAGTGCCAAGGCAAAAGAGGAATCACAAACCGTACAGCTGCCCCGCTTTGGAATATACCGCACAGCTCAGCTTGTTCGTTTATTCCTGCCTGTTTCCTCTGATCTGTTTCTTCGTCTTTTTCCCACTGACACATGAAAGCTTTTCACGGAACCAAATCAACAGCCTGAGATAATTCAGTGTGACAATGTAACAATTGTGTTAGTGTGATTTTATGTGGGGGTATTTCTATCATTTCCACACATCTCATGAAGGCTGCAGCAGTGAAAGTGGGTGAAAGTTCAGGACAGCTCCCGATGAGAAGAAATAAATAGGTCAAATCAAATATTCTCTCCCTCCTTTCCTACAGGTAGCGGCAGCACATCCTTCGCACAGGTGCCCACAGTCGTCGTGGAGTCATTTCAAACTGGCAGCACATTTTAAACATGCAGTCTACATGCTACATCTCCCCTACATAACCAATTTATCAAGCCTAACCCGGTGGTACGTGCATATACTCCCCTATCACAGAGAAGGCTGGAAAGCAACTGTCATAGATGGCGTGATTGAATTGTTCCCTTGCACTGTCACCAGAGGGGCTATTACTTCAAATTAGCATACAAATTCAAACCAGGACAGATGGATTTGTCACATTCCAGTCGCCATCTTCCTGGAAGATTGGCTGTGCTTGTGCTGTGTGATGGAGATAAGACACCTGTCTGGGCTACGATTGGCGGCAGGGCAGTTGGTGGTGCTTGTGGTGGCGGCGGCGAGGGGAGGAAGGAAGGACCAGCGTGGGGTGGGAGGAGGAATGGGTGTGGGGATGGATTTCCTGAAATGCTGAGGTGTTCGGCAATAAAGTTCCCTACCCACGGTCTCAAATGATGATGAGGCACCATCCAGGACTCTGTGGGTGGTGGAAGATTGAGCTGGAGCGAGGTGGTGATTCACACTGTTTGGAAACAGGCTGAACAATACCTGTCTGGTATTTGTTTGTGTTTGCTACTTTTGGTGAGTTACTGTCAAAAAGCCACATAAAATGGTCTCTTGCGTCGGCACAGGTAGCAAAGATGGGTGTTATGAAAAGCTGTGGGAGGTAAAGTACAGTATATCCATGACCTTAGAGAACTTTCAGCTCGTATAGCGCAACAGAAAGTAAACTACTTCTTATTCCAACTCAGTAAAACCGCTACACGGGGACTGTGTGGACCTCTATCTACCAAAGGGATTTCCAGAAAGACAAGGGACTTTGGGATAAAGTAACTATATCTCTACCTCGGGATCTTTCCCAAAGGACTAGGGACTTTTGGAATAACTTGGTATGTGTTCGTGGCAGGGACTTTCCCAAAGGACTTGATAATTAAGAAGGCAAGTATTCATTTCTGCACCAGGAACTGTCCCAAAGGACTTGAGACTAAGAAGTTTGGTATGTTTCCACTTCAAGGACCACAATCAAGATCCAGGATCTCTGTATCCCAGGGACTTGCTTCCACCACCCAAAGGGTCCCTGCAGGTACAGGTATACTGTACCTGCATACATTTGTTTCCACCACAGGGAATTTTCCATATGACTTGAAAAGGTATTAAGTACTTTTCCACCTCAGAGACTTTTCTGAAAGACAGCAGGGACCATGGTCAAAATAAATTCCCAGGGACTGGATTTTACCCCAAAAACAGAAATTTCCAGAGGATTACTGACTTTGAAAGGTATTTAGGACCTCAAGAACTTTTTGTTACAGACTTAAAATTATGAAGAACCTTCCTACTGCTGGGACCATGGTCTAGAAAAAGTTACAGGGGCTGGATTTTAACCCAAACAGTCACTGCTAAGAGGGAATACAGGAACCTCATCCAAAACCAGGCACTTAAGTACTTAAATTTTTACCCATTGCTGAAATTATCCTTTGGGATTTAGAACTTGAAAACAAGGTCCCTGCTCGAGTGACTTGCTGTCTGAAAGTACAGGAACTTCAGGGTGTGGCTTGCAGCACTGAACATGTCATCCTGTTTTATAACACACAGCACTAGAAGACTCTTTTACAGCTGAGCAAGTCTTATGAGTCAGTTCTGACAGATAATCTGATCCTTGAAAGTCTAGATAACAATAGAATGTAAGAATCTATGTTCCCTTTACCTAGGATTAAAAGTTCTTGGTAATTTTGGTGGAAACGCAGCTAACACTGTGGTCTCTACCCTCATATCAGACACTAACAAAATACAACTTGGAGACATAATGATTTTCATTTGTAATTATGGTAGTGTGAATCAATGTGCAGCACTGAGCATGAAAAACTGTCCTTACCTCAGGATCAATCCCATATAATTTCCAGATCAGCTCAAACTAATGGGTTTTCTATTGGCTTCACTTTGTGGAGAGACTAATCTCTCTGGCACTATTCAGTGCTTCTGTGTATGTTCCCCAGCAAAAGGCCATCCAATCTAAAAACTTGACTCCCAACAGTCCAAAAAATATTAAAGCACACATGCTAATTTCCTGACTTAGCATATTACAGAATCTGCAGGCTCAATTTAAAACTCCCTTAGCAGGTCCAGTATCTCAGTCTGCCTACCTCCAGACACTACAGAGATTGTGAAAAATGCTTACTGGCTCATTTCTGCCTCTATCCTCAGGTCAATGTTATGTATATTCCCTTACAATTGATGTTAATATGAGATGCAGAACAGAGGAAGGTAAGGTTATGCTATCATAAAGGCTACTGCCCCGAACTAAAGGAAATTTGGATTAGAAGCAGTTAAATAAATTGCTTTTTTGAAGGCGATGGAAAAGACAGATGAAAACAGAATGGGGTCTTTGATTTGCATTTGTCATTGTGCCCAGACAAGGTATAGCTCAAAGTTGGTTGATAAAAGAATAATCTTGCTTTTTCATGCCTCAAACTGTTCTGCACAGTACAATCTATCTACCTGGAGATGAAGAAAGTCAAACTGTAGATTTCTGTTTATTCATGGATAGGTCAATCAACACATAATGTACTTCCTACGGTGATAAGTGATTCTCTTAATTTTTTGTTGTATTAAAAGTTGCCTTTACATTGTAGTTTGCTTTTTGCTTGTTGGAAATTCAAAACATGAAAATTGAATTTCACTTCTTGCTTTTCTAAAAACCAGCAACTGTCTGTGTTAAAATCATAGACTGTATACACTATGGACAACTTGGCTCTGCCTCCTGCCTGTATACGGATTTGAAGCCACTAAGCTCTCGATTTATCTACATTTCCTGAAACCAGCATTGTGCAGCAGCATTGTGCAGCAGCGTTGTGCAGCAGCGTTGTGCAGCAGCGTTGTGCATTCAGCGGGAGAGTCACCGAGAGTTGGTGTGATGACGCTCTGCTCAAACAGCGTATCCCCTGGGTGAGCTACGCAATCCCTCAACGCCAATAGGCTGTATCAGGTGACAATCATAGAAAACATGAACCCCCTAATAACTTTTAAAATGGAGCTGCACAGAAAAAAAGAGGATTTGAGCACAAACCAGTCTTACTGAAACTTCAAGTCAGTGGAGTGGCTTCACCCAGCAAGGAGGCAGACGCTGTCCATTCTATATACAGTCTATGGTTAAAATAAACCCGAGAGGAGTTGTGAAAAACTGCAGTTCCTTAAGTGTCCACTTGAGGCTGGCTTCAACAGCTCACAAACCCCATTCACATCCATGTTTAGTTTACTTTTTTGAAAAGCAAAATGTGTTAGCTGCTTCATTATCACATTGTGTGGGGGTTAATTTCCATTTCATGCTTATATTTTTTAGATACTTTTGTGAAAATATATACATTTTAGAGTTATAGAGCAGTCAGTCGCCAAACCCTGCCAATAAAAATAAGTATTTACCGACAGTCAGCCTTCAAACTTAAGGTCTAGTTTGTGGTTATAGGTCAAAAACAACATCAAAACTTAACCCATGTTCAACCTCAGGAGTCTCCAAAATACACAGAATTCATCTAATATCGTTTTTGTTTTTCAATTTGATCTTGGATCCTACATCTCAAAAGCTTAATACATTTTTGACTGTGGTTCTGCCTGGTGCTCTAAGCGTGCACCCCCTGGGCTCTGGGCCTCTAACATAAAAAATAATATTGAACTTATGTCACTGAAAATTTCCCTCGTTATTTAGATCACTGAGGGACTTTGAATTCCTGCTCCTCCCAACTGCGAGCTTTACCTTCCACATTAGAGAGACACCGACACAAAGCAGAACAGCCAGCACAGGCTCCAGCACAGCAGGGATTTCACACTGATCTTGTTCCGAAACATTTGTAATTAACATTCCCCCTCACTCCGACTGTTTCTGAAGCTATCAATATCCTAGTAAGAAGATTTAACTTCCCTGAAGAGCTAGGAAACGAGCTGGATTTAGCAGGTCAGAACGTGATTGCTCAGTGCGTTTGTGTGTGCGAGTGCGAGGGTTAAGTGAAAAGTTTATGCGTAGATTATCCTGTTATTTTAATGCTGACACTGGAAAAATGTTTTATTACAAAATCATTTTATTAAGTTGAACAGTGACAGGGAAAAGTGGGCGGGCTGTCCCACTTAATATCTCCATGACAGGAAAATAATACATGATGATGTCTGCGCCAAAATACAGTATAAATTATGTTTGTTAAAAAGCGTCTCTCAAAGGCGTGATGCTGATTCTGCAAGAGGAGAAAAATGTGAAGAAATTCAAAGTAGTGACCTTGTATGGATGAAATTTACACAAAAATATCATGCATTTGACATGAGTGGTAAATAATAAAACCACCATTAGATAACCAGGTATTTACAGTACGTTTCAAATAGTGCTAACCCTCTTGTGTTAAAAAAATGGCACAGGAAATTACATGAGATACAGAGAAGTAAATAAAAATATCAAACGAGGTTAATGCTGGGAATAAAAAAGAACAAAGGTCTCTGAAAAGGAGTTCAGATTTTCCTTTGTGCTGATTCTGCAGCACATGCAAACCTTCTTAGTACTGAGTGTACTCCTTGGATGAGACTTTTGCAATGATGCGCTCCAACTGTCTCTTAGCTTCACACTGGGGGAAGTTACTCATCTCATAGTACTGCGGGGCAATTTTCAGCAGCCTAGGAAGGAAAGCGAGTAAACATTATTCACAAAAAAAGAAAAAAAAAACACGTCTTCTGTGTTTACTTGGGGCGGGGGGTCTTCTTACAAGCCCAGACTCGATGAATTTGATGCCTAATTTTTCAAGGTCAGAAACAACGAAAATATGAGTCATGGGAAGCCAGAATTTTTTGCTTTTAATTAGCAAACTGTACACAGTGCTGGTACAGAGTCAGACTTTGAATACATCCCAGCTCATTTGAAATGCTGTAAATAAAAACTACAGATTTACAGATTTTGATTTTCCCAAAAAAGTAGAAAAAACAACAAAACTTAACTTTATTGTATAAAGGAAATAAAGGCAGTGTATGTAGCTGCTGAGCATGAGATTTTCTGCCTGTTTCTGCCTGTTTTGTGACCGTGAATTGATTATTTCTGTGCGCCAATCAATGTGCAGAGATGTGGAGCTCACAGTCCACAGGTCAGGACTAAATGAAGACACAAAGGGACCAGGTGAGATCACGCTCTCTCTCTGCTCTCCGTTAGTCTACAGCAGATGCAAATGTAACTTTTTCATCTTAATGAGGCGCCAAAGGGGCTTAACAAAACGCTGATATTAGCGGACCTGTGGATATCAACAGTCTGAGTGTGTCATGGCTGTTTACAAAGGCACATCAGGAAGGATGGAGAGCAGCTGTATGCAAAAAAATATCAGTTTAAAACTTCTTTCCCCAAAAACAAACGTAGCACCGAATGAAACCTACCACTCTGGTTTGATGTCAGCGCACGTACGGATGTAGTTCTTGCTAGTGAGCACAAACTCGTTGTAAAGCACCCACTCCGGCTTGTGGTCCAGCACAGTGGACGGGTGCAGCTGTACGACTTGGTTGTCCTTCACAGTCAGGTAATGGCCTGTGCGCTCCAGGTGAGCGATCTGTTCACACCGCAGAGGGGAAAAAAAAAAAAACACTGAAATCCAGACAAAGCAAAAACAAACACATGTACAAACCCTTAACCCTTATCAAATGTCATCAATAATTGATAGCAAACTTGTTTGTAATCTGGCAGTGAGAGATTTTCCCCCTTCTTTGTAGGTATCACGTAAAGCTGTGGTGACTGTTGTGATTAAGCAAAGCAATCAGTCTCCATAAATTCAGAGCCCAGCAAAGACATGATCTCAAATGCTGCGAAAGCCCCAACACGAGCCGCAAATTTGTCTCCGGGATAAAGGTTAATGTTGACAAATATTCAAATATTAACACCATAATTCAACTTGTCAGGCTGCTTGTTTCAGGTAGCCCCGAAAATGGCTTCTTGCAAAATGCCATTTGTTTCCTTGAGCGAGGAGCAAATTGGCTTGATTCTTTATTTGTGTGTTTAAAGGGAAGCAGCTCTGTGTGTGTAAGTGTGAGAGTGTGTGCGCCTTTATTTTCAATCTGAGGGCAGTTATCCATTACAATAAACATGTTAGCTGCGACCACATATTTTTTAAACCATCAAAAACTAAAAGGGCAAAGATGAAGTACCCTGAGGAAGAGGTGGAGGATGAAATAAAAGAGCACACGGAGGAAAGAGTAAAAGGAGCAGATTAACACTTTTGGACAGCAGGTTAAAAACGCACATTTACACTTTAAATAAATGCAAAAATATGACGCTGCTGTGACTGACCTGCATGAAGAATCCAGTGACCAGCGCTCTGCGGATGTTGATGTAGTAATCCCTGCTGCAAAACTCGGTGCTCCGCCTCGGCAGGTTGAAGCGGTCCATGATCCTGGACAGCTGCTGCCGCACGTTGTCTGCTGACATCAGCGAGCGGTAGTTGACAAAATTGTCGTAGCACCACTGAGTGGACTCGTGGTCTGTGTAAGACAAGCACAATCCAGAAATCAGGACAGAAATTCTCTATTCATAACAAGAGGGACAGAGGTATACGAGAGGTGATGCTCACTCTGTTTGAAGGCATGGTAGACGTTGAGCAACGTCAAGTGGTCTCCATCCATGTGGGCGAAGTGAAGCTTGGACTCGTCTGCCATTTTCTTAGCCTCGACAGGTCGGACGAAGCACTGTGGGACTAGACAAGGTTGGTATAGGCCCCAACACAGCCGCCCATAGGGAAAAGTTAAGCAAACCCCACAGAGAGGAAGAAGGCCTCAGCTGAAGAGAGGCACAGAGCACTTCAGGGGGAAAACTGCATGTGAAGTTTGTAAGGCGGGAAAGGAAAGGAGAGGAAAGGAAAGGAAAGGAAAGGAAAGGAAAGGAAAGGAAAGGAAAGGAAAGGAAAGGAAAGAGAGGAGGTGAAGAGGGAAGGAAAAAAGTGGAAAGGAAACGAAAGGAAAGGAAAGGAAAGGAAAGAAAAGGAAAAGAAAGGAAAGGAAAGGAAAAGGAAAAGGAAGGAAAGGAAAGGAAATGAAAGAAAAGAAAGAAAAAGGAAACGAACAAAAGGTAGGGAAAAGCAGAAAAGGACAGGAAAGTAGTGGAAAGGGAAGGACAGGAAGGGAAAAGAAAGGAAAGGAAGGAAGGGAAAGTAGTGGAAAGGGAATGAAAGTAGTGGAAAGGAAAGGAAAGAAAAGGAAAAGAAAGACAGGACAGGAAATGAAAGGAAAGGAGTGGAAAGGAAAGTAAAGGGCAGTAAAAGGGAAGGAAAGGAAAGGAAAGACAGGGCAAAAAAAAAAGGAATGAAAGGAAAGGGAAGAAAGGAAAGAAAGGGAAGGATTGGAGAGGGAAGGGAATGGAAGGAGTGGAAAGGAAAGGAGTGAAAACTAAAGGAGTGGAAAGGAAAGATGTGGAAAGGGAAGGAAAGGAAAGGAAAGGGGTCGAAGATGAAGGGAAAGGAAAGGAAAAGGGTCGAAGAGGAAGGGAGAGGATGGATTTTCTGACCTGAAATGCTGAAGTGACTTTAACATGATAAATTTGACATATAACACTCAGTCTATACAAGAATCCCATCTTATTGACCCGATACTGCAGATAAATAAAACACTGGTGTGGAGTTTACTCAGCCATCTCCCCTCTGTGAACTTGCTCTGAATTGCTTAACGTCAACCCCGCTCGGCTTCAGCTGTAATGGCTGAACGCTGACTTTTATTGAGTCTCATGGTTGGTTGCAGTGGCGGCACGGTTCTCAGGTGTGCTTTCGCTGCTTACTCTAATCAACTCAGCAAAAAGCTGCCATCCTGAAACACCTGCTTTAAGTGCAACGCCACATCCAAACAGCTAGTTAAATCCATTTCCCCGCTCTCAAAGACCCCTCGCACTTCCTTCAAAGGAGCCAAGATTCATCTCAATAAGCAGCATTCTGCTTTGGCAAGCCTAAAGAGCAATTACTGCTGCTACTGCTGCTCCAGCTACACTACACGTTTTGTACAGGCATGTATTTTCCCCCTTTCACACAAATAATAGCTGACTCCTGACTTTGCCCTAAACTTGCCTTACAGTGAAGTTCAGTGTGCACACATTACATTTGATCCAGTATTGAGGCCCGTTTGGTGTTGACACAGATTTAATTAGAAGTACATTAAATATGTGAAGTTTTCTTTAACTTTTTGAATAACTTTAAATGTTGTTCTCATACAGTGAAAACCTTGAAGTGAAAGAGTAGATACAAACCATTTTTAAACAGTTGGGACATAACTACAGTACAGAATATCTTCAAATGACACAAAGAATCTGGAGATATCGCTTTACAAGAGGCGTCACTGCTTTTGTACATATATGACTCTGTAGTGGGAATCCCTGCATGAGCTCAACATCACTTCTAAACACCACACTTCAAACTCCAAATATTGAGCTGCTGAAATCCTGTATCAGGCTTAAATTTCACTTCTTTTTCTTTTTTTTTTTTATTGAGTTCCATGCTTCCACCACAGGGTACATAGCTTTTTACCAAACAATAGCATTACATATCATACCATACCGTAACATAACATAACACAATTGATCACAATCTACATTCTTCCTTGGTGGTGCCGGAATAACATGAAACCCTTCAAAACTGTTCAATTTAAAATGAGCATCTGATAACACTCAGCATCATTTTATATGTTTTCTCTGCAACCATTTAACGTCAATACTGGGTTTAACTGATTTGTAAACCATTAAAATCTCTTGACATCAACTTTTCACAAACTAACTTCGCTAACTTTTTGGGGATTTGGTTTATGAATAAATGTCAAGTTTCAGCATGCAACTTTTGGTCAGTCATCTTGCTTTTCAGTGGATTGTGCATGTTTTTGGTAACTTGTGCAGAACTTGAATCATCTTTTTCTTTCCCTTTCAAAGTTTTGCATCAACCCTCACATGGCGGGCCGGCCCCTGAGTATTACCTGACAGCATGGCGGTGATGGACAGGACCTCATTGGAACAGTTGAATTCGCAGCTGGCGATGACCATCTTGGCCAGCTGAGGGTCCAGGGGGAACTCGGCCATCATGGAGCCCAGCTCAGTCAGGTCACCGTTGTCGTTGAGCGCCGCCAGGTAGTTGAGCAACTCCAGGGCTCGCATCAGGGTCTCTGGGGCTGGGGGAGACAGAAATGGGAAGAGACGGGCTGTAAATGTTTGTGTTCCAAGCCCATGGGCAATCACACACAGAGGTAACAGAGAGGGAGCAAATGACACATCTGCCATTTTTTACATCAGGACAATTTGGAGCTTTACTTCCACCTGTGTCAGGAGTGATTAATGCTCTGCGGCTGCAAGTTGAAACTTGATCTGAAAGTATTAATCAATCCGCTGAAAACTAATCTCTGTGAATTTAAAACAAAGGTTTCACAGGGGCTTTAAAAAAGACTGACATTACTTTCTGTACTTGCACCTTTTGTAAGATGCAAACACAGTGTGGGGGCACATTGGCAGGGGACATCACGATGAAGAGAAGGCTCTCTGTATGTGATGGCCAGGGTTACACCAGACAGCAACTTAGTGGAGAAGTAATCATGGCAGAGCTCATTTTTCATCCTCTCACTCAGGCAATCCTGAACAACGAATGCAATTACGAGGGGAAACTTTCTACTTAATGCTCCAACACAAAAGGCTTCCACCGTTTGGTTAAAAGATTTTTCCTCCAGATGCAATTATTGACCTTTGGCTCCTGTGAGCTGAAGCCTAATGACCAGTTGCATGTTAACTGAAAATTAGCTTCAAGCACTGGCTACCAGCTCGTTCACTTTCATTCCTCTGAAGTACTCCTAAAGGAAAAAAAAATTCAATTTCAAACAGCAGGGAGGCATTTTTTTATGATTAGCAAATATTGATTTGGGGCATCAAAGCTTGCTTTTTTGGGGGAGTTGGTCACATTATTTACCACACCAACGGTGTGGAGCTAAACAGAAGGTGAAAAACCTGATTTCCAAGTACTGTTAGCATGATGAACCAGTGTGGAAATTCAATCTATACACAACGCAGTTCATCAGAAAGTAAGTATCGACTGCCTCAACACACAAGAATCCGATATATTAACCAAGGGCCAAATCAATGGGACAAAAGGCTAAAGGTACATTAAACCACATTGGCTTTGAAAGGTTCTTCTTTGGAAATGTCACCAGGCAAATAAATCCCACCCAGGCAAGTCCCTGTGTAAATCACGACTGATTTCTTTTGGATTTTCCATTTGGTTTGCAGACTCATGCTGTTTCTTTTGTGTTGAGTGAGGAAGAGGAGAAACAGAGTGGATATTTGAGCATTTCAGAGTAAAAAGGAAAATTTAAGTCCCCTTGTTAACTCTGAGCTTTAAAAAACAGGTTTCTCGAACATCTATTCCTTGTGATGCTTTTATTTGGTCTTCTTGTGGCCCTAAGTCTAAGGTCTTTCAATTTCTTTTGATTCAAGGGGCTTTTATTTTGCAAGAACTAAGCGACACAGCTTAAGTAAATATGTAAAATTAATGGAGGAGAAATGAGACGTTTTGTTTTGGCACCTTCTAAAAAAGAATAACATTACTTTTAATGGAAAAACCACAATGGAAAAATATGACTTACATTTTCATGAGATGAACACTAAAATTACTGTCGTAAACTCTACTTTAATTGGGATTTAAGCTATTGACATGTTCTCTCTTATTTTTGTGTGTTTAATGATGAGTTCTATGTAGTATATTGGATTTTCTATTTTCTTAAAATCATTCGTGTACGGGTGCATCAATAAAAGAATACTGTGTGTGTTAGTAAAGGCGAGGGACTGGTTGAGCATGAAGAGAGATGGGCTGTTAATAGCAGGACTACACAGTGAACAACATTGGTCTGTCATCATGAAATCTGTGTTCAACAAAGAAATATGATCACCAAGAAAAAGTTGATTTAAGAACTTTGGAGAGCTTCTTAAGGAATGGACTGAGGCTAGTGTTGGTGTTTTATCAGGAAAGTCTTCAGGAAAGGGACAACAAGTGTCACAACTGTAATGTCAAGTCTATCTAACCCAAAGTCAACTTCAGAGGTGTCAAACCTGGACTGAGGAGAAAAAGGACAGGATATTTGCTCACAGGTTCAAAGTCCTGTTCTCAGATTAAAGTAAATTTTGCAATTTATTTGGAAATCAATGTCAGCCCACTGGCCTGACCTAAACTCCATGGAGAATCTATGGAGAAATATCAAGAGGAAGTAGTCTGGACCAGTCAAGCATCAGCAGGCAGCATCCTGAGTCTCATTGGCGATGATTAAGACTGTTTATGTGTCTCTACAAATAGATAACTGCAAGCAATTGCAGTAAACAATCAAACAATGTGAGTGACAAAGCTGTGACACTGAGTTTCCTTCAGCCATTCATCATTGAGTACTCTCCACCAAGCCAGAGTGAAGCCCTTGTATTACTAGAGAAATACAGTAATGTGTGCAAACTTAAGACCAAATTAATGCAAGTAAATCATAAGAAAATAGAAAATTTCTAAGCTCTCCTGAGAAAAGACATGACAAAGTTGACATCAAGATTGATCCACCGTAACAGCAGGCGTTATGAAGCTCCGGTCCAGGAGCCCTAAAAGGCTCCTTCGTTGCCCTGAACTAGCTCCAGATTCCATCGTGCTCTCTTGGCTAGTTAGGAGAAACCTTCTACTGCGAGTGGATCAAATAAATAACAGGTAATCCTCCCCTTTCCCTTCACCTCACTGTTCCCAGTTAGACTCAGCAGACAAGGCCAATCCCATATGTTGCTGCTTACCCTTCTCGTTTTGTGAGAAATGTGGGGGTGGGCGGCGGAGGTCGGTCACGTTTCACTGGAGGAATATAAAGGGAAGGCAATAGCTAAGGTGATAGTGCTGCTATTGATGTAACCAATTTCATTCTCAAAATGGCGTTTGCCACAGTGGACGGGGAGAGATGGGTTTAATCTCAGAGGTGAGATGAAAACTATATTATGGTGAGAAAAGGGGGGGAGGGAGGGGGAGGTTAAGGATGGGGAAAGGAGGAGTGGTGGTCCTCTTTGGAAGGTGTAGGAACACACACTCTGTGGGAGAACACCATAACTTGATGCCTTACTGAGACTCCTCTGTTTTTTAACCTAGATCTGGCATGACTCAGACATACAAGAAATAAAAAATAGATTGAAACACAAACTGACTGATCAGCCTGAATCTGAACTCCTCACATCACTCCCTTTTCTCACTTTGAACAACAATAATCTAAACTTAAAACAGACATCTCATAAAAACTGCATATCCACTACTGAGCAGCGCATGTCTGTCAGAGCACTTACACCCAAACCTCCTAACATTCAATATGCAGTATTTGATAACTGCCGTGCAAACTTTATCTTTGCTTTGTCATCTTTTCCCTGGAGTTTCCAAGTGACTAAGTCACAAATCTGACAGACTTTTACCTGCAGAGCAGAGATGTCAAAACTGCACCAAAATGATGTTTGAATATTCGTTCTAAAAAAACTCAAAGGTTCGAACATATTCAAATATTTAGCTTACACAGCTGGCACACAACTGTATCTCACTCAGCATTTTTTCCGTCTGCTGTGTCTGCCCAAAATCTGAAGAATTTTCAGGGCTTGACCATAGACTGTATATACTATGGACAACTTGGTTCCGCCTCCCGCCTGTATACGGATTTGAAGCCAAAAAGCTCTCCGTATTTCTGTGATTTTTCTTTATTTTCTGAAACCAGAACTGCACAGTAGCGTTGTGCGCATTCGGCAAGGGAGTCTCCAAGAGTCGCTGTGTTGACACTCGGCTCAAACAGCGTATCCCCCGGGTGAGCTACGCAATCCCTGAATGCCAATAGGCTGTATCAGGTGTCAAAAAACATGTCAGAAAACATGAACCCCCTAATAACTTTAAAAACGGAGCTTCACAGAAAAAAGAGGACTTGAGTACAAACCAGTCTTACTGTAACTACATGTCAACATCACAAGAAGGGGGGAGAAAAATTTATGTTCTGTGTAATAAATTTCTAAAGTTTGTCCACAGCTCCATAAGCTTTGCTGGCAGAGGCGGGATTTATGACCTATACTGCAGCCAGTCAACAGAGGGTGCTATTCTGTCTGTCGGATATGCAACCTAAAACTAACTTCACCCCAGTATTCACATGAAAAAACATTTCATAAAAACATTTTTATGCGCACATGTGCCCCTAAGAATATCTTACAATTTGCACACATCTATTTTTAGTCGCAAATGGGAGTGAAACAGTCAAACTGTCGAGCCCCGGTTTCCATACGCATCTTCTAAAGTTCGACCGCCTTCTCCGGGTTTGGCTCTGTTCTTACAGTGCGCTAGCTCACAATACAGCCGCTGGTTTTTTTTTCCCTTTTTTTTCCCATTCCATTTTTTCCTGCTGTTTACTTCATATTCAAACATTAATTTTCACATTTGTATCTCTGTTTTTTTTTTAATTTTCAAATATATATTTGAATTTAGAATATTCGTTGACAGCACTACTGCAAAGTGACTGTGATGAGAATTTTCACATTTCACATAAGCACTCTTCAAATATCAACCGTAACTGCACTTGCCGTATGCTTTCATAATTTTTTAATGATACTGACCTGGTGGGTCCATGAAGTCAAAGTGCACCAGGTCGTCGATCCCCAGTTTCTTCAGCTGCAGCACCACAGAGCCCAGATTAGACCTGAGGATCTCTGGATAAGTGTTGTCCTAAGCCAGTAAAGAGGTGCCAGAGGAAACCAGAGGAACAATTCAAAATGAATTAGTCAGGGCACTTATTATCTCCTCACGCATCGCTCATATGTCAATTTGAACAGAGACCGGCAGTCGAGGGCATCTGAAGGGCTATTTAACTTGTTTAAAAAATTCTCTGTGCCACTCGGCGTGACGTGAAAGAATTAGCCTGTTAAAGAGGAGAACTGGGCCTCTGCAGGTTCATTTGTCACAAGGTGGCTGTTTCCTCAGCTCAGGTTGGGAGGAAAAGGGTGGAGGCAGTGCGGTTTAGCAGCAAGCTCTTGAATCATAATTCAGCTGACCTGGGAATCGTAGAGTTCAAAGAGCAAATATTGCATAAATGAAGCTTTTTTTTCCAGCTAGAGGGCTGCTTTAGGGGAATACAGAGTGCTTGTGGCATTGGAAAGATGTGAGAATCAAACACCTCATAGATTTTCTCATTGCCTTGCTTCTTACCTGCATTTCTGTCTTGTAAGCTTTCTCCGTGTAAAGGCGGAAACACTTTCCGGGGCGTGTTCGTCCAGCGCGACCTGCCCTCTGCTGGGCCGAGGCCTTGCTGATGGCTGTAACCAAGAGAGATTCCACTCTGATTCGTGGGTTGTACACCTAACAGGAAAAAGGAAGGATGAACCACAGGTGCAAAAAAAAAAACTCCAACCAGGTTGAAAAAAGTTAAGCACATACATACCTTAAATATACTATACATATAAGCAGCTTACAAATAAATAGTACAATGACACATAGACACAATCCACCATGGTGCATTTATAATCCCTTTTAGCACCATGTGTATGACTTGGCTCCAGGCTGGAGAAATGTCAGAGGAATAAATAACTGGCTTTTCCATCTTTGCTGCTGTCAGGTGTGCAGCGCTTGTGTTTATCTGGGGATTCTTGGGAAACAGACGCAGATGATCGCAGCAGATAAAGGGGTGGAGGGAGAGGGGCGGAGATGGGGGTTGGCCGGGTAAGGGGGGGGAGGGAGCGCTAACCTTTTGCTTGGCAAATCCAGGATCAATTACAAACACGACGCCATCGATGGTCAGGGATGTCTCTGCGATGTTTGTTGACACCACGACCTGTGGAAATGAGACGGGATGGGTTAAGACATGATCCCCCTGGTGTGGGGAAGGGATCTATAAAAGCTCACATTAAAAAGCCAATTTTAGATATCATCTCAGTTTTTAACCAAATGCAGACAAATCAACATCCTAGATTTATTCCAGGTATGCACTATCAGAAGATAAAGCTCAGAGATGTCATCAAAACATACAAAAGTGCTTCACTTTAATCATCAAATATAAATATAATACGCTCCAAAAGTCTTGTGAGTTAGAAATCATTGTAATTCTTAAGCATGAGTAAGAGCAGAGACAAACAAGTGCAGATATCAGCTCTGCTTTAACTTGAAACATATTCCCTGACGTGAGCCAGTTGACTGAAGAAGCTTGTAGAGATGTCACTTCAGTGCACTGTACACTCGCTGCCTAATGCAACCCAACAGGGGAGTACCACAACAGTGTCTGCAATCAACTTCAATGTGCTATCAGAGAGAGAGCCTGCTCGGTGCTCAGCGTCCCATCCAAATGCATTACCTCTGGCCTCTTTGTGTTCAGTCTGTGTGTGTGTGTGTGTGTCTGTGTGTGCACTTGTGATGTTTGTGGGGGATGGGGTTCCTCCCCACTGTCCTCGGCTTGCTTGTGCTTTTGTTGAGATGCCAGATTCCCTGTCTTGGAGAGTTCTTCTGAAAATCTTTTCAAAAATCTCAGAAAATAGTTGATGTAATGGTTCCTCTTTAGTGGTCTACTTAAAAAAAAAACACACACACACACACACACAGACACACTGAGAGCTCTTCAGCTGCAACTGCTTTCATCCATCATGCTTTTCTTTCACCAAACATTAGATCCAACCTGATACCCTTCCTTTTTAGAGAGGAAAATATTCTTGTCTCTGATGAACTCAAACTTAACGCAAACCAAAACATGCTCCTCCTTTCACTCCATGGACCTTGTGACTCGTTGGTAGACAACGGGGAACTGTCAGAGCATTTCCGTTAGGACTTCAAACCTTCCTCTTAGGGCTGAGCGATACATCGAAAATGTACCGATACCGAAATTTACAACATTAACCGACGTCATTTTGCCCATGTCAGTATATTCTGTGTTGGTTTTCAATGTGTGTAGGTAGGCTATGGTCTCATGACCCTTTAAGATGCTGACCTACATCAGAGACATGACTCCACCCCATCCAGTCTGTAACAAGAGGAAAAGACAGGTGAGGAGATGGAGGACGGTTCAAAAGTTTCAGCTGCTAGAGTAGTTATCGTCCATTTATCGCTATCGAGGTGAACTGCTCAATATATCATGATATTGATTTGAGGCCATATCGCCCAGCCCTACTTCCTCCTCTGTGCGCTGCATTGTTGGGGTCAAATTGGTAACCTGAGAAGTGACTCAGGCAGCATGATTTGCCCCATACAGATGTGTCGGTTAAATAAACTCTGTCATTCTTTGGTTCATTACATCCCAAGACAACTACCTTTTGACTCTAATGAGTCTCAGTTTCACTGTACATAGTAGAGATGATATTCTTGCTTACTTCTGCTGCATGAGCCTGAAAAAAGAAACTAGTTTTCTCATCTTCATCAAAGTCTTTATCAAGTTAGTAAAAAGTATCAAGTTAAATACAGAAAACTCATAAACGAAAGACTTGATTTTTCTTGCTGTAAAATGCTAAAAATTTGTGTGACAACATGAAAAAACCTGTTGAACTTAGAGCAGATGATCCATTCACCCTCGGGTGCAGGTGTTATTAAGTCATGGAACGATTCACCAATCCAAAAGCTGGATTAATACTTGACAGATTGTATAGCTGATTAAAGTGTAGCACTGAATTCCCTCTGTTGATACCAGCACAGCACTAATTGGGTGCATTGTACGTGATCATGCCATATTGAGCTCTAATTATAGTCTCAACAGTGACTGTGTTTACAGTTCATCATTCCCTCAATGATATAGAAAGATACGCACAAACTCATGCAGTTTGGGAGTGTTTATTTTGAAGGCCTGCGACTGCAGCACACGTATGCATAATTTGAGGTTAGCTTCACCGGCTTCAAAATAGTTTTAATCATCAACAGGAAATACTGATTAGTGTACGTCAACTGAATTCATCCATAATAATGTGTTGCTCTCCTCCTCCTCTTGTTCCTCTATAAATCTCTAAATCTCAGTTTCTTAAGCAAGGCACAGCTCGTAAAACATCCCCATTTTTATGTGTTTCACAGGTCCAAGAGACTAATTTTGCAAAAGCAGAGGATAAACCAAAAAGTAAATAAAAAATGCTGCTTAGCTTCTGAAAATAAAGCAAGTGGGTAAACAGTGGACCATCTCCCAGTCTCAGATCTTCTTCAATTACAATTATCCCAAACAGCAAAGCTACCCATGAGAAATGACAGCTGATTCAGAGCAAAATAAAATATCAAATGAGTCACTTCACCCTATGGGTCTCTCGCTGTCAGCATATACACAAACCAGGGGGTGGAGGAGGAGACAGATTTGCAGCTGCCCTCATGCGAACCTTGACCGCCGCTAGGATGAGTTCTCCTTATATAACAGCTGAAACAGACTGGACAGAGAAGCCCTTTAGATTCATCATAGCACTTGAGACTGCGGTGGCCGGGTCACAGCCCACTCTTACTGGCAACTGCCACTCCAGAGTCATAGTTTAATAAACAAGTGGGTGTTGGAAAAAAAAAAATTCCTCTCCACACTTCAGTACCTTTTCCTCGCTCTCTTGCTTGACATCCATGGAGGTAGGAACACATTGTGGGTTGACCTATGTGGACATTTGGCCGGAGCCGTGTGTTTTCTTGGTCGTCTTTGTGAATAAATGCCAAGCACAAACCCAAATAGCTCTTTGTAGTCTTTGCTGATACAGGTCCACGGGACCAATTTCGCACACTTGACACACTTCCTTTGTAGCTGTGCCTCTTCAGCTGTCTTCAAGCTGTGAGCCTTACAGACTTTTAAATCCCACCTTTTAAGCAAGGATTTCTCTCCAGCCTGAGAATGCCTGACTGTTTAGTTATTAATGCCAGGAAGGGCTTTTCCCCCCTTTCTTCAGCCCTCGACCTGGGGTAATTCACCTGTGGAAGGACACTTTCCCTTTAGTATTCAGGCGGAGGAATGAAGAGTTGGCGAAAAGCGCCTGTATGAAACTGATCAGACAGCAGGATCTGGCGTACGGTTGGGTTGTTATTCATGAATTTCTTGGATGAATGGCAGCCTGATCTGATTGACATGAGCACTCCATGATGAATCTGACTTGCTTAATTTTGACAGACATCTGAAAATAGGAGCCAGCTTAGCGGGGTTACACCAAGACCGACAGCTTGGTTCAAAGGTATAATGTGAACTCATCCTCTGTTTTCACTTCAAGAGCTTAATGACACATAGCGCAGCATGTAGCAATTATCACAGGCTTGGCTGCTGTTTACTCTGTACTATACCTGCTTAGGTAAAAGGCAAAAGGGGGTTAAATCCTACAACTATATCTCAGTTTTAAATCAAATTCAGCCACTTTGCTGACCGATACAACAGACGTTTAGTGGCAGCATAAGTAATTACAGTTTTAACCATTGTTTTTGCAAAGCTCAAGATACTTTAAAGTAGGGCTGGGCAATATGGCCATAAATCAGTATCACAATATAATGAGCATTTCACCTCGATAACGATAAATGAACGATAACTACGCCACAAGCTGCTCATCCCCTCCCACATTAACTTTGTCTACTTCAGCTGACGCTCCAGCCGCTACAACTTTTGAACTGTCTCCGACGTAGGACAGTGTCTTAAAGGGACATGAGACCATGGCCTACCTACAGACATCCAAAAACAACTTGTTTTGACACCAAATATACTGACATGGGTAAAATGATGTCAGTTACTGTCATAAATTTCGGTATCAGTAAATTTTCCATTTATCGCCCAGCCCTATTTTGAAGCAAAATTAAGCTTTATAGCAACTGAAAATAACGAGACTCAATCAGGGCTGTTTCTCAAATTACTTAAGAAAAGCCTCGAGGTACAGCATTTGCTATACAGCACTCTGGTTGTTTCTCCTCTATTTCTTGTTTCTGCTGTAGCATGGATGTGAGGAGTGGACGACAAAATCACAGAGAAACACAAACATGAAAGTATCATAGCGCTATAGGAACAGACACCCCAACCACAACAGCAGGAAATTACCTCAGCTTGAGATCATTACACACTCAAAAAGACACAAAGAAATTTGCCAAAATGCCAGGAAGAAAATGTTCATTTGTCCAAAAACAAGTTTACAATTACAAGACTGGTGTAAGTCAATGAGAGTAGGAACAGGACAACATTGGGGGAAAAGGAGACCCAATTGAGGAGCTATGAGACCAAGTTGAGAACGGTGGCATGTGACCTGCTTTGGCTAACCATAGCTCATACAGTGTTTACATCACAGACTGTTTCTAATAATGTAAAGAGGATAAAGAAGAGACAGGCAGGTGTAACATGGATCTGTCTTTGTATTTGTCATTGTCATGCTTTGTATCTTCCATGTATTTCTGCATATATTTAATACATGATCTCTGTCTCCACATGCTGCTATTGACACCATCAGCTGACGAGACTTCCAGGCGGTTCAGAAAATATTGACTGTGAAGATTATACAGAGGTTTTATTTACTGGATGTCTGTGTTTATCATGCTGACTGAATTAGTCCTTATTCTAAAACTGATAAACAAAACTGTAAAGGGACCATCGTGTTTATGAAGTTTCATTTCACTTAAACACTTCAGTTTGAGCAGAGAAGAATGAGTCCCTCATGCGACGTCAAATAAGTAAATAATATATAAAAATTTGCCGTTTTGTAACTGAAAGTAGCCATTTTTTCTTCTTAATTTACATCTCTATGTCTTGCAAAATACATTCAAATAATATTAGCTCTTTCAGCAGTAGAAGCAAGACCATGTCCCGCAATCCAGGTAGCAGTAGCAGAGATGATGAGTGCACCTTTAGATTGCTGTTTTCTACAAATTATGTACAAAAATTCAATCTTGAGTGGTCCTGCTCACCCTGTCATGATTCTAATTTTATAACCACCCGCTCATTTTTCATCATCAATTACCTGACTGAAATGATCATTTGTTTTGGATATATCACCCAGCCCTACTGCAAATCAAATGTATAAAAATCAAATGATCAGTTTACTTCAAAATACAGAGGAGATGAAGAAAAATCTAGTTAGCAAAGACTCAAAAAGGTTTCTGAAAGTTTAGTTTATGAGAAGCCCCAGGTAAAAGGATGTTAAGTTCCTGCTGTCGAGAAGGGCCATCAATGGCTCAGAGCAAGAGAGAAATCACATCTTTACGAAACCAATTAGTCACACTGTGGCAGTCTGAAATTAAAGTGGCCCCCCCGAAAAAGAGAGGAGACTATCAGACAGTGTTTTGTGACAGACACTATATGCCAGCCACAGTCGTCCCGGCGAGAAATGAACGGGCTGGAATGCTTCAAAGTCCGGCTGAAAAATGGTCCAGGTAAGGTAGTCCTGCGTGTTGGGACACAGTCGGTGCTCCAGCAGATGCCACACATGACACCCTCTCACATTTCATGATCATATGGGTGGCCTCATTGACTGCATTGATTCTGAAGGATTATCCTGGCTGGGGCCATTACGCCGAAACATAGGCCGGCTCCTTCCAGTCTGTTGCTGTGCTGGATAATCCTGGCTTCTTCATCAGTAATATCATTAGAGCATCATCTCTGCATGTTATTTCTGGGTTATTACCTGCAGGAGAGCAAGTACTATGGCTAACGCTGAGCATCTTTCACGCTCCCTGCTGAGACACGCAGCCGTGTTGACAAATAAAAGCTTTTTTCTCTGGCTGGGGAAAAAAAGGGAGAGCGTGCTTTGAGCTGCACCCACATTTAAAGCTCACTGAAACGGGGTTGTGTTGGATTTGGAGTGACATTTGCAGGAATATTCCAAACGTGACAATGCTAAAAACAAACCACACACCCATCAGAGGACTTTAAAGCTCTGTAAAGCAAAGCGAGATTATAATCTTTGTTTGTAATTAGCCAATGCTGCCTTGGCTTTAAATGACTAAACTGTTGAAAAATTGGAGATCAGTGGCTTTCCTGTAGATATAGAGCAGTGACGAGCTAGTGCTTTATGTTAATCAAGGGGTTCCTAATGCAGTCATTAGCATGCGTGGCGGCAGACATGGCGAGCCTTAATTCTTTTTCACCACTTTCTCCCGGGCTGGCTTGGATGACATCTCTGCGTTTTTCACTTGATGAGTCGCTAAGGCAGTCGGGGAGGAGAAGCACATTTCCTTCACGCACAGCAACTTCAGATGCCAGCTCTGCCATTTCAACAAGCGCCTGACAAATTGATGTTGAGGAATTTGAAAAAAAAAAGGGCATGGACTGTGCTAAAAGAGGCAGCCGGGTTGACAGTTCAGAGGTCACAGAGTCACGATGCTCGCTTTTATTTCATGTATAACTAAACTCAGGGGAATCAGGGAAAAGTTGCTGCAGGATATTTACCAAGCGAAGGATGTGCTGTTATTCAGCAAGTCTGCTGAAAGTGGAAAATCCTTTTTTCCCTCCAAAACTGATGTATGCAAACTCACTGTATCATGCTGGTACCACAGCAAGAACCAAATGATATTCAAACCTGTCCCTATGCAACCATTACCCGGTTTCATAGCTAAATCGCTTTGAAAAGCAGAGGCAAACACTGGGAATGATATTTTAACTTTTGAGAAAGATCTTATCCAACACTGGCTAATCACACTACTAAGAGCGCTGAGCCTCTGAAGCCTGTACTGCACACACACATATACACACCAGTCAAAAAGAAAACTAGAAGAGATGAATCTGTAAAATCAGAGTAAAAGAAGATGGTGCTAGTAAGGCGGAGAGATTTCTGAGATCTGGCTGCTCAATATGAAGCCTCGACAATTCTTTCCTCTTTTTCAGCCGGTTCCACAACACACTTCAACATCAGCCCACCTGAGACTCACATTTTACTTTGAAGAGCCAGGTTTGTCAGAGTTCTCAATCAGGGCTGGCTCTTTACTTCCCAAGTCACATAATTCCCTTTTTTGAACTCAATAATTTGACCCGATAAAAGATGAGGTAAGCTGGTGAGCTAAAATTAGCAAGAGCTTAATGAGCGGCCCCGAAAAGATCATCCAAGAAAAGGTCTTGAACTGCTCCTGCTCTTTCGCGTTTTTACCCTTTTTTTTACCCATCAATGGACATGAGACTGAGTACAGCCTGGACAGGTCAGTGGTCACCTACAGGGCTATAGCCTATAGCTGGGATTAGGGCTGGGCGATAAACCGAAAATTTACCAATACCGAAATTTACGACAATAACCAACTTTATTTTGCCCATATTGATGTCAAAAAAATAAAAGTTGGTTTTGGATGTGTGTAGGTAGGCTATTGTTTCATGTCCCTTTAAGAAGCTGTCCTACGTTTGAGACGTGACTCCACCCCATCCAGTTTGCAACAAAGAGGGAAAGACAGGTGAGGAGATAGAGGACGGTTCAGAAGTTGACAAAATTAATGTGGGAGGGAGTGAGCAGCTTGTAGAGTAGTTATCGTCCATTTACAGTTACAAAGGTGAACTGCTAAATATATTGTGATATTGATTTGAGGCCATATCGCCCAGTCCTAGCTGGGATTTGAGCGAGGGAACCAATCTGGCTTGAAAGCAGCAAAGCTAACTATGCAACCTGTTCTTGAAAACCAAGTTCCATCTACATGTAAGATGGTGGCAGCTCAGCTCCTGTACCCTCACGCTTTTTCTGAATTATTTTATTAGGTTGGATCACTTGGTCTAGTCACCTTGGTCTCCTTGGTAGATTATTTAGCATTTCGAAAAGTGGGCCAATGCAAGCCATTGCACTCTCATGATCACAAAAGTTAACTTTGACGATCTGGACAAAATTCTTGGTCTTAACCCAGGATTTGCTATTGAGTCCTGTGATGTTGCTGCACCTCGCGTCAACTCTTCTGCTGATGATGCTGACTTGGATGGAGACGGTGACTAATGTTAGCCTCCTACTTCTAGCTTGACGAGCCAAGCAGCTATTTGTTCTGGTTACTAGGTTGACTGCGTTCTCACTTGGAACGAGTCGCTCCGAGGTTCAATTTAAAGCAAGCCAGAACCACCTCTTCCAGGCGATGTTGGCTAGCTTGTGCACATATGTTCAAATGAACCGAGCCAAGGAGGAAAACGCCTCCTAACTGAAACGATACACATAGATGCGAAGATGCCAAATGTTTGAAACAATCCAAGAGGGCCAGAAATAGAAATGCAAAATAATTATTTTCATATGCACATAAAAAAATCCTGTTTTACCAAATTCACTTTAAATTCGTAGTTTTGGAACCACTTTCATGTGTTTAACGCGGATGTCCCATAAATGATTTCCCTGCTGATACGTCAGCCTGATCGGCCTCAATTAGAGGGCTTGTACCATTAAGTCATTCATCAACATCGTCCCCTATCAGATGCTAGGGGTGAACGTTTGCTTGCTCACTGGCAGTGATGATATTCTGATACTCTGTCAGATCTCTGGCCAACAGTGTGGCAGCGCAGGTGGTGCTGCTGCTCCGGTGATGAGCCCATCTGAATAGAAACTGTCACGCAAAAGAGAGGAATTGTCTTGTGTCTGTATCAATAAGAGGATCATGCACTCCCCTGGGATTAAGTGACTGAGGAAGAAGGAGGAGGCTATTTTATGCACGCCAAGAGGTGCCTTGTTTGTGATCGGCTCGCATTATGTGTGCTGTTCACATGTTTGCAGACTGGCAGAGGTCTTATGACTCCTTTCTGAGCCGCAGCAGGGCCTGTGCAAATGTAGTGGAAAGATAAAAATGACTGAGAATGCAGTACTTTCCTCAGGCTCAGAGGGCGTGAGTAATACCCCAGTTATAATTTAGAGCAGAGAATCGCATGCTGACAAAAGCAGCATATGTTGTGTGAGTCAGTTCTGCGCTAAAGCTGAGAAAGAGGGAGGAAAAAAAAGTTTCAGTCCCTACCTTCCAGCTCTCTCACACCTTATTCCCCATCTGGCCTTTCTACATCAACCCCACTCTGTCCGCCCCACCCTCCCCCTGCTGAGTGTTTCGAGCTGTTTTACCTTCCTTCCAATGGCCCCATTTGGTTTATTGGGCGGAGGTGGCTCGAAGATCCTCTGCTGCTGCTGTGGAGGTAGTGTGGAGTACAGAGGGATGATTTTGATATCACCGACTTCGTGACCCAGGTCATCGATCTCCCTCTTGATTCGCTTGCAAGCTTCGTCGATTTCCTAAAACACAGAAAGAGCGGCTGTAAATGCAGGTGGTGCTTGCAAACAGGTCCTGAGGAACACCTGGACAGACAATGGAGGGGAATCTGGAGGAGAGTGGAGGTGGAGGCGATCAGGAGGTGGCCTGGGAAAACCGCGGTTCCCTGCTACAGTACATTTGTTCTCTAACTATCGCTCCATCTGACGGAGGAAATTAAACCTGGACTGCAGTATGCTTTGCTGAGCTCCCTGTGGCTCTGTTGTCAAATGCAGCAATCATGGAAAACATGGACACACACACACACACATACACATACACACAGAGCCAGACAGACTCAAACAGGGTTCATTATTCCACAGTGCAGTATTGTAGAGGGGGGAATGTGAGATGAGACTGCAGCGCTGATGCATAACCAGCGGCAAATCATGGCAGATCAGTTTAGTGAAGCTGAACGTTCTAGAGCCGCTGGGCTGGCAGACAGACTGAAGACCTGAGCAGCGCCAGGAATAAGAAAGCATGATAGCAAGCGCGGGGCTGTGGCCTATTCTCTGAAGGCTTATTGGAATATTCTGATAATGTACTAAATATGCCCCCCCGGTCTCAACTCATAAACACAGAAAACTTATTTGATGTGATCCACCTCTTTACCAACATCTTCAATCATCTTACTTTGAAGTATTTGTCAACTCTGGTCTGACTTTGTCTCCTTTTTTTGACTCCTGCTGATTGGAACGAGTGTCTTTGTTTTGCTAACAACAATCATTTAATCCTCATAAAGCAGCAGTTACCAAGAGTTTCACATTACAGCCTATACTGTTGCACCACCTGCAGGCCCATGGGAGCAATGCAGGAGATTTTCATAATGCAATGATGAGCAGGATCAGAAAAACGGTTTTATTGTTGCTGATGCACAGACAATTATTAATTAGTGAGCCAACAAAACAACCCATTAAAACATCTGAGACTTTTTGGTTTCTTAGCCGAGAAGCATCCTGAATTAACACAAGCTTGAGTGAAAGTGACGTAATCTGAGGCCAGGACACTTGCCTCGACATGAAAAAGCACCAGGGTGACATTTCCTGTTTTCCTTCTGGACTACGAGTGGGTTATTAGCCCTGTTTGTCCCCTCGTTCATCGCATTAAGTCAAACCCCGCTGATGGCAATGTGCCTCTTCATCAACACACTGACAAGTGGAAAACGGTAAATCTGAATGGATTGGTAAAATTAGCTGGGGTATTAATAGCCTATCAAGCCTCTGGATGCAGCAGCTGCCATGGAGAGGAAAAAAAAAAAGGGAAAAAAAACAGGACCTCTTTGCCAAAGCGCTGGAAGCAAGCTGGCTGTCTGTCCCTCAGGGACATCAAGACAGAGTGTGCATGTGTGTGTGCATGTGTGGCTGTGTGATCGTGTGTGCTTGCATGTGTGGCTGTCTGTGAGCAAACACAGGGGCAGTTGTCCAGAGTTGGGAACCTGTCCACCAGCTCTCCCTGCGACCCCAGCAGCAACAATCTACAGCCAAGCTAATAACCGACACATTTAGGCACTCCTCTTGACTAGCAAACAACCCCCCTGCCAATCCCCGTGTTTTGATGTTAGCAGCTGAGGGGGAAGCTTAAATATTAGGACTTATCTTTGCTCAACAGCTGTGATAAGTTTCGACTTTCTTGTTTGGAGTTGGTGCTTCAGTTCTATTTGTTTGTGGAAGCGAAATATCTCACAGAAAAAAAAAAAAACAACTAAGAGGGAGGAAAAAAGGGTTGTGTGTATTTTCGCTTTGGTCTGATATAAATTAAAAGGAGTCAACGCCGCGGCACGGCCATGGATCTGCCTCCCGATCATTAGTCTACATCAAAGTTGCTGGGAGACTGAAGAGGTTAAGAAGCGCTGGAGGGATGCGCTGCAGCACCCTTTGAACACCCATCTCTGCCAGACCTACCACACATTAACTTCTTTAACCCAATTAGGAGGGGGCGATAATGAACTCACCGTGGGAGTGCTCTGGGTAATGCCTTAGCTTGACACAGTGCAGGGGGGGGTGGAATATAAATCAACAAATTACATCTAAGAGCAGAAAAAATAATTAACACATAGCCTTTAAATATCTGAGACTTTTCTAAACATTCATAACAGCGGTCATCAGTGTTTCTGGCCATCTGAGCAGCTAGGATTCAGCTAAATCTAAAATCAATCAGCAGCCCTCAGTGGAGCCCACTTCAAACGCGGTGCCCTCCGATGACTCTATCCCCCTTCGTAACAAGCCGCCAATTGATCCTGCTTTGGCAAATGAAAACTGACGTAGGTGCTCGAACACGGTCGAGCTGCCGTTGAGTGACAAATAATTACAGCTGATAAACAACAAGGACACGTTGGTGCTTTTGATTCCTTGTGCAGATGAAAAATTGGTTTTCTATCAAAAAGACGCAAAATATCAAAGTCCAGCCTGTTATTACAACTAACAGGACAACTTGTGCTGTATTCACACCAGTTACCAGGCCTGTGCAATTATGACCAAAGTGATAAGCACTATCATTTTGATCCATACTAAGATCAGGACTATTAATACATTTTAAGGACAACTTTTTTACAGAGTTAATTGTGTGTCTCGCCAATTGCCAGGGCTTGGACTGCAACAAAAACATCAGACCTGATCCTCTTGCTTTCCTTTTGCTTTGCTGAGGAGATATTTTTCATTTTTTGATCACAAGACGGCAAAAATCATGATCAAAATCTAAATAAATGGAGCAGCCGGACCAGTTACATTCACCAGTACAACCACAGTTAACCACACCTGCTTAGTTCGAATGCTAAGAGAAAAATCACACCAGCACAGTCACTCTTAGCTCTGACAGGCCTCACCCATCCAACGATCAGGACATGGAAGCATTTGTTGCTGCTTTTTCCTTCTCTCTCTCTCTCTTTCTCTGTGTGCCTATATATGTGTGTGTGTGTGTGTGTGTGTGTGTCCACCCTACTGTGACCAAATTCATCATTTTGGGCATGAACCCTGCCCTCCATTACACATCAGTGGACAACATTTGCAGGGAGGGAAAAAAATAATAAATGACTTAATTTCAGAGATTCGTGGGGAGGGCAGAATCTGGGTCACTCCTGAGTTTTTTTTTTTATTTTATTTTTTTACTCCTTCATTGTGAAACTCCTGGTGCTTCCCAGACGGGCACATTCACATGCATTAACATCTAACATCTGAGGATTAATCATTTCCTGTGCAGGGTGTGTTTGTGTGTCTGAGCTCATGATAGTGAATGTGGGTGACTCAACTATGTAATAAGATTGATATGCACAGTCCTAACCTTGAATATGTCTGATATTATTGCAGAAGTCTGGTCCTTGTTTATACGCAAGAATTAACGTGTTGTATGTAGGGGTGGGAGAAAAAATCGATACAGCATAGTATTGTGATAGTTTGTCTGGTGATATATCGTATCTTCTCACTTACCAAGTATTGTTTTTTCAGATTAATTGTTAATATGAAGTCAAATCTATGATAATGGAAAAATAAAATCAACTGTTTGTCCAGTGAGGTTGAGAAAGCTAGTACAACAAATATATATAAGGTTTGCAAGATGTACTACATGAACATAAAATACAGTTTAAATAAGACAAACATAAAGAAAAGCCAAATGCTAAATTAGCTAAACAGTTGGAAAATCGTATAAATCGCAATTTATTGTATCGCAATACTCACTGTAATGCTAAATGTTAAAAATCCCAATAATATCGTATCGTGGCCCAAGTATCATGATAATATCTTATCGTGGGGCCACTAGTGATTCCCACCCGTAGTTGTGTCTAGTTCTGTCTTTTATTAAAAACTTCATCCTGTCATTGTTTTGTTTGTGCTTTTTAACAACACAAAGTTACAATATTTGTGTTTTTAAAAATGCAATTTATGAATTTACTTTTGGACTCTTTTTTTCCTCGTAGGGTGCAGTCTTTTTAGCAGTTTCTTTCCTAAAGTTGAGATAATTTTTTTAAACCAAGTAAAGTGGTTTAGAGCAAACTACTGTAACTCTGATAGTTGTGTTGTATGAATAAACCCACAGCTTGAAACGAATTTGCCAAGATCCACACTGTTCACCTCCGCTGGTCACGTTTTGTCACAAATTACTGAGTTTTGTCAATGAAACTGGCACTTTTTAATGTGTATTTACTTACAAAAATAACTTCAAGGGCGCTTTAAGGAGGACTAGCATTTAAAACCAGCCTCTATTTGCTATTACCTCTGAGTTCGGTTCAACTGGGAGTCATTAGCTTTCACTTAAAGTGAGTGAAGAGTGAGCAACAGTGTGTTTCAAAGTTCGTACAGCCGGCTGTCGGGTTACATTAGCAGCAACGTTAGTTTCTGTTTTATGGTGTGAATACTTAGTCTTAAATTGTCTGGTGATCTTCCAGGTTTTAATATAATGCGAACAAAATTAAAGAGATAGTTCAGTTTTTGTTTTTTTAGTGGGGTTGTGTGAGGTACTTATCAATAGTAAGTATATCAGCCAGAGAGGACTTGAGTAAGCTTAGTCCTGTTGTCATAAATAAATAAATAAACAAACAGGCAAAGAACCAAAAATGAAGCCAAGCAATCAACAGCTGCAGGGGAGACCATTTGTAACATGTAATTTGGCCAATTTTGATTAAGTCCCACAAATCTGAACCATCACTGTCAATGAGCTGCAAGCTGAATCAGTCCAAAAAACAAGCCCTACAGTTGTGTTAAGTAACGTTAGCTCTGTAGGGCTGCATCAACACCATCGCTGCTACTTGTATTCTTTCACATCCTACATGTATCTGATAACTTCTCTTAGAGCAAAAAAAAAAGAAAAAACAGATGTTGAACTCGTGATGTCTTGTTACCTCTTGTCCAGTGAGGAAGAGCAGAGCATCCCCTCCATCCTCACACATGTGGATCTGAATTACAGTCCGAATGGCCGCCTCCAGGTAATCCCGCTCTGGTTCTGGGGTGTAGAAAATCTCAACGGGATGAGTGCGTCCGGGGATGGTGAGCAGTGGGCAGTTGTCAAAGTACACCTGGAACTTCCCGGCGTCAAGCGTGGCGCTCATGACGATGACCTGGAGAAAGAAGAGTAGAGAAGTTTGAAAAGACAGCTTGCGAGGGATGATGCATTTGTAAAAGAGGCGAGAGGAGAGATAAAACTGGAGGTAAAGGCGGCATAGAGAACATGACAGTGGTGATTAAAGGAGTGAGCACCCAAGCATGGGATGAGTTAACATTTTACACTGCTTGATGATAATTGGGGATAAGGACATATACTAAGTAGATAAGGGAGCAGTTACATAGGAAATAGACAGAGGGTGCAAAAAGCTATCCAGAGAAAGGAAGGTGCTTCTAATCAGGATTTACAATAAGGGCGTTGGAACTAACCCAATATGACACTACAGTGTTGTCGGTGTTAGAGTCAGAGTCGCTGACCTACACGCATGCTATGACAGTCCTTGTTCCTGATGTTTGGTACACAATGTTCTCTCTGGAGTCATTAGATGTAGCGCATTAGGATTCTGATGGGAAACGCGTCTCCCATTTTCAATCTCAAACGTTTTCAGGGGCCAGTGTCTCGGCATTTCCCTTTACGCTCTGCGAGACATCATAATTGCTCTTAATCAAGGCAAATTAAACTTTCCAATTTGGAAGAGGATAGGGATGAAGGAGATAGAGGGGTGTGGGTGGATGATCATTCCCAATAACCTAGACCTCATTTAACAGTCGGCGAACAACAATCTAACCTTTGATTCCACGCTGACAAACAACTAGTCATTATCCATCTGCTTTATGAGAAATATGTCTGGCACACTCTGCCTATAAAATTCCTGCCTGTACGCCTCCATCTTCACTCACTAGTTGCTGTTCTCCCTCACCCTGGTTGATTGCCTAAAAAAAAAAAAAAAAAAGAGGCTGACTCTGGGAACAAACTCCCCCAGTGCTGCTGTGCGGGAAAGATGTGCATTTCTGAGATCAACTGCAGCAATTTCTCCACCCCGAACAGATACACAGCTGTCAGACATGGGGACACTGTCAGGGAAAAATGTGACAAAGTAAAGCAGTGACAGAAGAGGGACATTAATGCTGGCTGTCACTGCATTTATCCTCCAGGGGGAAGAAATATTTAAGGCTTTCAAAAGAGTTTTGCAAGTATTAAGTGGGACATATTTGTGCAAACAAATCAGCGTTTTGTCAGGAGTGCATTCAACAAGCAATGATGAGAAAATGAATAAGAAGTTAAATCATTTTTGGAACAAATAGAACAATATTCATCGGATTTATCTCTCTACACTTAATCTTCAATTCTCAGCCAATGTTGAACAACTTGGAGGAAGACGTACTGTATCTGGCTGTGGGTGTTCTGCTTTCACGGGTATACTTCATAGATCTTTTCTAAATCTCCTTTTACCTTAAGGTCAGGTCTCTGGCGGACCACCTCCTTCAGGACCCCCATGAGGATATCTGTAGCTAAAGTGCGTTCATGCGCCTCATCCAGAATGATAACACCGTAGCGCTCCAGCAGCGGATCATTCATGGCCTCTCGAAGCAACATGCCGTCTGTCATGTACCTGTTTAGATAAAATAGATGCAGGGATTATGAAACACTTTTCAGAGATGCAAGCAATAACATTTTTAAACCGGGCTTCTTACTTGAGTACCGTCTTGGCCGAGCTGCAGTCCTCAAACCTGATAGAGTAGCCCACCTCTTGGCCCAGCATGACATCCATCTCATCAGCCACCCTCTGGGCGACGCTCATGGCTGCCACCCTCCTGGGCTGGGTGCAGGCCACTGCTCTCTTTGGTCCTGGCAGCGATCGCACCATGTCCACGCACCACTGAGGAATCTGGAAGACAACAGACGAGTCATGTCAGAGTTTGAAGAACATAACCTAATTTTTCTTGAGACTGAATAACCACAGTTTGCTTTTCACTGCAAAGAAATTATCAGCACATATCTCTGTGTACCTGTCAACAGGTTTACTGACAGTATGCTCTTGCTTACAGCTTTACACACACCACTTTGCTCAGAGCGGTCCTAACACCGAGTGTTACTTCCTCACCATTGAGCTTGAGGTTTCAGATGACTGCCCTTTGGAGATGATTTCGATCCTACCAGTCTATGAAATGTCATCCAATCAGAGGAGCTAATAAATGCAGATTACAGGTTTGGGGGAGATAATCACTTCAAACTTAGAATTAAAGTCTGTTTGTGGCAAACACTGAACCTGACCCTAATCACCAGGATGTGTTGGTTGCATTTCTATTAAGTCTCCTCGAGTAGATTATTGTCATTCAGTTGATACAGAACAGGAATTTTCTTTAATCCTAATAAAGTTTTGATGTTAGTGGAAAAAAGTCTTGACCGTAGGGGTCCTGAGAGGCAGAAACTTGAAATCTATGAGTTAAAAAAGTTGTTTTTTTATTAAATAAAGTCACAAAACTACAAGAAAAAGTCCACTATCTTCAGCTTCAGATGAAGTGTAAACAACTGCCCATTTGCCTACTTTTCTTCAGAACAGACTCAGCTTCTTGCCTAGTATAATCAAAATCCCAACACTATAGGCAATGTGGTGCAGATGTGCTAAAAGATTTAAGTATTCCATCATTAAAGTCAGGCATAACCTCACAAGGTGCTCTCTGATCCTCAATATAGTGCAGGCAGACCTTTGAAAACAAGCTAGGCATAAACTATAATGATGTTTTTCCTATAAATTAACTTTTTTCTCATGTCACTTTATTCTATTTTATTCCTGCAAAATTTTAACTTCCTGAAAAAGGTGCAGAAAGGTTGCTCCTGCTTTGAAAATGTGACACATCATAAGCATCTCCTCAGAGTTTAAAAGTCATGATTGCGCAGAATTGCAGTGCTTTCCATCATCATAATTACACCTCTTAACTTGAAAAGTGATTTGATCTTCTTTTTTCGTATATTTTAAAAAGCAGACAATGGCATTAAAAAAATGTAAGTGTGTTAATTCCTGCTGTGATGCATTAATTGTGCCACTGCTGCAAAACGTCTTCTTTTCACCTGTGTGGTCTTTCCAGAGCCGGTTTCTCCCACCAGCACAAAAGACTGGTTCTGCATCAGGGTGTCAGTGAAGCTCTCTTTGTACTCCCAGACAGGCAGCTGCAGCCTTTTCTTCATGATTTCGTAGTAGCGGGGAGTGTGGGGCATGTTGGTGAACAGGTTGATCTGCTGCTGCATAGGGTTTTGTGTCAGGAAGCTTCCACCACCTGCAGCTGGGTTGATCGCTGGCCTGAATGATTTCACATTTCTGTCCTTATCTCGGTCCCCATCCCTGGCACGCTCCTTGTCCCTTAACCATTCATTGCGGCCCCTGTCCCTGTCACGGTCACGCCTGAAAGAGAAAGATGCAAGATGATATATTAAAAAGAACAGAACAGAATACTCAGGTTTATATGTGGTATCTGTTAGTGGTGGGCACAGCAGTTCTTTTAGATGTACTGAATCACTAAAATCAGTTCACTAAAAAGATTAGATCAAAAGATTCGTTCACTAAATCACTGAATCATGTAGCGCTCATGTACACAGCTGAACGTTTCAGGATTTAGTTCAATTCAAAGCTTCTGGGACTGGGAGACAAGAGTGTTTGTCTGTGTTGCTTTGGCAGACAGGTTTGTAAAAATAAACATGTTTATAAGTTATGATGATTTAAGTGTACTGTCCTATGGTATGCTATTTATCAGGTCTGCTCAGTAAATTGGGCTCTGTGAGTGATTCATTTAGAAGAATTCAAATTGAACATGCTGCGTTCCCTCGCAAGCCGCTGCGAGGAAAAGATGCTGCAGGTTTAATGCGCTACTTGTTACATGCTGTGTCCTGTTGTATGCAAGTTGCTGTGGTGGCAATTTAGCAGTACAAAAAAGGGGGTAGTTTGGTCTGACAAAAATGATTCCAGAGAGAGTAGTTCAATGCCTGATTCATTCACCAAGTGATTCAGGTGTCCCTTGTTCGCCGGCTGCTCGACTGGCAATGCTGTTTCTCACTTCAGCTCAACCGAAGTGAGAAATGAACAAATCACTCGAGGAAGTGATTCAGTTCAGTACGTCACTTGAAAGATTCGGTTCTTTTGAACGAATTGTTCGCAAATGACACAACACTAGTATCTGTATAAAACAAATGTGACTTAATTTGGAAACATTCAAATCACTTAAAGCTTGTCAAAATTCATCCCCAGCATCCATGCTCTTAACAGTCAAAAGCTGCATTAGATCAGTGGTTCTCAAGGCCAAATCCTCGAGGCCCACTGTCCTGCATGTTTTGGATGTTTCCCTGCTCCAACACACCTGATTCAAATGATCAGCTCGTTATTAAGCCATTACAGAGCTTGATAACGAGCTGATCATTTGAATCAGGTGTGTTGGAGCAGGGAAACATCCAAAACATGTAGGACAGTGGGCCTCGAGGACTGGAGTTGAGAACCACTGCATTAGATTATATCAGGCTGTCGTCTGACGCTTTGATATTGTTAAAGCTGAACTTTTTTTATTAACTAATGCATGCTATACCATTCAATTTCGAGTTTCTCCTCTCTCTAGCACGGTCAAAGCGATGCCAAATAATCCAGTGCAGTGACCCTGAGCATCCTATCTGTGACATTCAAGCAGGGATGTGACCTTAAGTCTCCTCCTCAAACTTCCACAGGCCTCACCGGTCCTGTAATAAGCCCGTGGAGGATCAGTCTTCTGACAAATATTGCTTTACTATAGGGTCAAATGGCACTTATGTAGGAGTAAGACAAAGAAGTGGCACCTGACACGGAATCTCATGTAAACAACAGCAAACATGAGCCCCCGGTGTTTCGCTGAAAAAGTGGCCCTGTTAAGTGGCGACTTTCAGCCGGATACGCCGGTGGTTGTCGCCCCACAAACACAAAAGAGTCCTCGCAAATGCATAGTATATAATGTCAAAATAAGCCCATTGAAAATGTCTTCAATGAAAAAAAGAAGAGGTATTCAGTACTTGCTATCGTCACGACAACCACAGTTGAATCCGGCTAACAGACGCCAGTTAACAGGGTCACCCTTCACACCGAAACACCATCTCAGCGATACGTGTTCCCTGTCTGTCCTCAAAGCCCCTTCTTCATTTTGCAGAAGCCAAAAGCCATAACAACCAAGAATGTATCAGAAAAAGATGACTTTGTGTCATCAAAATGTGTCATGAGCCGAGAGAAGTCTCTAAATAGCACTGTTTAGCATGTTTGTTAGCCACGTGAAGCCAGGAGTCTGCATGTTTAGCTGTTCTGCTTTGTAAGCTAATGTTTAACTAGCCACTTTGCTGGATGTTTACTTCATATACCAACGTCTTCACAGCTACCACATGCCGCCAGCTGCTTAAAATACCATGCCAGCGAGTCAGCGACACATCTCCATCCTTGAAATTGCTAACCCTCTGCAGGGGAGTTCACATTAGCATGGCTAGTTAGCAGCAGGTACACAACAGAGAAGCTTGCAGCAAATCCACTGCAACAGAGGTGATGTTACCACAGCATGAGGAACAGAAGTGTGGTTTCCCCCTGGGAGAATGGCTCTTACCTCATTAGGGCCCGAGCGTAGCTGCTAAGCAGCTGCGAGAGCCCTATTATTCCCCAAGTGGTTTTTCTTTGTTTCTTTTTAGGGCCCGAGCGTAGCTGCTAAGCAGCTGCGAGAGCCCTATTATTCCTGATGGATTCTTCTTTCTTCTTCTTCTTCTTATTATTTTTCTGCCCCTTTGAACTGGAAAATGGCCCACTTCCCACTGGTGAAAAGTCATGAAATTTGGCAGGACGACCGGGCCTGGTGAAAAATTCGATATTCTGAAGTCGCCCAAAAAATCAAATGCAAAATGGCTCCATAGCGCCCCCTAAGGTGAAAAATTCACATGATTGAGTGTCACGCCTGTACGCTTTGTCAAAATGACACAAAATTTGACACACACGTGTATCTCAATAAGATCTACAAAAAAGTCAGTGCGGGCGTATCTGTCAAATGTACGGTTAAAGGGCTATTTCGCATTTTTTGCCGATCCGCACACATTGGAATTTCGCTAACTCCTCCGAAGGCTTTCGTTCCACCGGCACCAAATTTGCTCAGGCCAATCTACACCCCATGGCCATTAAAAGTTGTACAAATCATGACGCTGCATCCCACGGTTTACGTTCTAGGGGGCGCCAAAGATAACCCAGAAATCCACATTCTTAAAAGTCGTATAACTTTTTATTTTTGTCCTCACTGGCCTCCAAGTTTTCTAGGATGATGCAATGTCCAGCCATCAACACATTTGTGAAGGAATTTTTACTCCCCAAAAGAGCGCCCCCCCATGGCAGGAGAAAAAAGTCCATTTTTTCTTGTCTCCTAAGGCGAAAATTCACACTATTGACTGTCACGCCTTTACGCTTTGTCATATTGACACAAAAATTGACACACACATGTATCTCAATAAGATCTACAAAAAAGTCAGTGCGGGCGTATCTGTCAAATGTACGGTGAAAGGGCTATTTCGCATTTTTTGCCGATCCGCACACATTGGAATTTCGCTAACTCCTCCGAAGGCTTTCGTTCCAAAGGCACCACATTTGCTGAGGCCAATCTACACCCCATGGCCATTAAAAGTTGTACAAATCATGACGCTGCACCCCACGGTTTACGTTCTAGGGGGCGCCAAAGATAACCCAAAAATCCACAGTCTTAAAAGTCTTATAACTTTTTATTTTTGTCCTCACTGGCCTCCAAGTTCTCTAGGATGATGCAATGTCCAGCCATCAACACATTTGTGAAGGAATTTTTACTCGCCAAAAGAGCGCCCCCCATGTCAGGAGAAAAAAGTCCATTTTTTCTTGTCTCCTAAGGCGAAAATACACATTGTTGACTGTCACGCCTTTACGCTTTGTCAAAATGACACAAAATTTGACACACACATGTATCTCAATAAGATCTACAAAAAAGTCAGTGCGGGCGTATCTGTCAAATGTACGGTTAAAGGGTTATTCCGCATTTTTTGCCGATCCGCACACATTGGAATTTCGCTAACTCCTCCTAAATCTTTTGTCCCATCGGCTTCAAATTTGCTCAGGTCAATCTACACCCCATGGCCATTCAAAGTTGTACAAATCATGACGCTGCACCCCACAGTTTACGTTCTAGGGGGCGCCAAAGAGGACCCAAATATCCACATTTTTAAAAGTCTTAGAACTTTATATTTTTGTCCTCACTGGCCTCCAAGTTTTCTAGGATGATGCAATGTCCAGCCATCAACACATTTGTGAAGGAATTTTTTCTCCCCAAAAGAGCGCCCCCCCATGGCAGGAGAAAAAGTCAAGTTTTTCCTGCCCATCGCTCAATGGCTCAAACGCATCGCTCTCTCTGCAAAACCGAAAGGAGGAGCAACCTGCCATTTGGATATATCCTAGCTGTGTTTGTGCCCTCACTCATGGTCCAGACTTTTTCAAATAGGACATGAAGTTTGTCTGCAGCGAGTGTTTTGGTAGAAACTGCGCCTCCCATTCATTATAATGGTAAATGACCACAGACAAGTGCGCACACCATCTTTGGACCTTGAGTGTGACGCGATCGGGAGGGGGAGGCGGTCGCGCTGGGGGCGGCGCGACGCGGCTCGGGCCCGACAGTGCCCCACCGGGGCCCTAGTTTCTTTTTCCTCCCCTTTGAACTGGAAAATGGCCCACTTCCCACTGGCGAAAACTCATGAAATTTGGCAGGACGACCGGGCCTGGTGAAAAATTTGATATTCTGAAGTCGCCCAAACAATACAATGCAAAATGGCTCCATAGCGCCCCCTAAGGTGAAAAATTCACCTGACGCCTGTACGCTTTGTCAAAATGACACAAAAATTGACACACACATGTATCTCAATAAGATCTACAAAAAAGTCAGTGCGGGCGTATCTGTCAAATGTACGGTTAAAGGGTTATTGCGCATTTTTTGCCGATCCGCACACATTGGAATTTCGCTAACTCCTCCGAAGGCTTTTGTTCCACCGGCACCACATTTGCTCAGGCCAATCTACACCCCATGGCCATTAAAAGTTATTCAAATCATTATGCTGCACCCCACGGTTTAGGTTCTAGGGGGCGCCAAAGATAACCCTAAAATCCACATATTTCAAAGTCTTATAACTTTTTATTTTTGCCCTCACTGGCCTCCAAGTTTTCTAGGATGATGCAATGTCCAGCCATCAACACATTTGTGAAGGAATTTTTACTCCCCAAAAGAGCGCCCCCCCATGGCAGGAGAAAAAAGTCAATTTTTTCTTGTCCCGTAAGGTGAAAATTCACATTGTTGAGTGTGACACCTGTACGCTTTGTCATATTGACACAAAATTTGACTATCACGTGTATCTCAATAAGATCTACGAAAAAGTCAATGTGCGCGTATCTGTCAAATGTACGGTTAAAGGGTTATTCCGCATTTTTTGCCGATCCGCACACATTGGAATTTCGCTAACTCCTCCGAAGGCTTTCCGTTCCACCGGCACCACATTTGCTCAGGCCAAATTACACCCCATGGCCATTAAAAGTTATTCAAATCATGACGCTGCACCCCACGGTTTACGTTCTAGGGGGCGCCAAAGATAACCCAAAAATCCACATTTTTAAAAGTCTTATAACTTTTTATTTTTGTCCTCACTGGCCTCCAAGTTTTCTAGGATGATGCAATGTCCAGCCATCAACACATTTGTGAAGGAATTTTTACTCCCTAAAAGAGCGCCCCCCCATGGCAGGAGAAAAAAGTCCATTTTTTCTTGTCCCCTAAGGTGAAAATACACATTGTTGACTGTCACGCCTGTACGCTTTGGCAAAATGACACAAAAATTGACAATCATGTGTATCTCAATTAGATCTATGAAAAAGTCAAAGAGCGCGTATCTGTATAATGTACGGTAAAAGGGCTATTTTGCATTTTTTGCCGATTCGCACACATTGGAATTTCGCTAACTCCTCCTAAGGCTTTCGTCCCAATGACACCAAATTTGCTCAGGCCAATCTACACTCCATGGCCATTCAAAGTTGTAAAAATCATGACGCTGCACCCCACGGTTTACGTTTTAGGGGGCGCCAAAGATGACCCAAATATACATTACAGTAGACAAAGTAGTTTTGCCCACTGAGTGGCGCCAAAGGGACTTGTCTGTGGAGTCTGTGAGTCACTATTGGCCGTTTTTGACTACTTTAGATTTTACCTTTATATTTCCTCTTACAAAATTTTTACCTTGCCTTGCCTGGTATCATTTTTTTCAGCACAACCTCACCTGTGTCAATTTACAGTTATTTTATCATTTTGACATACTATATTTACACATTGGACCCAAATTCACACACAAAACATAAAATCCGAGTGGAAAAAAGTAACGTTTTTACTGTGAAAACCACAAATATGTGTGATGAACTGTTTTTAAAACTTAAACTTCAAATAAAAATTGTAAACTTCAAAACATATGCAAATTTTTAACAAAGAACATAGTAATTTACCTCTATTTACATCAAAATGCAGGCAATGGCCCAGGTGTTCTTTGTAAAATTATTTACAAAACACTGTATAGTCTCACAAATGTCACTTTTTATTTATGCCACTACAAAAAAACATGATGTAAATGATGCATGATGTAAAACATGATGTAAAAAACTTGTGTAGATCCTCCTCTGTTAGAATTATGGAAAAATTACACATGGACTTTGTTTTTTGCAGCATTTTTGTTAGTGTAACTGCAGATTGTGCTGACAGTGTCTATGGCAAAAAAAAAAAAAAAACTGAAAATGCCTCAACATGAACCCCTGGTGGTCTCTGAGGGTGAAACCTGCTAACTGCTGCAGCTCTGTCAGCTTCAGTCTCCCATGCAGAGCTCGGAGCGCATGTGTGGCTCTGCACCCTTAGCAGCGTTGCTAACTCCTCAGTAAGGAAAGCCTGCTTCATGTCAGAGTCTCTAAACTCCAGAAGAAGTCGATAAAAGTCACTTTCTTTCTAAAAAAAAGTCGTTAGGGGGTCTGAAAAGTCATTGAATCTAACAACAAAGTCGCTAGGTTTGCAACTACGTGTCCCAGACTGCATCCCTGCTGAGAGTCCCTCCCTCCCTTCTCATATTGCAGGAAGAACGTAAGCGCCCGCCCCTTGTCAATCAGTCACCATATAATTTTGGATTGGTTGTTGTGGTGAAGTTTTCCACCAATAGGAGAGATGTTGTGGTGTGTTTTTTTTTTCCTTTGGCAAGCCTTTTCCGCCTGTAAGACCTGTCGCGAATGTCTGCATGCTATGTTTTCCTGTCTCATACAGCGCGATCGAGCGCCGAACGTGATCAAAATAAGCAGAAAACAAGTATCGCGGACATAATTTATCATAACTCTGGTTTTATTTGGCCTATCAACACAATTTAAAAACTGGTATATAGGTTGAGGTCCTCACTTTTGAGATAAGTTGAAACGGAGAGTCAACGAGGCTCCGTCTTGCAGCTACATCCGGTTAAATATGTCATGTGACTTGAACGCACACACACACACACACACACACACAGACACACACACACACGCACACACACACACTCAGAGTCTGGTTTTTAGCACCTGCAAAAACATGCTATTTACATATTTGACAAGAATGCAGAGGCTCCTTTTGCCCCTGAAAAAAATCAAATTTCAAACACAACTTGACTGGTCATTACTCCAAAAGACAACCATGAAGCTCCATCCAAACCTGAAGCAGGCAGTTGGTGCATGTGTACAGTAACCTGAGGGGAGTGAGGTGACTGCTTCTGAGGAGAACATGAGCAGTGAAGATTCACCTTAGAGCTAGAACAGAGACGTGCACATGATTATACAGGGGCAGGGGCTCAAGTTTTTTCCAGTTGTTTATACAATATGGAAATTAATGTGAAATTAAAAAACAAAGTATTAATAGAAAGGTAATGACTGTCCTGTGTAGGTGACAGTGATATCCAATAGGCTAGGCACTCACGAGGCTGGCTGTGGCAAGTGTAAGTGAAAGCAACACGCACTGGCAGGAAGAACAGCAAACGCCGATGAAGGAAAAGGGTCTTTGCAGTGATGGGCGTTACCAGAGAGGGCGATGGCCAGAGGACACAAATGGGACGGGGAGGCAGCGCGTTGGGGGGGGGGACGCGACACAGCTCGGGCCCGCCAGTGCCCCAACGGGGTCCTAGTGATATTTATTCCTCGACGAAATGATCTCAAAGCTGCGTTATTAAAACGAGATCAAGCGAGCACTTTGCATAGAGCAGGTCCCAGTGTTACTGAGTATCCCTCATGATGCTGAATCAAAACCTATCGCAGCTTCTGCACAATGAATGCAGAGGGTTTGTGGATGCAAGGGGGTGTGTACGGCTTCTCTGAGGAGTCAGGATGATGTTGTGCCGCACATGCACGCACTCACACACATACTGACTCCACGCCCCCTTCACTCCAAATATCCAGGCTTGCTGCAGTACAAGGACAGCATGGTCTGTTTCAAGGTAGGACAGGGGCGTTTCCACAATTTTACCTGTGGTGGCCCATCTCGGGAACTTACTCTTGCAGGGGTGGCCCACTCATGCACTAATAAAAACAGTATCATTCAATCAATCAATCATTCTTTATTTATAAAGTGCTTTTGCTACAGGGATGTTACTCAAAGAGCTTTACAGTCAAGTTAAAAACAAAAACAAAAAACTATCCCAGATGCCCCCACACACACACACACACACACACATCCACACCCATGCCAGTGCACCCACACATACACACTAGGGCCCGACTGATATGGATTTTTTGGGGTCGATGCCGATACAGAGTATTTGGAGGGAAAAAATCGATTAGGTACTGATTAATAGGCTGATTTTTTAATTTTTTTAAGAAGTTATGAAAATATATATAAACTGTACTGTAGATATACTGTAGGCTATAACACAATTCAAACAGTTGATTTGTTCGTACACAAAGTCGCATCTCCGACAAGCCAAATGAAAATTCATAGGGGGGCCCATGCCACCCCTGGTCACCCCTTTGTGCACGCCCCTGAAATTTTGCATATCTTGTTGAAATACTGCTCTGCACTGAATATAGAAATTTTCAGTCATGTTGCTAACATTGCAGGTGCATTTGGGTTCCTGAATCCTGAGAGTTTTTTTTTTTCTTTAATTCTACGATGCAGCACTTGATCCACTCTGGAGAAGTGACAAACAGAAAAATCCTGACATCCAGACTGCAAGAAGGTCTGAAACTCCTTCTTTCAACCTCTACAATTATAAAGTGATGAATAATGTGTCAGTGTAGACAATCATTGCCATTGACACAGGTAATTACACAGCTTGGACATTGCTAACAAGCTGCATAATGGCAAATGGCTCATTGCTTATGGGGGATTGATGGTGATGGTTAAAGAGAAGGCAATGCTACCACAAAGTCATCACAATGCTCGAATATACAAGAATGATTTAAAATAGTGGGCTTTTCCATGTTTCTGTCCATCTCTTTCACACAGGCCATTAAGTCAAGGCCCAATTGTGTATGAAATAGCTTTGGCAAACACAGCCGCAGAAACGGTCACGAGAGCTTGGACATTTCTACAGATACTCAATTTGAACATGGCTGCAACCCTAAACTGTATTTAAAGGGACACAAGGTGGATTAGAAAACAGAATTAAAGGTTTGCCAAACCAAAATCATGTTAAAGCTACATTTTGAGGCTGATACACTTTTATTTTCAAAATGTTTTCTGTTTTGTTGCACTGATTCTGACCCAGACAACTATTCATTTTAATTTGAGTAAATTGTTCGTATCACAGAAGAAGCAGCAAAGCAAACCAAGGAAGCAGGTCTGAATTCAGTCCTTGAAAATTTGCTTTCTTACCTTTGAATGAGTCAGGTTGTTAGATTTTGCTTTTCTTTATTTGAATGGGAAATTAGCTTAAAATAGGGTGTCTCATTGTTTGTCACAAATTTCTTTCACGAGAAGAGAGGTAATATTGTACTTGAAAATTTGTGAGACTATTATCAAAGTACTTACCTGATTGTATCTTTTATCTTGTGTTTTTGCTTTGCAAAAGCTGTAAAAGATTATATGACAAAAAAATTCCTGTTTGTAAGATATATATATATATATATAAAAAAAAAACTCTTTAAAAACATGACTACAGCTACTTCCACCCAAATCTGAGTCTCCTGCTGGTCTGGGACAGAGGGATCTTATCGCACTGGCCCGCTATCTCTTATCTTGATAGAGATCTGACTGCATTGTACTGGCTGCATGCTGACCCCCAGTGTGGCCCGCAACGCTCCCCCCAACAGGGTGCGACTTTGCCAATCTTGCTTTCCAGGACAGCCTTGGGAGCCCTGTTGTTGTTGTTGTTGTAGCTGTCAGTTTCTGTTGTGCCTCCAGAAAGCTACTGCGGTAGGAAACAGGGAATGAAGAATTATTGGCATCAGATAGACAGATAGATAGACAGATAGATAGATGAGCTCACTGGTTTCAGAGGTGGCATAAATATTTAGGCTGACACATTTCACCTGTCTCCATCTTTTCTTGTAAAATGAGATCAAGAATCTGTGTAAAAGTACAAACACAGACAATGATGCAGCCATAGATGTCGTCTCTGTGATGCATTAGATTTAACTCAACATGTAGCAAGTAGGACGAAGCATGACTGACATATTTTGGCGGCTTCTTTCTCCCCTCCATTATCTCAGATAATAACAGTCTTGTCAGCAACAGAGCAGAAAGTTACACTTCTCGAAATGAGCCCCCGTAGAGCAAACCTGCAGGGCCTCTGAGGCACCACATGATAAAACTCAGGTAAGCGTAAAAAAGCAAGGTGTGTGGATGGCGCACAGAGCACAAGTGCACTGACCATCACTGGAAGGGGCGTCTGGTTGGTATAGTAATTAACCCTTCTGAGTGGTCGGCCTGGAAACTGCTGGCTCCACATGCCCCTGTCCACCCCCATCCTTCAAACCTTCAGAGGGGCCCAGAGATGACGGGGTGTCAAACCCTCACTGGTCACACTTATTAGAGCCAGTGAGCATTGCTGTGACCCCGCTGGTCTCTCCCACAGTCTAGGCCCCAGGGTAGGATAAGAGAAGTGGGCTGAGCATCAGAATGAAGCAAGATGACACTGTGATAAGATTAGTGGTATATATAATATACTACAGCCTGTCTTAATATCTCAAACATGGAACAGTATCAGTCTACTACAAAGCCACAGAAAAGCATGCACTCTTATATAAATGGTCTGTCTTTCAAACACAAAACCAGAAAGTTAAACACCCACCTGAGTGATTAAAGCAGCAGAAGCACATTTTTTACTTGCCCTCTGGTGGGGGACATTGCCGTCACAGATAAGAGGCTGAGATTAGTTTTGGCAGGGGCTAGTGGCGGGTACCATAGCCTCATTTTATCTGTAGAGGTGATGATTGGCTACATCAGCTCTCGGGAGTCCTCTTTTGCTCTCTGGCGGTGTCAGAAAGCAGACTGTATCTTTCAGCTGAGTGACAAGACCAAGTACTGGGCAATGAAATCCTGATAGGGGTCTGGGATTAATCTTTAGCACACAAGGATGCTCGTGTAGTTTGTAAACTTTGGCCCAAGAAATCAAATGAGATAAAGTTAGAATGCACTTCTGGTGCCTTACATATGTTCACTTTTTGGTCCCTAAATGCATATTTAAAGCTTCTATAAGGATTTTAAAGTTGATGTTGACTTTTGTACCCCCTTGTGGACAAAGAGGTATACCATATCTCTTTGATGATCTTGTCTTGCAAGAAAAGCTAGACGCTTTGTCATCTTAACCTTGACATGCTTGATCCAAAACAAACAATAACTTGCAACACAGTGTAAAGACTATAACCTGATTGAAAGTCTGGGGTTGTCAGAGTTCATGACATTAAATGGAGGTGAGCCAAATTTGAAGCTCCCCTGGGATTAAGCTATATAAGAAAAAGCATCAACTTCAATCCATGTCACAAGTCAGATATCCCCTGAAAAATGGTCACTGTCTCCTGTAATCTCGAGAGGATGCATCTTTGTAACAGATCCACGAAGCTTACAAAGCATACACTGTATTAGCATGCTAACTACATAGATTATTTCAAGGAATCTGATAGCAAGCTGGTGTCAACTTGTAATTTCATTAGTTAAGACTCCATCTGGTTTATAAACTTAAACCCTCCAGGGGGTTGAAAAAGGCTCACTACAGTGTGCCAAATCAGCTGCCTGGCGCAGTTCCGACACTGGGTGCTCACCATAGCTCTCCCCATCTCCAATCCTTTCTCTCCTCTTGCCTCTTATTTTATGTCAGAGATTAAAAATAGCAAGTGGCCTTCTGCAGAATAAGCAGTTCATGGATTCTGGCTTTGACGCTGTGTTTGCCTGGAGAGGCCAGCTGTCACCTGCATACGGGAAGAGCAGGCCTCAACACTGATTCTCAATACACAGCGGGCTGTAGACTTTGGCTGCAAGACAAAACGGGTGTGTTAGTGCATCCATTCGCTGGGAAACTTTTGGTGTTTTTACCTAAGATTGGGTGTTAACTGGAATATACAAACTATTTAGGCATGATCATAGCTTGAAAAAGACAGCTAATTCAAACGGACATCTTTCAAAAAGTCGACATGTTTATGCAACTAAAAACTGAGTTTCTACGATTAACGTCAACTAAGTGTGAAAGTTTTACGCTGGATCAATTCTCTATCAAGGCTGGAGAGAAGAGAATCAAGTTAAGCTGCTCTAATCTGAAACACAATCAAGAGACTCAGGCTGCTGCATTGAGAATTAATGAGAGACCAACTTTAGAAATGATCCAGAGTGATTTTCTACAGATACAGGCTCATTTAGCAGTTCACAACATGCTATCAAACAAATCCCGTCTGTGTATGAAAGCTCAGACAAATATTACACCAAGTTCATAAAGTCAGGGAAGTTGAACTTTTCTGCTCATGTGGTTTTCTTCTGTGAAAAAGTTCCTCATGCACCCCCTCACTGACACTACGTAGCGTCTCTTAACACCTTTTTTTATGCATGTGTGTTTTTGAATGTTCGGTTTTCTCCAAACTTAAGAGTATAACTTTTGAAACGGCTGCTATTTGTGAGTGAATTGAAAAAGAGTACATCAAAACAGGCCATAACACAGGCAGATGCAGTTATATTTATAAATATCAAGGCACATTTAGTCTCATTCAAACATCAGCATCTATGTAACAAAAAATAAAAGCATCTGATTTATAAGATCCACCCTCACAGTTAATAGACATCAATAGACTCTCTAATGTTAATTATAATAATTTACACATGTGTACAACACATTCAGTACAAGTTTTGGTTAGCTGAATTCAACCTCCTGATAGATTAGGATCAAAATGCAGCACTGACGTCATCGGCATCTCCAAAAGCAAACCATGGATTATCTCAATGTAGAGAAAAAGGAAGTTAAAGCTGCCGTTTTTTATTGATTTTGGAGCTAAATTTGTCCTTCAGGGGATAAGTTTGCATCTCTGTTGATTTCTAGATTGGTTGTTGCAGGAAAAAAGTCTGGACGTCTGAGTATGTGAGTAGTGGCTGGACAGGTGCTTCTGTTTTACTGATAAAAACAGAGTGGCTGCATGAACACTATGACAAAGGAACAAGAGGTGGTGGATGCGAGTTTCCAGTAGAAATGAGCAAGAAACTGATTTGCTTAAGTCTGTTGACGGCATGAGATCATGCCAATTGAGTCTAAAGGACGGTGTCACTATGCAGATTGACAATGAACGTCCAGCTCCCTTCTACTCGACACTTCTTTGGTCTGGCTGTCTGTTTGTGGTGCTGAGGTTTCTACATGTTCAGGTGTGTTATTCTGCGATTCACAGTGCTGCTGATCCACCTCTGGTTGATCATCACAGCCTTTATTGATTTGAAGCCATGGAAGGTCCGATTCAGTGTTCGGGACACCCAACGCCAAAGCTGCCTCCTCACCCTCCTCCACCGTAGAGCCCAGTTCCTCGACCTCAACTCCCTCTACCTCATGCCCCGCCTCCTCCACGGGACTCCGCCCCTGCTCCAGCTCTAAGGGGCCTCCATCTTCCGCCAGGGTCACGATTTCTCCGAAACTGCTGTCGATCCCATTCGTCTCCATGCCCATGAGGGGCTGCAGGCTGTTGAGGAGTGCAGGTGAGTCTTCCCTGCTGACGCCATCTGTGCTAAGGTTGCTGCCAGTGGTGTGGCATCTCCACAATGATTCATGGGAACTTCTGTCGTCTGACACAGCTGGGAGAGGGAGGATGAGACAACTGGTCATTTTAATTACTCACTTGATCTGAAGCCACAGTAACATCCGAAAACAAGTCTCTTTGCCCTTTTCTCTTCCTCTGTAGGAGTCATGGAGTCAAATGTCTTTTAGCATCAGCTGCTAAAAACAACAAAACATCTGCAAGACTTCCTACAAATACAACCTTCTTATTAAACACTAAGTCTCTTTTGATTATGAATCTGCTGCCTGTTTTCACTGGGTAATCATTTAACAAAATCTGACAATTTTTGTTTTCTTTTTCTTTTTTTTTAAACATTTTTTACGCTGCTTCTTTCTTGATATAACGGCCAGCCTTTCACTGGTTGGTTAATTTATTTAATCATAACACAGGCAAAAATATAAATCGCAGATTATTCTAACTAATGTCTTTGTGTATCTTCTATCTGTAATGCTAGCAACACTGAATTACGCTACCGTGGTGTTAAATATTGATAAACAGAATCTGATTGTTTGCAAATCATATAAACCCACTTTTTAAAAATAAAAAAATAGTGTAAAGACAAAGTGTTTTTTTTTTGTTTTATGTAATTGCAGCATGTTTCAAAAGACAGGGACAACGAAAAAACTAAGTAATGTGCAAATGGATGCATCTTTACATCTTACTTTTTTATATGCAAATAATTTATCTGAAGTTGTAATATATCTTTATTCTGTCTAGATATTGCATTTTTATTTTGTACTTATTTGACTGTACAGATTTTTTTCTGCACATACTGATGCTGCTGGAACCTTCCCTGAAGGATTAATAAAGTTATATCTAATCTAATCTAATCTATAAATACACTCGAAAAAAAACAACAGAGAATCAATTGGAACCAAGTGTGCTGACAGACAAAAGCTGTAATGTCAAACCACAATGAAAAAAAAAACACAATGAAAACTTTTCTCTCTTTAAGTTGAACCACTCCGTCAACATAGAAAAGTTATTTCAATTACTTATGTGACTGAAGTGCTTCCATGGCAACAGGCTAAATATAGCAGCAGTGCCCCAGACAAGGGGACGCAAGACGAGTGTGACGCCCCGCATCTCAGCGACAGCAACAGCTTAGTTCTGCTCCTTCGCCAAAATATGCTCTCACTTTGGGGATTACTGACCCATATTTGTGGATGTGCAGGCAAAAAGGTTAAAGACTGCACATGGAGTCCCAGCCACCTTTTCCCAGACACACACACACACGCACGGACACTCGCACATGCATGCAAAAAGACACAGGAAGAAAGCAACATGACTTGAGCTGGCATCCATATTTATGGGCCCCCACCCCTCCTTCTCCTTTCAAAGAGAACAGGGCAGAAGTTTCTGAATGTCAGCGGGCGAGAATTTGCCTCACATTTCCAAAATGCCATGGCATTTGGGCAGCTTGCACCAATGAGAAGCGGAGAGGAGTGCGGGCGGGAAGGAAAAGGACTCGGGTTAAACATGGAAGATAGCGAGGAGGGTTTAGCAGGCGGCGGCTAATTACGGTGTTTACGCCGCTAGCCGTGGGTGCTCCTGAAAGCCAGTTACACACAATTACGCACTCACCTTTGGGTGGCAGCACTGTGGGCTGAGATGTGACATGCGTTGGATGAAGTTCTGGTTGAAGATTTTCATTCAGTGTGATGTTTTCTCGTGTACCTGCAAGTCCAACATCAAGGAATGTTACTTTTAAAAGAGAAAAACAAGATTTCCAAAATGATTTCCAAACATTGGGATTGGATGAAGCTCGTCCAAGCACATGCATGATATGTATACTTTGACACCACTTACAAGCACGTATGCTTTGCAGTGCTCACAGGAAGTGGCTTCACATCCCTGTCATCAGTCTTCATTAGTGATGGCTGCACGCCTCTTAGGCTGACACCATATGCTACTCATAGCAGACTCTGCACTATAAACCAGACGTCACACATCCACACGCGGGGCTGTTTCCACACAGACACATGCATTACGCTCCCGCCTCTGAGCGTGCACATCAGCCTTTTCTCTCACAAAGAGCCTGTGAATAGGCCTGTTTCTGACCATTCAAGTGTGAGGCTCAAAAACAAACAGAAGAATGGGAAAATGGATGGCTGGGTGACACGATGCGTGAGAATCATGAATGGTGAACGGAGACCATATTGTTATGAATGCGGTCCATATTGTTATGGATGCTCAGTGCTGACACTGATGTTGGAGCAGTGAGTGAGAGGGTTGGCTGAGGGCAGAGTGTCAAGAGAAAAAAAAAAAAGTTTCCTCAAACTTCTTTTCGCAACTTAAAGGAAATGTCAAAATTATAATTTATCAGTTACTTTGGTTTATCATTGAATTAATTCTCAGCTACTGACATTAGCATGAGCCTCATTAGCAAATGTGAGCTCACCGTAAACAAAGACGTCAATCTGATAGACATTATGCCAAACATCTGCATAGCTATTTGAGCCTCTGACTGAATATGAAGACGGGTGACATGTCTCCATCTCTTCACACTGCAGGGGGCGCTGACAGCTTAGGCATTTGGAGTTTGTGCTGCAGGGACTGGTAGAAGAATTTCTGTCTTTATTTAATTTTAAAAAAATCACTGATCTTTTTTATTGTGTCCTGCTGCAGCTTTTTAGAACAAACAAGTCAGAGTTGGCCTGTAACTTTGGGACTGTGCTTCCTTCACGCTTTGAGATGAGGGTTATAAAGAAGTTCTGTTGTTTCAAGCCTATACTTGTGTGGAGTTTTGATTACTGGTTTGAAGCGTCCAGACTTGGCAGAGATGTGTGTCATCTCAGATGGAGGCAAAAGGTTCCCATCTTCTTGTCACTCTCATGCAGGTACAACAAACAATAGATGTACTGTATTTGCCCCGAGTCCACATCGGCATCACATGATACTCCTAAATATCAGATCGTCAACTCTATAGAGACGTCTGTCAAATAGTCACATGCTTGCACCCTAGACTGGGTGCAGCCCAGCTCCAGAGTGACAAGGTAATGTCTTTTTTCTTCACTGGAAAAGTCAGTGACTCGACCAAAACACTGTTTTATGGCTGCACTCTGTAGCCACCTCTGTCTTTTCAATAGCTGATGCACACTGACAGGCTTTCAGTTGCTGTGTTACATTCCTGCCTGCACTCTTTCAGAAGGGTGGACTAGCCGGGATCTATCAATCACAACTTTATCTGACTCAGTGCGTCCACAACATTGTTATTGTTTTTGGCTCTCCCTCATCCGGAGACAATGTAGTCACCTCGAGTGTTTTCGGGGCCTCAGGTAAGGCAGCCAAGGCCTTCCATCCTATCCCGTTTAGCTTTAATATCCATCAGCCAAACTTCACATCACATCAAGGCCGCATGCGCTCGCATCTCTCTATATATTTCTGTCTCCCTAACCGTGGTGGACAGCGCGGTCGTCAGCCACTCCGGGCCCCCCTCGCCTACAAATTCCCTAATAACGGCACATTCCCCTAAATGTGTTTGTAATGTGGGCAATCATTTTCAGTAATGGATGCTTGTCAGTTTTATAGCGGTGAGAATGACGGTCTCATGACAGGGCACCTCAATTCAGCCGCAGCCCCTCCACCTCTGTTGTGTTGCTCATCCACAGCACAACATCCCCCTCTAGTGGTAAAAGCAGGGAACCAATTCCTCTGTTAATGTCTTGTTGCAGGTTGATTTTTCTTTTCTGACAGCAAATTCAACTTCAAATACGATTATTTAGACTTTGTAAATCTTTTTTTTTTTTTAGATTTGAGATGTATTTTTGAGATTTTGGTGAGCTACAATTCAGACAGATCACAGAAGTACTCTTTGCCTATATAAGCAAAATTTGTTTGACAGCTTAGGTGCATAGAAAACATAACTGAACTGCCTTAAAAAGGTCCCTCTTGCCCATATAATAAGCCCAACCTAGACACTCAAAGTGTGTCAACATAGAGACACATTCACTCGACCAAAAGGATCACCGGTTACATGAACAAACACATAAGCGGGTGGTCAACGGGAATGACACTTAGTAAACGGTGAGCATGAGGTGACACATTTTCTGGGTGTCTGCCCAGATTTGTCCTGGCATGATACAGTGGAGGGCATGGATGGTCTAAGTGGAGCAGAAGGAATACATACTCCCAATTCCCACGGATACGCGGTAGGTCAAGCCTGAGACGCGGCCAGAAAGAGAAAGACATACGGTTATTAGCGTCAAGGCTATTTCACAAATTTAGATTTTGAAAAATACAGACAGACGACTCAAAATACAAGAAGTAAGAACTGCAATATTTTCAACATTGTTCACAGCGTCCCAGCTTTCCTGGTAGTAAAGTTGTCAAAGAATACAAAATAAATTCAAACCTAAAACGAGGGATTTAAATGCAGAGTATTTAAGGACTTCTCCTCCTCCATCGAAAGATAAAGACAGAAATGGCACACTGTCAACACAAGCAGATCCTCAGTCGCACGGTCATGTTTGCTTATGGTGTGGAACAGTTACAGGTATCAACCAGGTTAAAGCAGAAACATTAAAAAGACAGCAGATAAACACTGAGGCTGGGACTGTTGACATTTTAACTACAGACAACAGCTATTCCAGACCTCTATGAGAACATTTTACTTGCTGTACTGACCCAAAAGTATCTTGTGGGTTAGGTTTTAAGTTATTCTTGGACTTAGACTAACTTTTAAGACTTTGAAACCTGGTCAAAAGACCCACCTGGAAGACTCCATAGTCCTGACACCTCCAAGGTCTTCAACTTCCTTTCCAAATCTGCAACTCTGTTTCCCAAGATCCTGTGGGCCAGGCACTACGTGTCAGCATGCATGAAGAGGAAGGCAGCGTTTGTGTGTGTGTTTGCGTGAGTGTTTGCTTTTAGGGTGGAGGAAGAGGATTCCCAGAACAGGCTGGCAAACATCTTTAGTGCAGTCAGGAGATAAGGTGCGAGAGAATTACCTGTTGGTGTGCCTTTGGTGCTGGATGACCAGGTTCTTTTCATGGATGGTCTCCAGCAGAGCTGTGGCCAGGGACTTCAGGTCGGAGATGGACTGAGGCGTGGCTGGAAGACTGCAGCCCTGCTCTTCCAGAAGCATCTCTTGGACTTGAGAAAACGGATAAAAGATGGTGGGAAAAAAAAAATTACACTGTCCCTGAAAATTACATATCCCCCATAACTTCATTTAAATTTAATTTTGCATCTCATGCATCTGAGACGACAGCTGATGGGTCCTGAACTATTTCGATTATCGTTGAGTAGAGGTGAAACATGCATTTTGAAACCGATTCACTTTCCAGCTGGAGGTTACAAAGAGGACTTCCAGCCTTGACATCTTTTCCGTGCCACATACTCCGAAAGGTAAACTCTTGGTCCATTACATACCCTGGGATAGAGTCTGACATCTGTTTCAAGGACTAGCAAAGATCTCTGTTTAACATTAGACATACAGGTGCTTCACTGTGGCGTACACTTACAATTTATAGGTCTTAACTTAATCATGACAAATACTCAAACTTCACCTGGCCTGATCTCAAAGAGGACGAAAACACAACCTTTAGACTGCTTTTGCATTCAGACCACTTGATACAGACTCTACATTTCTATGCAGCGTCCATAAACAGAGATCGGCTTGGATAAAGCCATTCAATTTCCCTTTAATCCAATCTATAAATCTTCCAAAAATAAGCCTTAAAAAACAGATTAAAAAGGCTAGAAAAGGGGTGATAAACTTAAAGAGGAGAAAAACAGCATGATATGAGCAAGACAGAGATGGAGCATCAGAAACAGCTGTCTACGAGGAGACACTCTCCTAACTTTAACTCCGTAACCCACTGTGCTGCTTCTGCCAGCGACTGTCAGTCATCATGGCAGGCTCATTTTCCTGCCAGTGGTGCTCTCCACCACTCAGAATACAATTAGTAACACAGCTGGTGTCCGGGCGCTGGCTTGAAGGATCGGCAAAAAAAAGGGGAGTTATTAAATAATGCAATGAGGCACGGCGATGAACATTGAGAGGAAACTGAAAACAAACTTGCTGTGATCAAAAATGAGGTGAAGAAGAACGTTTTCGAGACCTTCAACACTTTCCAGAACAGCTGCTCTGGTTTCTGTTGATGTAGGAGTTAAGAGAGAATTCAGAGCGAGGAGAACAGTTTGTATTTTCACCTTGTTTGGCTGAGAGGACTCCAGTGAGAGGGCTGCTGTTTGATTTCCCATATGTGCTGGAGTTTTTCCTCCTCTCAAGAGCCGTCTGTGGGATACCAAAGGAGGCCGTGTTTGATGTGCGATTTGAATTTAAGTAACCTCTTGTTCTTTCAGAGTACATGCACAAGAATACAAATTTAGCAAAGCTTCAAAATCTATCTATGTTTGAGCAGGGGCTTTTCATCTGTACCTTGTACTTCATGATGTTGGATTTCAGCAGATTCACCTCCTCTTGGAGCTGGCCGAAACGCTCATGCAAATACCTGCAGTGCAAATGATCCCGATCAGAAGTGTCACAGGTGATACGAAAGGGGTGGTGAGGGGCAGACGTTTCGCAGAAGTCTTGTAAGTTTGAGCAAAGTTAAGAGAATCCCTGAAACCAGGTGTAACTTTCATAATAACTTTAGACCAGTTTAATTTGGACCCAGCGTTGAAGTTTTATCACATCCTTTTTTTGTGACCAATTCTCTTGCATAACTTGTTGGAAGAAGTCCAAGATGACTGTCCCACTCACCTGTTTTCCATACAGAGGGCATCCACATCAATGATGCGTGCCCCATGGTTGCCCAGAATGTGGTTGAGCTCCACGTTGACCCGGTACGCCTTTTCCCTGAACACATTACGCTCCGCCTTCACGTCCTGCAGCTCATCTGTCAGAGCCTTCACATTGTGCTCCATTTCCTCCATCTGGAATAAGCCAGACAGGCAACAAAATGTTACTTTGAAGGGATATTTTGGAGAATTTTTAACATAGACACTTTTCTATAATCAGTAATTCAGACGCTTTCCACAGTGAAAACTTTTCTACAGTTTTTTAACGAAGAGAGTAGTTCCACTGGACCAGCTCAAAGTTAAAGGGTCTGATTGCATTTCCATGAAGTAAAAATCATAAATGTTCTTCCTTGAGCTGTGTCACCCAACTGCAGTCCGTAATGGACTGGCCTGAGTCTCGCAACAAACAAGCGGCTGCTGGAAGAGAGTAGGTGAGTTGTGTTTAGTCTCTTTGCTAAAGAAAAAGGCAAAGTTAAAAAGATGTTTGGTGGCTAGGTCCCTATATGTACTGTTGATGAAGTTAGGTGCTGTTCTAAGCATTATTTGTGGCTATAGAGTGGTGTTTTGGTTGAGGTTTGTTTATGGCTCCTCAGACTGCTGTGTATCGCTATCTTGCGGTCGTTACTAAAGTTGGTTTAACTAAAGAAGCAAGCAGTCAGCAACATTCATCTCTTGAGGGGTTGTCTAACTCGGTGTTACAGTGTGTTTGACCCTAAATTAATCTTACGCAAGAATATCCCTTTAAGTCTTGAATCAGAAACATTCCCAAGGAGGTACTACATTAAAAAAATAATAGGGTTGCACAACCAATAACTGTGTTGTCACCTGCTGGGACCAATTGAGTTCAAGATTTCCCCTCACCAATCACAAATCTCTTTGCAATAAAGCTGCTACAAGAACTACGAACCAAAACCATCATAACAAAGACCAAACAAGTAATTTTTCTAAATCACTATTAATCGCTAGAATTCAATAATTAATGTTGATTAAAAGCATTTGAAGTTGCCTGATCAAAGTTTCATTATTTTGCATTCAAAAAGTCTATACTAGCAATGTCTTAACAGTACTTTAATGTTGGAGTTTTAATGAGTTCTTGATATTGATCATGACTTTTTGATTTATCATTCACATAAATAATAAATCTTTATTTCATTACAGTGAATTGCGTTCTTTCCTGACAATTACATCTCCTTTTGTCAGCTGTGCAGCACTTTTTTATACAGACCATATCTATGTTTCAAGGACTTAAAGTATAGAGGCACAAATGACCTGATCAAAGAGCAAAATAAACAAACTATGAAAATATTCGAATAATGCTAAATGTCCACTCTAAGGTAAACCTGTGTGTTGAGGCTAAATGTGAAGTAAAAATTAGGTAGAGGGGTGAGAAATACTGTGTGATCAATCTACAACTGGTCTTATGATTTCTGAAATAAAAGGTATATTAGTAGCAATGTTTAGGTTGTGTGAATGTGTACTTTTAAGATAAGTTTTAGGGAGCAGAAAGAAATACACAAACCTGTAGCCCTGCTCTCTCCAGCTGACGGACAAGATCCTCTCGCTCATGTGCTGGAAAATGACGTACTCCTACCTCCTCATCTCCCAACCTCTGTCGAGTAATGGTCATCCTCAGGAGCTGTAGAAAAAGAAACAAACATGAGGCTAAATTTGCTCCTTTTGGAAAACACATCGACTCATGCACTGGATCGATTCACCTTGAACAACTCTTTATGTGTTTGTCTGTGTTTATTTACAAGTAACCTTACCTTGTTATCCCCCTGGGCCTCCGCCAGCCTCTGTGTCAGCTCCTTCACCTCTTCAGCGAGCTGTTTCGCTCGATCTCTTGAGTCTCTCAGCAGCTGAGCCAGGTTCACCTGAGGAGATGGTGAAGACGAGGAGGCGTATTGAGCTATCGTGTAGACATACATATGTGAAGGAGCTTATTGGAAACATCACAGATTTTTCTAATTTGTGCTTTTTAAAACTGATTTGTTTAAGCAACTTAAACTCGGGTGACTCAGTGTCCCTGAAACAACACCACGAGGATTTCCTACAAAACAAACCTTGCCACAAATGCATCAAAATCACCTCTCAATACTGAGTTAAGTTTTGAGATACTGTTCTGTGTTTAATGAGAAGTAATTGTCGCTTAACTGAGAGAGAACAGAGCATAACATTTAAACTATACCACAGTGTAGGTACTTCTGGCATGAGTGGCAGGAAAACAGTCTTAAATATCAATAACAGCTTACCTGGTTGCGTTTTTCCGGTGGCAAAGAGGTGTCTCCATCCTGAAAAACAAAATGAGTTTGATTATTATTTGTAACAGAGTAAAATGACTGTGAAACACTCTAACTTTATGAACTTCCACTCACAATTAGTTCCCTGTACTTTTTCTTGAGTCCCTGGTGGCGCTCCCTCAGCTGGTTCGCCATCAACTTGTACTGGTCTCTTTCCTGCTGACAGGTATCGAGCTCCTTGGAGAGGATGAGGAGGGCCTCTTTCTTGCTCTCCAGCTTGCGCTTGCACACCAGGAACTAGGGAAAAGACCGCATACAAGGACAGAAGTGACAGCAGAAGTATAATGAAGTACAGGGAAGAGTTAAACTCAGGTCAAAATACATAAATGTATCAAAAAAGCAAAAGCATTCTGTTGCATGATTTTGGCTTTAAGGGCAGCACAGTGGTGTAGTGGTTAGCACTGCCGCCTCACAGCAAGAAGGTCCCGAGTTCGAATCTGGCTTAGGGTGTTTCTGTGTGGAGTTTGCATGTTCTCCCTGTGTCTGCGTGGGTTTACTCCAGGTACTCTGGTTACCTCCCACATCCAAAAATACATGCCAAAGTGGGGTTAGGTTAATTGGCCACTTTCAAATTGCCCTTAGGTGTGAATGTGAGGGTGGATGGTTGTTTGTCTCTACATGTCAGCCCTGAAATGAACTGGCAACTTGCCCAGGAATGGGAATAAGCAGTAGAAAATGGATGGATGGGTGGATGGATGGATTGATTTTGGCTTTATAATTTCCTAAAGGTCCAATCTGGAGGGAAAGCTGTCAAAAACAACAAACATATCTGACGGTAGCTTTAAAAAAAATCACCAAAATGATCACTCATTGCAAAAGTTCCTCTTGGCCTCCTCGAGAAGAACTTACATACACTTCAGCTATTACAGAATTCAGCTGCTAGAGTGCTGGGAGGGCCAGAGGGCGAGAACATATAACACCAGTTTTAGCATCACTGCATTGGCTCCCCATCAGTTTCAGGATTGATTTCAGGGTTCTTCTATTAGCTTTTAAATGTATTAATGGTCTTGGCCCCTTTTATTTATCTGACTTACTTTTATCATATCAACCCTCGTGGACTCTGAGGTCCTCCGGCACAGGCTTTTTAACCTTAACCAAAGTCAAAACCAAAACACACAGGGGGGCGGCTTTCAGTTCTTATGGTCCCCGGTTGTGGAACAGCCTGCAGGAGATCCTCAGGGGCGCAGAGACTGTTGATGTTTTTAAGAAGAGGTTCAAGACTCACCTTTTTAACCAGGCTTTTCATTGATTGCTCTTATTGCAAATGAAGTTCTTATTGTTTATTTTATGTCATTTTATTAATTATCTCTGTTCTTAGTCTTTTTTCTTGATTCCTGTCACAGGTTTTTACTTCTTTTACCCCTTTTTTGTATGGTAAAGAGCTGTTACTTAACTGTTCATTTAATATTATTTTCTTGTTTTAGTAAATCAGGTTTTACTCTTTTTTTTCACCATTTTTATCTCTATTTTTATCTCCAGTGTTTCCCAGAGGTAGCTTTTTCCTCACGTAATGTCTCTGTGTCAGGCCATGTCTCTCTAACAATATATCTTCAATTCTCACACTGTGTGCGCTTGCGTGTGTGTATGTGTGGGTGAGTGAGGGTGTGCGCGTGGGTCCATGGGTGTGTGTATGGGGGGGGTGGGAGGGTTGGGTTTTATTGTTGTTAATTGTTGATTTTAGCCTTTGTGAGGCACTTTGAATTGCATTTTTTGTATAATTTGAATTTGAAATGACTCAGCTGTACAAATACAGCCAACAGTACAGGTGGAAAACCACACAGGAGCAGAGTGTTTAAAGTTAAGATAAGACAGTGAAAGTCAACCTTCATAAATGTCAGACCAGCTTGTAACCAAATTAAAAGACTGCCACTGCCATGATACCAAAGGTGCAGTGGTAATGTTGTTTAATAAGGCTTGCAAATCTACAGCTTACAATTAATAATGGAGTTGTCCAGTTATGTTTTTTTTTTTTTTTAACATTGATTGAATGAAATTACTCTATCTCGACCCTTTTTATTACTTTTTTTGTTTGTTTAATATGGCAATATATTGTCATTAGTGCCAGCAATGACAGCATGTAGCCCCACAGGTGGATCTGTGCTCCTTGCGTGTTTAAGAAGTGGGCAGGGGTGTCCCCGCCTGGATGCTGTCGGCCTGCAGGCTAGCTAACGCAGTCAGCGGATGTTATCATATTAATCATAAGCTCAAGACCAAAAGTTTAGGGTTTAAAGAGGTGTAAAACAGCTCATGTGTGTATTTATCCAAGGGGCAAGAGCTCTTTCCATATGGACGACGGAGCTAACGTGAAGATGAGTCCGCGCCTGCAACAGCTGTTCACGGTTTCCTCCACTTCCACTTACCTCGCTGACAAGCCCCTGCCAGTCACTCTCACTCCTCTTGGAAGACTGCATTATCCGGATATCTTTAAAAAATGTCAGGGTATGACCAGGAGTCTCTTCACCTCCCTCCGTCCGTCCGTGCTGCTACTGCTGCCTCTCCTCTCCTCCGTTTGTTTGTCCTGCAACGTCACCTCAAGGCTGTCGTCAAGCGGCGCGTGCCGAGAAGTGACTAAAGATCCCACTTCCGTGATAAGTGAACGTAAAATTAATCATCGGACAAGCTTTCTTAAACTGTTAAAATTTAACCTTCCGGTTATATACATAGAAAAAAGTAAATAGCGAAGGGTTTAAAACACAAAGACCTGGTATGTCGGTGCATAAAAGTGAATAATAACAAAAAACTATTGTAAGAAAGCGGAAGCTGATATAAATTACCTTCAAAATAAAAGCACATCACTTTTTACCAGAACGATAAAATCTTACTCAATCCATGACAGTTACATCATTTTTTTTCTCCTTTTAATAATAATAATTTTCTTTTATGGGAGATTGAGATTGAAGTAGTTGTGTGTGCCAAGTCCTTGAAAAACATATTTTGGTTTATTTGATTGTGTTTCTGATTTTTTTCCACACCCAGTGATGAACCTCAAACTCCAGCATCTCTATGATAAAAAGATCAACTTTATTGATTCACTCACTTGTTAAATACAAGAAACAGTCGAGAAAAAAATTGACATAAGCATTAAAATGTAACAAAAAAAAAGGACAGGTTGAAGACAACTAGTCATTAACATCAACATTCATATCAACAGACTGAGAATATTTTCATAATAAAAAACCAGGCAGTGAGTCAAGAAGTGTGTCAAAGATTGCAAGGAGCAGTCCTACTCCAAGACCGTCTTTTTTTTTAAGGATACCTCAGAACAAACTAAAATAACATACAGTAGGAGAAGCAGTGTTTGATAATGAACACTGTCAATGTCTTTGTCATATGAAAGATAAAGCACTACATAAACACAACAAATCAGAACACTCAAATACATTTACAGTTTCTTTTTTCATGCACCTGGAAAACTTTAGAAGATAAAATTCTTAATATATCCTCTTTTTTCATTGCTGTCTCTTTGCTGGACTTGCATCCTTTTTACCTTTAACTTCATTCTCATTTCAACATCAAACTACATAAGAACACAGATTGCATGTTCCATGTGAAAAATAAGCACTGATATTTACTTATTTCAAAGAGCCAGAACAGTAATTTCAAGAGGCTTTAAACTTTTATTGTCCATTCTCTGTACATCTAAAGCAATATACAAATGTGTGAATCACTGTCCTGATGTAAATCCCCTGTACAAAAGGTGATACTGCAAACAGCAGCAGTGACAGTGAGCCTGATGAACATCAAAACCCCGTTCAGTTGATCGGCTCAGGCTTTGAGGTCATTGGTTCAGTTGCTGTTTCTTGAGATTCTTGGATTGGGTGTTTGACTTCTTCTTCTTCTTTTTCTTCAGGGTTTGTAGGTAGCACTGCAGCTTCGGTGAACACGCTGTCATCTGGAAACTCTTTCCGAAACATGTTCTTCAGGTCTGGCTTTAAATTCCACCCTTGGTCTTTTGCAAACTTGTAAACACATACAAGCAGTTCAGGAAACATGGACCACAGGTCAAGTTTGGCTGCCTCTATGGAACTGTAAATAGAAAAGTCAAACTATTACAAACAAGTGTAAGTGAAGTTTTTTTGTTTCATTATTTCCCCCAACCTTCTGAAAAATGAGGCAATGATAATTGAGATAGTAGAACCAACTGTGACAAGGTTAATTAAAGACTGATCTTTACTGTTGTGTATTTGAAGAATCAAACAAGAGTTTAAAGCGTCATGAAAAGTAGCAATTCAGTTAAATTAAAATCACAGAAATTTTAGAGTTTTGATTTGATATAAGAACATCAAATAATCATTAAAAAGATGTAATGATTCCTTATTTTCAACTGGTTTTAACTCACTGGTGCACACAGGCGTTTCGAATGAACCGCAGCAGTCCCAGGATGTTGTCAGGATAGCGGTTTCTTATTTTTTCCATTTTCTGGACCAACTCTGGTGGAAACTATAAAACAAAACAACAGTAACACTGAGTGTTAGTAAATTCATTAGCGCAAGTGGAATTCATTTAAAGTCAATGCAGAGACAGGGTTTGAATTTGCTGACTTCCTGTTGGGTTTAGGGTATAAGTGCAAGAGACTTTTTTGTAGAGCTTGATGGGACAAACTTGCATAACAAAGCTGATCTGTGTAGGTGGAAAAAACCTAATGAGGACGGCTTTTTGAAAATTTTAGGGGGGATGATTAAACAATGTTTTTCAAGAGACCATTAAAATTGGTAAATTTTACATATGCCAGATGCGTGTGAAAAAACTAGTGAGTTTTCAGGCTTTATACCACCCCCCACCCCACCCTTACCCAGGAAAAAAAAAATCATTTGGAAGACATAATAATATAATAATAATCCCTTGCATTCCAAGGTGGCCCTTAACACTCAGGCCCTAGAAGTAAATACATTTGTGTTGTTTCAGTCACCTTGTTTTTCCACTCTTTGAGGGATTCATCTCCAGCACAGTTGACCACCCACTGACTCAATTCCGGATCAACATTTTGATATTGTTTCACTTTGTCCAGGTTTCCAATCTCTTTCAGATACTCAGTTCTCCTGAAAGAATAAAACTTGAAATTTAGGTGCATATTCCATAAAATATGAAAAAGAGTTGATCCACTAACATTAAAAACCAAGGCTTTATCACATCATTTATTCTAACCATGCGAAATTTTGTACAATCATTACCATTAAGATTGATTAGAGTGACTAAAATCACTCTGAATTGATGAGTACTTAATTGCCAAGTTAAATTTTAGGTATTAACAAAGAAATCAATCCATTATCCTTCCTTCCTTACTTATCTGCTTCCCAAAAGAAAGGATGGCTCAGACATTCTCCAACTTTTGGTCTCTTCTTTGGGTCTTCATTTATCATCCACTCAATGAGGTCCTTTGCCACAATATCTTTGACATGGTCCAGATTGTAGTTCCCTTCATAAATGTTGAACTCACATTCTAAAATCTTCATCACCAAAAGGATGGTGTCCCCCGGAGAGAATATAGTAGATCAGCATGCCCGCCACCTGAAGAATTGACAACAGGAATTAAGAAAGTGGTTTTTCAAGAAGTCATTCAATTAATGTGAGTGAAAGAACTTGCCTGTATATCAGTGCTGGATTTGTATGGTATCTCATCTCCTTCTGATAAGGTCTCTTTGGCCTTCCAGCACTTTGTTCCAGCAGCTCCTGTGCGATAAGTCGTTTGGTCTTTGGGTAATCGTCGACTAATGCCAAAATCAGCTAATCTTGCCCTTCCATTAACATCTGCAGAAAGATCAAGAAAATCACTTTATAATTACAATAACATTGGATATTGTGGATCTTTTTAGAATAACATTTCTCTGATGGGCCTTACCAATCAAAACATTTTGTGGTTTGAGATCCCGGTGGAGAATTGGAGGTTTTTGACTGTGGAGCACCCACAAACTCTCAAGGACCTGACGGGCAAGTTTCTCCATGTGTAGACCACCATCTCTGTTGGGAGTGATGATTTTTTCCAGGGAGTAATCACAAAGTTGGAGACCAAGATATCCATAGTGCTCATCCTCTGCAAAGTCCATATATCGCACGATAGATGGATGATCCAGTTCTGGAAGTCGTAGAAACCCTTCCTCATTCTTCAGGACGTCATAGTTGTTCTTGTACATTTTCTTAATGGCAACTTCGGTGCCATCATCTCTGAGCCCCAAGAACACTTCAGTACCTTCGCTGCCCTGAGCAATCCGAAATTCTTCATTATTCACATAAATCATGCTCCCTGCTCTGAGTACTTTACTTTCATCAGAGAGCTTCTTGAGTTTTTCTCTCCACCTCTTGCTGACTGAAAGCCACTTGTGTTTTAAAGATGTATCTGTAGCGTTGACATGCAAAGGCTCAGCTGCTGCTGCTTCAGTTGTAGCATTGCTCAGCTGATTTTTCAGTTGACTGATTACTTCTTTAGGATCTCTCAGCGTTTGTTTTTCTGCAAATGTCAGTATTTCATCAGGCACAGAAGTTATCCCTGCTGATGTGATGAAGTTAGCCCCATTTTCAAATGAGAGCAAGTTTCCAAATATGCCATATGTGAAGACCCTTGTGTTGGTGTCATGTCCCTGATGCACATAAGGAGTGATTATACTACACATTCTCTCAATTAAGGCAGGATCCCAGCTATTTCTGCCTGTTGTTTTCTGTGTTATCACATAAAGTATTTGCAGAATGATGTTAAATAAAGCAGGTGACTTTTTTGAACCAAGCTGATTCAGAAGTACATGAATCACCTGAGAAAATTTTTGATCATGAGTGACTGAATCAGGGCCAGTTATGGGTAACGAAGTGACCAATGCTCCAGCAGAAACAAGCGCTTTCACGACATCCTCCCTATCAAGTATGACAGCGGCGTGCAGGGGTGTGAATGGCTGTTGTAGAACACGGCCATTTGGATTAGCTTTTGCTTCAAGCAGCTTTTCCACAAAAAGAAGAGGTGCATTGTACATTGAGGCATAATGCAATGGTGTAAAGTCTTTTTCCGAGGCTACATCTGGATTTGCACCCTTCTGCAAAAGGAAAGAACAAATTCTCTCGTTGTGGCTCACAACAGCAGCGATCAGTGGTGTTATGTTGTCTTTATTCTGATTGCATGGGTACGTTTTATTGATGTTGTCATCATTTAGTGAGGTTTTCAACTTCTCAAGGTCGTTGTCTTTTATACTCTGTATTAAATGATGCGTCTCTGAAATGCGAGAAGCTTGTAGTAACTGTGTGATGATGTCCATTGTTCTTCAGAGAAACTGTGAAAAAAATGTGAAAAATATTACAGAACTGTGGCAACATTTGGCATCATTTTAAAATTAAGAAACAATTTAAACTTCATGCTCAAATTACATTAAAATTGCTGTTTGTTTATTCTGAGTGCACTGAGCTCAGATAAAACCAACTTTACATGTAGATGAATGATTGTAACTCAATGATAATTAATTTAGAAACCAGAGGCCCCACTATAGTACAACTTAACATAAGAGGCTGAGCTGTTGTTTAAATAGGCCTACACCTAACCTGAGGAGCATATGGAAGTGAACTAATTTCATTCTACTTCTTCAAAACTCTCCTATTGACTGTATTTCTGAAAAGGATTAAAACAAAGTTAGCAGCATAGACAAAAGAGTCAGGTGGTCCTGTATTTTACAATCATGTGAAGATTTGGCTAATGTAACAGTGACTCACATTGACTTTGAACTTCACTGTCAAGCCTGCAAAGTGAACTCAATATTAACTGTCTGAAACCTTCACTAAATTCAAACAAATATAAAGTAGATGTAACATATGTTAACACTAAACCATTAACATGGTGATTGTGATAAGGCCAAGGCCTTCATCAGGAAATCAGATTGTTTTATTTTAACAAACAACAGCATTGTTTGACTTTGTTGATTTTGAATTCAAGTCTCAAATAAGGAAAACAAACTTACAAATCTGAAGCGTGGTTTCCACAGTAGTATGACAGATCTGTGCTGATAGTCCTTAGCTTTGATAACACGAAGCTTCTTCCTCTCTATGTAGCCTCGTGCTCCGTTTTGACACACTCACAGGTTTAGCTGGAGAACAAGACTGAACTTGCACCACATACGCCTACGGTTGTGCTTCAGTTTCGGTTCCGCGTGAAATTAAAAAAAGAAAATAAAAAGAAAATAAAAAAGCACGACCCTTGTTAAGATGAACACTTCCATCCAGTCGTCGAAACCGTGCTTTTTTATTTAAGGCGGAGTCGAATCTTCAGCTCAACTGTTGGGGAAACTGGCGCCATTTCTTCTTCTTCTTCTGTTTGGTTTTATGGCAGTTTACTCCTTAGTGTCTGGAACATTACCGCCATCTACTGAATCTACGGTAGAACAGGAGATTAGGCAGTTACAGACTAAAACCTTTTAGTGACGGAGACTCCTAAATCCTTTGTATTAACCCCGTATCCCGCACAAAATCCATGACTCGCCCCAGCCTTGCCCTATTGTCCACTTTTAACAAGTTTTCTAATTTAAATGATTCTTTTTCTGCTTTCAAGGTCTTCCTCTCTTCTTCGTATCTTACACATTCCATCAGCACATGCTGCACTGATTCCGTTACCCCACACTGTTGACATTTTCCATCTGTGTGTTTACCTATTTTATTCAATGTTCCATTTAATCCTGTATGACCGATCCTTAACCGTGTTAATGTTGTTTCTTCCTTCCGGTTCCTTCCAATCCTTCTTCCCTCTCCCACCTGTCTCTGTATTGAAAACAGATGTCTGCCCGTTTCTACCGATTCCCAATATTCTTGCCACTGTTCCCGACTGTATTTTTTTATGAGTGCTTTTCCTTCTGTTTTACTTAACCTGACTTGTAGGTCTATGTCCTGTTGTCTTAACGACTGCTTTGCTAACCTATCTGCCTCTTCATTTCCGACTATTCCCACATGGGCAGGAACCCACACAAAACTCACACCCAGCCCTCTTTCCCAGATTTCATACAGGTTACTGTGTACCTCATATATAAGATCTAGTCTACAAGATTTCATGGTTTGTAGGCTTGAAAGAGCTGCCCAGCTGTCTGATGCTATGACTGATTTGTCCTTCCCTTTAGTTTTTATCCATTGTAATGCCATTATTATTGCTGCTATCTCTACTGCATATACTGATACATCGTCTGAACATCTCTGCTTTATTTTAATATTTTCTGTAGGGATATACGCTGCGGCCCCAGTTCGTCCAGTATCTGGGTCTTTTGAGCCATCTGTGAATATTATTTGATTATTGCCATATCTCTCTTCCAAATATTCCCAGGCTACAAACCCAGCTGTACTTTGTCTCTTCTCTGCCTTAAGAAGTTTTTTAATCTCAAAATCCACTTCTGGCATTACAAAAAGCCATGGGGGAATTCTTGACACTGGAACCGTTTTACAGACCTGAATTCGATTTAAACCCGCCCTTTCCGCAACTTCATTCCCAATTCTACCAAAACCGGCTGCATTACTGTTTTCATATTCCCAACATTCCCTCAGTGAACTCTTCGTGGGGTGATCCTCCCTGTGTCCCTTTATGTTAGTCCAGTATGCCAACATAATTTTCATTCTTCTGATTCTCAGTGGCTGTTCTCCTGTTTCAACCTGTATAGCTGCTACTGGGGAGGTTTTATATGCTCCACAACAAATTCTCAGCCCTTGTGCTTGCTGCACCTCTAATTTCTTCAAGTGAGTGTCTGCAGCTGACATATATGCTATGCACCCATAGTCTAATGCAGCTCTCATCACAGCTTGGTATATTCCTAACAGTGACATTCTTGATGCTCCCCAGTCCCTTCCCGATACACATTTTAATAAATTATTCACTTTTTTACATTTGTTAACTAGCCTGTCTATATGCTGTCTCCATGTTAATTTTTCATCTAGCCACAATCCCAAAAATCGTACTTCTCCGACCTGTTCTATTTTTTGACCATATAGATATAATTCCACTTCCTTATGTCTTTTTGCAAAGCATATAGTCTGTGTCTTGCTCACTGAGAATTTAAATCCCCAGTTATCAGCCCACCGTTCCACTCTCCCAATCGCACATTGCAATTTCTGCTGTAAATATTGTAAATTGCGCCCCCTAGTCCAGAAGGCCCCATCATGTGCAAATAATGACTTCCCTACACTTGGATGGAGTTGCTCAAAGATATCATTTATCATAATATTAAACAAAGTTGGACTGCACACACTTCCTTGGGGTGTCCCATTTTCTACACTGTAATGTCTGGAGTAGTAAGTACCCATCCTCACCTCAATCTTCCGATCAAACAAAAAACTCAATACCCAATTGTACATATTTCCTGTGATTCCCAATTTGTTTATTTTAATAAGGAGACCTTCCTTCCACAGCATATCGTATGCCTTCTCTACATCAAAAAAGACTGCTAGAACTATTTAACTGGCGCCAATTTCAGCGTGGAGGCGGATTCTGGGTGTGGAGATAAATTTTATTCTCAGTCGAAAGTCTGCGTCATTTCCGGGCCGTAAAGCATACCTGCCAACACTCGTGTTTTTCCCGGGACTCTACCGTATCTCAGACTCCCGCCCTCCTCCCGTATTGTCATTTCTCCCAGGAATCTCCCGTAGTTTGGTGGTCCACGCTCACTCATGAATCGGATCGCTGTGTTTGTCCAAAGTTTCCAGACAACCGAAGATTGTCCTGTGTTTCTGCTGAGACTTACAGACACTGGATTGATACTTTGACTTTACAATTTGGGAGGATTCAGGTCGGTTTAAGCTGTAAGCTACATTTAAGCAGCGTTTGTTGCAGAATGAACACTTCAATGTCAGGAACACAAACTCGAGATGTAATATTTACGTTGATAGTCTTTCACTGTCTCGCAGAGATGCGTTCAGGGCAACCTCAGATAAAAAAAAGTGCTGTATCGCACGCACAGATGTTCAGAGAGCCTCATATGGGAGAGCATGTAAAACATAATAAATATTATTAGTGTTGTAATATTAGTATTAATATATTACATAAACACATTCATATGTTTTACATAATTCATATGATTAGTGTTATAATATTAGTATTAATATTAATAACACTAATATTAATGGACTAAATAAGTTCAAGGCATATCGTAGCTATTTATTTTATTACCATTTGTTATTGTTAAAACAAAACAAAAAAAGTGTGCAGCTTCACTTAGACTGATTTAGATAAAACTGTAAACTGAGTCCAAAGAAAGTGACGACAAAGTCAATGTAGCTCAGCTGGGGTGTTAACCGAACAAGTGTTTCAGAGTTTAACAAACAAATTACAGCTAAATGACACTTGTGTTGTTAGGTGGAAAATGACTAGAGAAAGAAATTTCTGTTTCTGAAATTTTAGAAACAGTTGCCCTGATGATTACATACAGGCTGCCCTGTCATCAAGGAAAGAATGTAAATGCCAATGCAAAATGATCCCAAACAGAGTTGAATTTCAACCCTTTGACATTTTTACAGAGCCCCTCAGTATATCTTAACACTCAAAACTGAGGTTATAACTTTTTATCCACTTGTTGGTATACTTGAGATGATCTTCTGGGGTGAGTTTCTAATGAATTCAAGAATCTTGCGTAAAGAAATCTGAGTAAAAATAACAATATGTATTGTGTGACCCATGGACAACATTCATCCCTGAAACAATGTCAGAGAACATAACTGTTGTTTGTCGAACTGCTGAGAAGGCATTCACATTACTGACTACAACACCTCCCTCTAGAGGTGTAGAGCAGTAAATGACACTTCAAAAGATCCCACATGCTGAATGAACATGAAGTGTAAGAAAAGACGAAACTATGACAAAAGTAAATCATCTTGAGATAATGTACAGACAACACAATGAACTCAGGAATCTATCTACTTGATTGGTGACATAAACAGAAAGACATTTACTCAACATGACTCCCTCAGATTAAAAATGCAGGAAACACTGCCTCCAAAAAACTGAAAACACAGCCATGTGTGATAAAATGCCATTTCCTATTTGAGTCATTTAGTTTATAAAATTTCGCTTGGACAGCACAATTAAACTCCTAAATCAGACCATCAAAAACATGACGAAAAGCGTCTAGAAGTCGTAAATAAGATGCAGCTTGAAATGTTGCTTAGTGAGCAGTAGACATGATAAAATTTTGCTTAATTCATGACAGTTTGTCAGTTATTTTTCTTCTCTTTTCCTAATAAAAATTTTCTTTTAATTATGAGATTGGAGTAGTTGTGTGTGCCATATCCTGGAAAACATATTTTGCTTTGTTTGATTGTGTTTCTGATTTTTTCCACACCAAGAGCGGAACCTCACACTCCATCATCTCTATGATACAACGATAAACTTTGTTTATTCATTTACTTGGTAATTACAAGAAATAATCAAGATAAGCATTAAAATGTCACCAAAAATAAAAAAATAGGACAGGTTTCAGACGACCAGTCATTAACATCAACACTCATATCATCTGATCGGGAATATTTTCAGAGAAAAAAAAAACTGACAGTGAGTCAAGAAGTCTGTCAAAGTTTGCAAGGAGCAGTCCTACTCCAAGATATGGTCTTTTTTAAGTTTACCTCAGAATAAAATGAAATAACATACAGTAGGATAAGCAGTGTTTGATAATGAACACCATCAATGTCTTTGTATAATCAGCGATAAAGCGCTACATAAACACAAGAAATCAGAAAAACTCAAAGACATTTACAGTTTCTTTTTTCATTCACCTGAAATTTTTGGAAGAAAACACTCTTAATATATCCTCTTTTTTCATTGCTGTCTCTTTGCTGGACTTGCATCCTTTTTACCTTTAACTTTAATTCTCATTTCAAGATCAAACGACAGAAGAACACAGATTGCATGTTCCATGTGAAAAATAGGAACTGATATTTACTTATTTCAAAGAGCCAGAACATTAATTTCAAGAGGCTTTAAACATGCATTTTCCATTCTCTGTACATCTAAAGCAATAAACAGATGAGTGATTTACTGTCCTGATGTAAATCCTCTGTACAAAAGATGATACTGCAAACAGCAGCAGTGACAGTGAGCCTGATGAACATCAAAACCCTGTTCAATTGAACGGCTCGGGCTTTGAGGTTATTGGTTCAGTTTCAGTTTCTTGAGATTCTTGGATTGGGTATTTGACTTCTTTGTCAGAGTTTGTAGGTAGCATTGCAGCTCCGGTGAGCATGCTGTCTTCTGGAAACTCTCTCCTAAACATCTTCTCCAGGGCTGGCTCTGAATTCCACCCTTTATCCCTTGCAAACTTGTAAACACATCCAAACAGTTCAGGAAACATGGACATCAGATCAAGTTTGGCTGCATCATTGGCACTGTAAATAGAAAAGTCAAACTATTACAAACAAATGTCTATGTAAATCAAGTTTTTTGTTCTATTAGTTCCACCAACCTTCTGAAAAATGAGGTTGTGATAATTGAGATAACAGAACCAACTGTGACAAGGTTAATTATAGACTAATCTTTGCTGTTGTGTATTTGAAGAATTAAACAAGAGTTTGAAGAATCATGCAAAGTAGCAGTTCAATGAAATTAAAATCACAGAAATGTTAGAGTTTTGATTTGATATAAGAACAGCAAATAATCATTAAAAATCATCTAATGATGACTTTTCTTCAACTGGTTTTAACTCACTGGTGCGCATGGGCGTTTCGAATGAACCGCAGCAGTGCCAGGATGTTGTCAGGATAGGGTTTCTTTCTTTCTTGTTCCAATTTGTGGACCAACTCTGGTGGAAACTATAAAACAAAACAACAGTAACACTGAGTGTTAGTAAATTCATTTGAGCAAGTGAAGTACATGCAAAGTGCAGAGACAGGGTTTGAATTTGCTGACTTCCTAGGGTATGAGCACAAGAGACTTTTTTTTGTAGAGCTTGATGGTGGAAAAATACCCCCCCCCCCCCCAAATACATAAATAAATAAAACCTTGTAAACCAGAAAGTGTAATCATAATCCCTTGCATTTTATTGGGGCTCGTGCACCCTCAACACTCAGGCCCTCAAAATAAATGCACTTGTGTTGTTTCAGTTACCTTGGTTTTCCACTCTTTGAGGGATTCATCTCCAGCACAGTTGTCCACCCACTGTCTCAATTCCAGTTCAACATTTTGACATTGTTTCACTTTGTCCAGGTTTCCAATCTCTTTCAGATAATCAGTTCTCCTGAAAGAATAAAATTTGAAATTAAGATGCATATTTTATATAATATGAAAAAGAGTTGATCCTCTAACATTAAAAACCAAGGCTTTATCACATCATTTATTTTAACCATGCTCAATGCTCTGTGGATGAAAATTTTGTAGTCATTACCATAAAGATTAATTTTAGTGACTAAGATCACTCTAACTTGATGAGTACTTAATTCCATCCATCTATTTTCTACCGCTTATTCCCGTTCCCAGGGTCGCGGGGGGGCTGGAGCCTATCCCAGCATCTTCGGGCGAAGGCAGGGGACACCCTGGACAAGTCGCCAGTTCATCGCAGGGCTGACATATAGAGATGACCATCCACGCTCACATTCACACCTATGGGCAATTTGAAAGTGACCAATTCACCTAACCCCACTGCTGCACGTTTTCGGGATGTGGGAGGAAACTGGAGTACCCGGAGTAAACCCACACAGACACAGGGAGAACATGCAAACTCCACACAGAAACGCCCTGACCTGGATTTGAACCCAGGACCTTCTTGTTGTGAGGTGACAGTGCTAACCACTACACCACTGTGCCACCTTGAGTACTTCATTATCAAGTCAAATTTTAAGTATTAATATAGAAATCAAGGTATCAACAAAGAAATCAATCCATCATCTTTCCTTCCTTACCTCCCTGGGCTCCAAAAGAAAGGATGGCTCAGACATTCTCCAACTTTTGGTCTCTTTTTTGGATCTTTGTTTATCATCCACTCAATGAGGTCCTTTGCCACAGTATCTTTGACATGGTCCAGATTGTAGTTCCCTTTATAAATGTTGAACTCACATTCACAGGCCATGTCACCAAAAGGATGGTGTCCCCCGGAGAGAATATAGTAGATCAGCATGCCTGCCACCTGGAGGATTAACAAAAGCAATTAAGAAAGTGGTTTTCCAAGAAGTCATTAAAATAATGGGTGTGAAAGAACTTGCCTGTATATCAGTGCTGGATTTGTATGGTATGTCAACACCTTCTGCTAAGGTCTCTTTGGCCTTCCAGCACTTTGTTCCAGCAGCTCCTGTGTGATACGTCGTTTGGCCTTTGGGTAACTGTCTACTGATGCCAAAATCAGCTAATCTTGCCCTTCCATTAACATCTGCAGAAAGATCAAGAAAATCTCTTTATAATTACAATAACAAATTTGGAAATTATAGATCTTTTTAGAATAACATTTCTCTGATGGGTCTTACCAATCAAAACATTTTGTGGTTTGAGATCCCGGTGGAGAATTGGAGGTTTTTTACTATGGAGCACCCTCAAACTCTCAAGGACCTGATAGGCAAGTGTCTCCATGTGTAGACCACCATCTCTCTTGGTAGTGATGATTTCTCCCAGTGTGTATTCACAAAGTTGGAGACCAAGATATCCATAGTGCTCATCCACTGCAAAGTCCACATATCGTACGATAGATTGACGATCCAGTTCTGGAAGTCGTAGAAACACTTCCTCATTCTTCAGGACCTCATAGTTGCTCTTGTACATTCTCTTAATAGCAACTTCAGTTCCATCATCTCTGAGCCCCAAGAACACTTCGGTACCATCACTGCCCTTAGCAATTCGAAATTCTCCACTATTCACATAAATCATGTTCCCTGCTGTGAGTACTTTACTTTCAACAGAGAGCTTCTTGAGTTTTTCACTCCATCTTTTGCTGACTGGAAACCATCTGTGTTTTGTTGACAATGTAGTGGTTTTAATCTCTAATGGCTCAGCTGCTGTAACCTCAGTTGCAGAAGTGGACACTTCAGCATTGTTTGGGTCTTCTTGACTCTCTTCTTTCTTCTTCTTCTTCTTCTTTTTCTTCTTCTTCTTCTTCTTTGCTCCATTTAAGTCTTCACATTCTGAGTTTGGTTTCTCCAGGTGATTTTTCAGTCGTCTGATTACTTCTTTAAGATCTCTCAGCATTTGCATTTCTGCAGATGTCAGTATGTCATCAGGCACAGAAGTTATCCCTGCTGATGTGATGAAGTTAGCCCCATTTTCAAATGAGAGCAAGTTTCCAAATATGCCATATGTGAAAACCCTTTTGTCAGTGTCATGTCCCTGGTGCACATAAGGAGTGATTATACTACACATTCTCTTAATTAAGGCAGGATCCCAGCCATTTCTGCCTGTTGTTTTCTGTGTTATCACATAAAGTGTTTGCAGAATGATGTTAAATAAAGCAGGTGACTTTTTTGAACCAAGCTGATCCAGATGTACATGGACCAGGGCACATGCTTGGTCATTTAGTATCTCTTCAACAGTACACAAGACTGCATATAAACTAACTATTGCCTGATATAAACATTCTTGGGACATTTTTGGAAAGCGACTGACTACACTTCCAATGTAAGTGTTCACATTGTTAGTGTCCTTCAGCCATTGAACACTTTTATTGCGATATTTTTCTGCATTTGGCCCTGTTACAGTAAAGAGTATCTCAATGATAGTCAGATGGTTCTGAGGATGTTCCAACAACATTTGTCTGTCAAAGGTTTTGAACACTTCCTCAGGTTGATTACGTTGCACTGCAGGTTCCAAGTCAAGGAAATGTCCAATCTTGGAGCACAGTTTATTCCCTTTCCGTGCTAGGTTATGAACAGTTTGAATTATACATTTATTGTTTGTGCTGCGTTCAGGGTAATTAATGGTTAACAAAGTGACCAATGCTCCAGCAGAGACAAGCACTTTCACGACATCCTCCCTATCATGAATGGCAGCAGTCTGCAGGGGTGTGAATGGCTGCAGTAGAGCCCACCCATTTGGATTAGCTTTAGCTTCAAGCAGCTTTTCCACAAAAAGTAGAGGTGCTCTGGACAGTGAGACATAATGCAATGGTGTCAAGCCTTTCTGGGAGGTTACATCTGGCTTTGCACCCTTCTGCAAAAGGAAAGAACAAATTCTCTCGTTGTGGCTCACAACAGCAGCGATCAGTGGTGTTATGTTGTCATTACACTGAGTGCATGGGTAAGCTTGATTGATGTTGTCATCATTAAGTAAGGTTTTCAACTTCTTCAGGTTGTTGTCTTTTATACACTGTATTAAATGATGCGTCTCTGTAACTTTAGAGGCTTGTAGTAACTGTGTGATGACGTCCATTGTTCTTCAGAGAAACTGTAAAAGAAATGTGAGAAATGTTATATAAATGTGGCAACATTTGGCATAATCTTAAAATAAAGAAAAAAGTTAAACCATGCTCAAATTAAATTTAGGTTTGTGTTTGTTTATTTTGAATGCATTGAGCTCAGACAAAACTAACTTTACATGTAGGTGAATAATTATAACTGAATGGTGATTCATTTAGAAACCAGAGGCCCCAGTATAGTACAACTTAACAGGAGAGGCTGAGCTGTTGTTTAGATAGGCCTACACCAAACTCGAGGAGCTCATGTTAGTGAACTAATTTCATTCTACTTCTTCAAAACTCTCCTTTATTGACTGTATTTCTGAAAGGGATTAAAACAGAGTTAACAGCGTGGAAAAAAGAGTCAGGTGGTCCTGCATTTTATAATCATTTTATGATGCAATCAGCGAGAGAAACAGCACTGACACAGCTTGACTTTGTACTTCCACATTAACCTGCAAAGGGAACTCAATATTAACTGTCTGAAGTCTTCAGTAAATTCAAACAGATATACAGTACATGTAAGATATGTTAACACTAAACCATTAACATGGTGATTATGATCAAACCAAGGTCTTCATTCGGAAATCAGCTTGTTGTATTTTAGCAAACAACAGCATTATTTGACTTTGTTCATTTTGAATTCAAGTCTCAAATAAGGGAAACAAACTTACACATCTGAAGCGTGGTTTCCACAATAGTATGACAGATCTGTCCTGATAGTCCTTCGCTTTGATAACACAAAGCTTCTTCTCTATGTAGCCTTGTGCTCCGTTTCTTCACACTCACAGGTTTGGCAGAATTTGGGTGTGGAGAGTTTCATTCTCAGTCGAAAGTCTGTGTCATTTCCTGTCATAAAGATCTGTAAAGACTGTGAACCCAGTCCAAAGAAAGTAATGAAAAAGTAAATATATCTCAGCTGGGGTGTTAACCTCCTAAGTGTTTCAGGTTTTACAAACAAATTACGGCTAAATGACACTTGTGTTGTTCAGTGGAAAATCAGTTTTTTTCTGATGTGAAACAGGATGAACCTTGTTTCACCTCTGTTCTTTAACTACTACTATTTTTTTAATCAAAAACTACAAATTCGATCATCAGTTGAACATGTCTTAATAGATTTCTATCACATGTATCTCCCTGTTTTTAAGTTGTATGACAAACCGCTTGACTGCCTTAGATGGTATTGTCAAATGTCTGTTGCTGTGCAGATGCAGCAGCAGCCTATTCTTCTTAGCCTTCCTGTGTTATTTCCGGACTTTACCCTTTTCCTGTTATACGCACACACTCACTGAGGCTGCCTCAGTGAGACTCAGTAACTCTGACTGTTATCGCACTCTCTGTTGCTGTTTCTCCTCTTTACAAAGACGAATACATTCATGAATAATAAATTTACAAAGACAGTTGATTGACTCGAGATCCTTTAAATATTCTTACTATCAAACAAGAAATTTCAGAAACAGTTGCCCCTGTGATTACATACAGGCTGCCCTGTCATTAAAAAAAGATTGTAAATGCTTATGATCCCAGCTAGAGTTGAATTCCAACCCTGTCACATCTTTATAGAGCCCCTCTGTATATCTTCAATACAGTGTACCAAAAAGTAATGGAAATTACAACTTTTTACCAACTTGTTGGTATACTTGAGATGATCTTCTGGGGTGAGTTTCTAATGTAACGAAGCGGTAGCTGATATAAATTACCTTGAAAAAAACACTTTTACCAGAATAATACATTTTGCTAAATCCATGCCAGTTAGTCAGTTATTTTTCTTTTCTTTTCATAATAATAATTTTCTTTTAATAATGAGATTAAAGTAGTTGTGTGTGCCATATCCTGGAAAACATATTTTGCTTTGTTTGATTGTGTTTCTGATTTATTCCACACCCAGAGCTGAACCTCACACTCCAGCATCTCTTTGATACAAAAATAAACTTTGTTTATTCACTTACTTGGTAATTACAAGAAATAATCAAGATAAGCATTAAAATGTAACCAAAAAAATAAAATAGGACAGGTTGAAGACAACCAGTCATTAACATCAACTCTCATATCAGCTGATCGGGAATATTTTCAGAATAAAAAAACTGGCAGTGAGTCAAGAAGTGTGTCAAAGTTTGCAAGGAGCAGTTCTACTCCAAGATTTGGTCTTTTTAAAAGTATACCTCAGAACAAAATGAAATGACATACAGTAGGAGAAAAAGTGTTTGGTACCGAACACCATCAATGTCTTTGTAAAATGAAAGATAAAGCACTACATAAACACAAGAAATCAGAAAAACTCCAATACATTTACAGTTTCTTCTCATTCACCTGAAAAATTTTGGAAGAAAAAATTCTTAATATATCCTCTTTTTTCATTGCTGTCTCTTTGCTGGACTTGCATCGTTTTTACCTTTAACTTCATTCTCATTTCAACATCAAACTACAGAAGAACACAGATTGCATGTTCCATGTGAAAAATAAGCACTGATATTTACTTATTTCAAAGAGCCAGAACATTCATTTCAAGAGGCTTTAAACATGCATTGTCCATTCTCTGTACATCCAAAGCAATAAACAGATGAGTGAATCACTGTCCTGATGTAAATCCCCTGTACAAAAGATAATACTGCAAACAGCAGCAGTGACAGTGAGCCTGATGAACATCAAAACCCTGTTCAATTGAACGGCTCGGGCTTTGAGGTCATTGGTTCAGTTTCTGTTTCCTGAGATTCTTGGATTGGGTATTTGACTTCTTCGTCAGAGTTTGTAGGTAGCATTGCAGCTTCTGTGAGCACGCTGTCTTCTGGAAACTCTCTCCTAAACATCTTCTTCAGGGCTGGCTCTGAATTCCACCCTTGCACTTTTGCAAACTTGTAAACACATCCAAACAGTTCAGGAAACATGGACATCAGATCAAGTTTGGCTGCCTCTGTGGGACTGTAAATAGAAAAGTCAAACTATTACAAACAAATGTCTGTGTAAATCAAGTTTTTTTGCTCCATTATTTCCTCCAACCTTCTGAAAAATGAGGCAGTGATAATTGAGATAATAGAACCAACTGTGACAAGGTTAATTATAGACTGATCTTTACTGTTGTGTATCTGAAGAATCAAACAAGCCTTTTCATGAAAAGTAGCAGTTCAGTTAAATTAAAATCACAGAAATTTTAGAGTTTTGATTTGACATAAAAAGATCAAATAATCATTGAAAAACACATGTAATGACGACTTTTCTTCAACTGGTTTTAACTCACTAGTGCTCAAAGGCGTTTCGAATGAACCGCAGCAGTGCCAGGATGTTGTCAGGATAGGGTTTCTTCTTGCTTTCCGATTTCTGGACCAACTCTGGTGGAAACTACAAAACAAAACAACAGTTACACTTAGTGCTAGCAAATTGATTTGGTGAGTGAACTACTTGTAAAGTCAATGCGGAGACACAATTACCTACCTACTCATACGCAGCATGAGTAGTGCAAATTTAGCAGACTATTCACGTAAATTGAGCTGACTATTTGTGCCAATGAAGCAAGTAAATAAACAACATTTTTGCGCTTTGTGTGAACACAACATTAGGATTTAGCGAAAGAAAGTTTATAAGCTCAGTCAACCAGACAGGATTTGGTAGTTGTCAAATGGACATAATCATTTCCTGTTGCCAGTAGGTGGTACTGTATTTTCAAAAAAAAAAAACAAAAAAAAAAAAAAAAACAAGGTAAGTAAGGCATGAAATTTCCTACTGCCACTGGGGAGTGCTGTGACTTCAAGACTGGGCCCCTATTATGAGAAGTGCATTTGGCTCAGACTGCAGATAAACTTGCACAATGAAGCTGATACATGTAGGTGGGGAAAAAAACTCAATAAGGAGGTCTTTTTGAAAACCTAGGGGGGGCTATTGAGTAATTTTTTAAACATTTTTGAGATCATGAAAAAATGTAAATTTCACACATGCTTGATACATGTGAAGAAATTGGTGAGTTTCCAGGCTTATTAAAGCCCTCAACCCCACCCCCACAGAGACAGACACTACATTCCAGTGGGGCCCTCAACACTAAGGCCCTCGAAGTAAATGCATTTGTGATGTTTCAGTTACCTTGTTTTTCCACTCTTGGAGGGATTCATCTCCGGCACAGTTGTCCACCCACTGACTCAATTCTGGATCAACATTTTGATATTTTTTCACTTTTCCCAGGTTTCCAATCTCTTTCAGATAATCAGTTCTCCTGAAAGAATAAAATTTGAAATTTAGCTGCATGTTTGATACCTAACTTTTAGGTATTAACAAAGAAATTCATCCATCATCTTTCCTTCTTACCTCCCTGGGCTCCAAAAGAAAGGATGGCTCAGACATTCTCCAACTTTTGGTCTCTTCTTTGGATCTTCATTTATCATCCACTCAATGAGGTCCTTTGCCACCATATCTTTGACATGGTCCAGATTGTACCTCCCTTTATTAATGTTGTACTCACATTCAAAATCTTCGTCACCAAAAGGATGGTGTCCCCCGGAGAGAATATAGTAGATCAGCATGCCTGCCACCTGAAGAATTAACAAAAGCAATTATGGAAGTGGTTTTTTAAGAAGTCATCTGGTAAGTTTGGGTCACAAAACTTGCCTGTATATCAGTGTTGGATTTGTATGGTACGTCATCTTTTGCTTTAATGGTCTCTTTGGCCTTCCAGCACTTTGTTCCAGCAGCTCCTGTGCGATACGTCGTTTTGCCTTTGGGTAACCGTCTACTGATGCCAAAATCAGCTAATCTTGCCCTTCCATTAACATCTGCAGAAAGATCAAGGAAAACACTTTCAGATTACAATAAAAATATGGATATTGTACAATTTTTCAGGATAATATTCATTGTCTCTTTTTCTCTGATGGGCCTTACCAATCAAAACATTTTGTGGTTTGAGATCCCGGTGGAGAATTGGAGGTTTTTGACCATGGAGCACCCTCAAACTCTCAAGGACCTGATAGGAGAGTGTCTCCATGTGTAGACCACCATCTCTGCTGGTAGTGGTGATTTCTTCCAGGGTGGATTCACAAAGTTGGAGACCAAGATATCCAAAGTACTCATCCTCTGCAAAGTCCACATATCGCACGATAGATGGATGATCCAGTTCTGGAAGTCGTAGAAACCCTTCCTCATTCTTCAGGACCTCATAGTTGCTCTGGGACATTCTCTTAATGGCAACTTCAGTGCCGTCATCTCTGAGCCCCAAGAACACTTCGGTACCATCACTGCCCTTAGCAATCCGAAATTCTCCACTTTTCACGTAAATCATGCTCCCTGCTCTGATTACTTTACTTTCTTGAGAGAGCTTCTTGAGTTTTTCTCTCCACCTTTTGCTGACTGGAAGCCACTTGTGTTTCATAGATATATCTGTAGCATTGGCATGCAAAGGCTCAGCTGCTGCTGCTTCAGTTGCAGCATTACTCACTTCATCATTATTTGGCTCTTCTTGCTTCTCTGATTTTTTCTTCTTCTTCTTCTTCTTCTTCTTCTTTTTCTTTGCTCCATTTAAGTCTTCACATTCTGAGTTTGGTCTCTCCAGTCGATTTTTCAGTCGTCTGATTACTTCTTTAAGATCTCTCAGCATTTGCATTTCTGCAGATGTCAGGATTTCATCAGGCACAGAAGTTATCCCTGCTGATGTGATGAAGTTAGCCCCATTTTCAAATGAGAGCAAGTTTCCTAATATGCCGTATGTGAAGACCCTTTTGTCAGTGTCATGTCCCTGATGCACAAAAAGTGCTAATGTATTACACATCCTCTCAAATAAGGCAACATCCCAGCCATTTCTGCCTTTTGTTTTCTGTGTAATCACATAAAGTGTTTGCAGAGTGAATACAAAAGGTGTCTTTTCTGAACCAAGCTGATCCAGAAGTAGATGAACCAGGTCACGTGCTTGGTCATTTTGTATCTCTTCAACAGTACACAAGACCACATACAAACTAACTATTGCCTGATCTAAACATTCTTGGGGAATTTTTGGAAAGCGACTGACTACACTTGCAGTGTAAGTGTTCACATTGTTGGTGTCCTTCAGCCATTGAACACTTCTATTGTGGTACTTTTCTTCATCCGGCCCTGTTACAGTCAAGAGTGCCTCAATGATAGTCAGATGGGTCTGAGGATGCTCCAAAAACATGCGACGGTCAAAGGCTTGGGCCAGTTCCTCGGGTTTTGTCATTCTCAGAGCAAGTTCAAAATCCAAAAAAGGACGGACTTTGGAGCACACTTCATCTCCTTTCAGTGCGAGGTTATGAATCACCTGAGCACATTTTTGATCATGAGTGATAAAATCAGGGCCAGTGATGTGTGGCAAAGTTACCAATGCTCCAGCAGAAACAAATGCTTTCACAACATCCTCCCTATCATTTAAGGCAGCAGTCTGCAGGGGTGTGAATGGCTGTCCAGTCCATCCATTTGGATTAGCATTTGCTTGAAGCAGCTTTTCCACAAAAAGTAGAGGTGCTCTGGACAGTGAGACATAATGCAATGGTGTAAAGCCTTTCTGTGAGGTTACATCTGGATTTGCACCCTTTTGCAAAAGGAAAGAACAAATTCTCCTGTTGTGGCTAACAACAGCAGCAATCAGTGGTGTTATGTTGTCATTACACTGACTGCATGCGTAAACTTGATCTATGTTGTCATCATTTAGTAAGGTGTTCAACTTCTTCAGGTTGTTGACTTTTATACTCTGTATTAAATGATGCGTCTCTGTAATTTTAGAGGCTTGTAGTAACTGTGTGATGACGTCCATTGTTCTTCAGAGAAACTGTGAAAAAAATGTGAGAAATATTATATAAATGTGGCAACATTTGGCATCATTTTAAAATTAAGAAACAGTTTAAACTTCATGCTCAAATTACATTAAAATTGCTGTTTGTTTATTCTGAGTGCATTGAGCTCAGACAAAACTAACTTTACATGTAGGTAAATAATTATAACTGAATGGTGATTAATTTAGAAACCAGAGGCCCCACTATAGTACAACTTAACAGGAGAGGCTGAGCGTTTGTTTAAATAGGCCTACAGTGAACCTGAGGAGCTCATGTAAGTGAACTAATTTTAGTCTACTTTCTCAAAACTCTCCTTTATTTACTGTATTTCTAAAAGGGATTTAAACAAAGTAAACAGAGTGAGCAAGGGTCAGGTGGTCCTGTGTTATATCATGTCAAGATTCAGCTCATGTAACAGCAGTGACTAACCCTGACTTTGAACTTCACTGTCAAGCCTGCCAAGTGAAGTCAATATTAACTGTCTGAAGCCTTAAATAATTTTAAACAGATGTACATGTATGATATTTAAACATTAAACCATTAACATGGTGACAGTGAACAAGATTAGGGAATCAGCTTCTTGTATTTGAGCAAACAACAGCATTATTTGACTTTGTTCATTTTGAATTCAAGTCTTAAGGAAGGAAAACAAACTTACAAATCTGAAGTGTGATAACTGCAGTAGTATGACAGATCTGTCCTGGCAGTGCTTTGCTTTGATGACACACTGATTCTTCTTTATGCACTGCTCCTTTTCTACAGGACTTACAGGTTTAGCAAGATTTGGGTGTGGAGGTCCAGTTCATTCTCAGTCGAAGGTCTATGTCATTTCCTGGCAATAAGACATTCTTTGATTGCAAACAAAGTCCAAAGAAATTGTGAAAAAGTCAATGTAGAATCAGCTAGGATGTTAACCTACCAAGTGTTTAAGGTTTAACAAACAAATTACAACTAAATCACACTACTGTTGCTGCCCTGATTACTTACAGGCTGCTCTGTCATTGAAGAGAGATTGTAAATGCCACTGAGTTATCATTCCAGTTAGTTCAAGACCAGCACAGAGTCCCCACCCTTTGGCATCTTAACAAGTACAGCAAGTGCATCTAGTACGCACTTTGACACGTGGCCACCAAGTCTTAGTTTCATTTTTTGCGAAACTAAAGAAACTTATGGAAAATACACAATTTTTGCAAAGCTACAAAATAAGACCAGTGCAAAATAAGACAGTAAAGCAAGTGGCTTTGAGTAGATGAGACGATAAAAGTATAAGAAAGGTCTGTCTGTAAAAATGAATCAAGTAGGATTTGCATAACAGTACCAACGAAGGGTAATTTTTTCCCCCCACTTGTTATGCTTGAAATTATATTTCTGGAGTGAGTTTCTAATGAATTCAAGAATCTTGCAGTAATCTAAGTAAAAATAACATTATGTATTGTGACCTATGGACAACACTAATCCCTGAAATAATGTCAGAGAACATAACTGTTGTTTGTTGAACTGCTGAGAAGAAGGCATTGACATTACTGAATACAACACCTCCCTCTAGAGGTGTAGCACAGCAAATGACACTTCAAAAGATCCCACATGCTGAATGAAAATAAAGTGTGAGAAAAGACGAAACTATGACAAAAGTAAATCATCTCAAGATAATGTCAAGACAAAACAACAAACTCAGGAATCTATCAACTTGATGGGTGACATAAACAGAAAGACATTTACTCAAAATGACTCCCTCAGATTGAAAATGCAGGAAACACTGCCTCCAAAATACTGAAAACACAACCATGTATGATAAAATGCTATTTTCTATTTGAGAATCATTTAGTATAGAAAATTTGGCTTGGACAGCACAATAAAACTCCTAAATCAGACCATCAAAAACATGACAAAAAGAGTCTAGAAGTGGTAAAATAAGATGCAGCTTGAAATGTTGCTTAGTGAGCAGTAGACACCCACATTTACACCAAAACTCTCATGTACAGGAGTTCCCACTCCACAGAAATGACCAAATCATCCATCAAGAGCCTCTCTGCTTAGCCTTTGTTGTAGTATATCATTGTTTCTGTGTGAGAAAATGCTGTGAAACCCTGTTGTGAAAAGTACAAGCACGATGAAACACACTTTCACATATTCAGGAATGTATTTTAATACTCTATGGATGAGCTCGCAACACTGATCAACAACGATTCAAAACAGACATACAGTTAAAGCTTAGCATTAATGATGTAACAACCTCTCTGTGAGATCTGCAGCTCCAGATACAGAGATGAAAAGTTTCCAGATTTAAGACATCTGCTATTGGGACAACAGACAGGAATGCAAGACTTAACCAAAGCAGGAGGGTGTCCCTTTATGTACAAAAGAGGTGATTGTGTATAAAGTAAAAAAAAACTTATAATTAAGATTGTCTACAAACAGGATAAAAAAATAGAGTGTTAATAAAAGTCGAACAGGATGGAAAAATAGTGTTAATAAAAGTCAGTTTGAAAATCACAGGCTGCTGGAAGTCAAGAACATTTTTTTTTTTTTTTTACAAATAAGTCCAATTAACAGCAGGTGTTAATTGTGTGCAAATACTATACGTACCAACAACACTGAGGCTGATTGCTGTCACATTGCTCCAGAACAACAACCAACAGTTCTTCACGAGGACGAGAGACTGGCACCACAAGTTATTATTCATTAGGCCTGATAAATAAAATCAAAACTCTACGGCAGAAGTAAACAGTTTACAGCCCTCACAGCCTTCTTCAGTCATATCTTAAAAATATGCCCTTGTCCGTAAAGCTAATTTCTCTATTCATGAACACTTTATGTCCTGAGCATAGACTGTATATAAAATGGACGCCGTCTGCCACCTCGCTGGGTGAAGACACCACGATGGGCTGCAGTATAGGTCATAAATCCCGCCTCCTCCAGCAATCCCTATGGAGCTGCGGACAAACTCAGCAACTCTCCTGCCGAATGTGTACAACACTACTGCGCAAGTGGTGGAGTGTGTACAATGCTACTGCGCAATGTTGGTTTCAGGAAGTGGAGAAAAATCGCGGTAATACTGAGAGCTTTTTGGCTGTTTTTCAAATCTGTATACTGGCGGAAGGCGGAACCGAGTTGTCCACAGTATTTACAGTCTATGGTTTTGAGTCTCAAAGTTAGCATAAGTGTTTTAAATTTTTTTTTAATCTCTTGGCTATTCGCTGTCAGGAAAGTGCAACCACAGATAAATCAGCCACTGAACTTGACCTCTCTGAAAACATCAGCTTTTTGAACTGTTCAGTATACTGGCAGGCCATAAAGTGTTCCAGTGTTTTGTTTCCCAGTTACAAGGTGTGCAATATATGCAGCTTTCACAATTCCATTGTCAATTACCTTCTTTGGTTGAAGAAATAAACATCTCCTATCAGCTACGACCAATCAAGCAATCTCAGTCAGTGGCAAACACAGTAGTTAACAGGCGCATGGTCTGTGCGTGGACTAGCTTTGAAAACCTACATTCACCAGCACCATCATACAAACACTTGTATAATAAAGAGTCCATTGCATGTACAAATGTCTGTTCCTATGGTGCTATATAATAATTTATAAACATTGCAAGGGTCTTAGAATATTTAAAAAACATGATAGACAAAATATACAATTGATATAAAGAGATATAACACACAAACTAGATGCAGAATACAGTACTCACAGCCTTCACTTGAAGGCTTTTGTTCTTTCAGAATGAGCAGAGGCATGATGCTTAAAGCAGCTTCATCATCCCTGATTTTTATGTGAAAAATAAACACTATTAGGTTATTATTTTATCGAGCTTGGCTCTATCACTCAGAGGCTCCTGGATGTGTTTTTTTTTCTATGGTGTGTACTTTGGACCTCTACAGCGGGTCCTGATACCAAACTACACAGCAACAAGTCTCACTGCCTTCAGCGGAGGTTTCTTCAAATCGACTCAGTCTCATTTTTATCAAAATAAAATCTATAAAATTCAGTAAGCTCTTCATTTGGCTCAGTGGATAGTGGTTGAGATTCCTGAACTGAACAGCGGACATGTTTGTTGGCATTTCTGCTCATGAGGTGATGTCCTCTCCCAGAAACTCTCCTGGTGTGAACATCTTCTTCAGGGCTGGCTTTGAATTCCACTCTTGGTTTTTGGCAAATATGTAAACGCAGCCAAACAGATCAGGAAACATGGACATCAGATCAAGTTTGGCAGCATCTTCTTCACTGCAGATACAGAAATACAGTGCATTAGTGTCATGGCCAAGATTTCTAAACCCTTTGGTAAATGAAGCAATGATATTTGGGATATGATCACCTAATGTTTAACCAGAGGCTGATCTTTGCTCGATTTTGCATTAAGAATTGAAAAGACTCAAAAAACAGATAAGAGTGTCCCTCAGCAGAACTAATTATGACTCATTTTTGAGCTACTTTGTGATACCATGTTAAAAATAAAACACCAGCCATTGTAATAATAATAATAATAACAATAATAATAATAATAATGCATCAGATTTAATATAGTGCTTTATCAGAGACCCTCAAAGCGCTTTACATTGGATACATCATTCATTTGCTCACACAGTCAGACCTTGGTGGTGGTAAACTACCTTAGTAGTCACAGCTGCCCTGGGGCACACTGACAGAAATGTGGCTGCCAGTTTGCAACTACAACCTCTTCGACCACCACCACACAACACTCATAGTCATACACCAGTGGAGGACACACACTGGGAGCAAGGTAAGTTAAGTGTCTTGCCCAAGGACACAATGGACAGACTCGTGGAAGGGGGGAACCACCAACCTTCCAGTTGTTGGACGACTGCTCTATTTCCTGAGCTACTGCCGCTTTATTGTACCAAATAACCTTTTGAAGTCGTTCTTTCATCAACAGAGGAGAAAAGAGACGCTTATTTGAGGATGTTGTGGGAAGTAAAATGTGCTCATCTTGAACTAAGTGAGATTTAGAGAAGCTAGAATTTAGAGGTGATTGTCAGAGCAGTCGCTACTTTCACGTGGGGTATCTACCTACCTCTAGCCTGATTTTTTCCTTCTTTTGGGACTCAAGTAAAATCCTGTTACTTGCTGATAGCAAACTCAGAGAGAAAGTGCAGTAGCTTACCTGACTGCTATGCCCCGATGCAATATGATCAATGACCCCCGCTCTAACACAAGGAGGCGGCAGGGCTCTTTGACGAGTGTGCAGGCTGTGGCTCTGCTCTGACCGAGATGAAGTCTAGTTGTTGTCAGTCACAAATCAATCCACTGCACTTCTGTTTTTACTCACCTAAGTGGCTGCAATGGTGTTCGGGGAAGGAAATCTCTGTCGTGTGAGAACTACATGCAAAATGTGTGCATTGCAAATCAATATCTGGCAGACTGACCCCTGGTGACAGTATTGAAACGGTACACCACCCACCACCTTTTTGCCAGAAAAGAGATGGGAGGGTGGGGAAACGAAATCAAGAGATTGGCGGGTGCACGTTTGATAAAAGTAATCTGAACTCACTAGTGCTCAAGGAGGTTTCGGATGCAGCGCAGCAGTCCCAGAATGTTGTCAGTGTAGGCTTTCTTCTTACCATCTAATTTCTGGATCAACTCTAGTGGGAACTGTGAAACAAAAAAAAACTGAGTTGTGCTGAAGTTCAGGAAAAAAAATGGTTTGGTTCAAATAACAAATAAAGAGTAGTCACCTGTTTTTTCCACTCTTTGAAGGCTCCTTCCCCAGCACATCCTTCCATCAGAGAAATAAACTCGGGCTCAGCATTTTTGAAATTTGCCACTTTCTTTCGGTTTCCGATCCTCCTCAGATACTCCACTCTCCTTTAAATCAAAACAAAAATTCATGTTGCAGACATAAGAAAAAGGAAGTATGCAGAGGGTGCTTTGCGGTTTGAACTTCTTCAAAAGAAAGGTTATGGAACTGTTAGTTATTTTTATCTATGATACTTGCCTTGATAATCTTACTTAGATCATCTGCCCAGCAACAGCAAAACTGTATGATTGAATGTGTGTGTGTGTGTGTGTGTGTGTGTTAGAGGTGAGTGTAGAATGCATAACACAACTCCTATTAGGTAAACACCTGGACCCATCTATGTGAGAGGTGAAGAAGAAATATGAACCAGCCTACACGTGAAGACAACATCAAGTATAGGAACTCTTTGTCTAGATAGGTGGATCCTCAACTATAACTATAAGGCCTCTAAGCTGTCTGTTTGGTAGGATGAGCTAATTTGAGCCAAAGATCTTTGTTTGCATAGTCTTGACTCACTGTAATCAATAAATAGAGCTTCAACTAACCTAACCTAACATATGACACTTTCCTCCAGTGGGAAATAAAAAATAGCTTGACCAAGTATCAGCTAAATCTGTGTATTAATCAATTAGTCTTTCTTACTTCTCTTGGTTCCAAAAGAAAGGATGGCTCAGACATTCTTCAATTGTGGGTCTCTTCTTGGGATCTTCATTTATCATCCACTCAATGAGGTCCTTTGCCACCATATCTTTGACATGGTCCAGATTGTACCTCCCCTGGGAAATGTTGTATTCACATTCATAGGCTTTGTCGCCAAAAGGATGGTGTCCCCCAGAAAGGATGTAATAAATCAGCATGCCTGCCACCTTAAGAATCAACATCACCAAGTAAGAGAGTGATTTTTTTTAAGAAGTCATTAAATTAATGTGATTGAAAGAACTTGCCTGTATATCAGTGCTGGATTTGTATGGTATGTCATCTCCTCCTGCTAAGGTCTCTTTGGCCTTCCAGCACTTTGTTCCAGCAGCTCCTGTACGATACGTCGTTTGACCTTTGGGTAGCAGTCTGCTGATGCCAAAGTCAGCTAATCTTAGCCTCCTCTTGACATCTGTGGTGAAATCAATATGGAAACATTTCCACTGACAATCACAAACTTGAACAAGGCTGAATATTTCTCAATTTCAAAATCTGACTTGTCTTACCGATCAAAACGTTCCGTGGTTTGAGATCCCGGTGGAGAATTGGAGGATCCTGGCCATGGAGGATCCTCAAACTCTGGAGGACTTGATAGGCAAGTTTCTTCAGATGGATGAAATCATCTTTGAAGGTTGGGATGAGCTCTTCCAGGTTGTATTCACAAAGTGCTAGACCAAGATAGCCGAAGTACTGATCTTCTGCAGAGTCCACATATCGCACGATAGATGGATGATCCAGTTCTGGAAGTCGTAGAAACCCTTCCTCATTCTTCAGGACCTCATAGTTGCTCTTGGACATTCGCTTAATGGCAACTTCAGTGCCGTCATCTCTGAGCCCCAGGAACACTTCGGTACCATCACTGCCCTTTGAAATGCGAAATTCTTCTCGATTCACGTAAATCATGCTCTCTATCCTGATTACTTTACTTTCAGGCGTTGTCAAGAGCTTCTCAATTTGTCCTCCCCACCTTTTACTGATTTGGTGCCATTTGTGAGCTATGGATGTGCCTGTGGTTTTCACATAGAATGGCTCAGCTACTGCTTCTTCATGGGCAAGTCCACAAAGATCATAATTTAAGTCTCCTTGCTTTCTTGAGTTTTTCATCACTTCCTTGGATCTCTTTAGGTCTTCACATTTGGGGTTTGGTTTTCTCAGATGATTCTTCAGTTGCCTGAAAAGTCCTTTCACCTCTTTGATCAATTTCATTTCTACAGATGTCACTGTGTCCTCCACCACTAAAGTTATTTCTGCTGATGTAATGATGTTTGTGAATGAATAGAAGTTTCCAAATGTGCCGTAAGTGAAGCAGGGGCTGCTGGTGAGTTGTGGGAGGAGCAATTTGACTTCTGAGTCACATCAAAGCTGGGCAAAAACAGAGAGATAAGGTAAGATCAGATTCAAGTATAAACACTCTTAAATGCTGCAAGATAATTTCAGGGATGTGACTGAGATTAAAGAAAAAACACCCAGACTAAGATAGATTTTTTCAATTTATAACTAAGTACTCTTTCTGGGTCACTTCTCTCAGGGGTTTGGGTGTAAAAAGCTCCTGAACAGGACTATGACGATTATTTTGGGGTGGCTTTAAATAAAAAAAAGAATAAAATAAATAAAACAGTAATTTTAGTTTGTCATCACGGTGTGGAGAGCATTCAAGCTCTAAGACTTATGTGATAGTTTCACAGAAATAAAACAAGGTAAGCCATCTCTAAATACAAGATTGTAATGACTTTAATGATTTTACATTCCAGGCCTGGATTAGAGGACTGAACCTGGAGGACTTGTGGCAACTTCCAAGATACTGCATCCATGTTCCAGGCTGGAACAACACTGATGCTATTGTGCACAGCCCTGACCCTGGAGAGGACAACAAATGCTGTTTTTTATACATATTCTTACACTATACGACTTTTTTCATAATGAAATTGTTTTCTAATAAATCTGAAAAGTTGTACACACGTTTCATTACCAATTACATCAGTAAAGACTGAACAATAACTATTGTCACAACCGAGTCAGCATGTGTAATGGTGCATAAAAAATGACACAGGAGATATAACAAAATATAAATGGAAAAATAATATCCAAAGTCCAAGTCTTTTTGGTCAGAAAAATGTGACTGCTCTTTCTTTCTGGTTGGGTTCAACTGTCCGCCATTTTGCAAACTAACTCTGTTTTGTGCTTGCTCCTGCACACTCTTTGAGGAAGTGGAGCCTATCTCACAACAAGTCAGCATCAGGGGGTAGAGCCTACCCCACAACCAATCAGGACAGAAGGATAAAGAGCGGCTCTGGGAGTTTTGGAAATATTCCAAAATGGAAACTTTTCAAGGGAATTATGGGAATTTATGGGAATTAACTGGAAATTGGGGGTAATTTAAACAAACTGTATCATATCCAAACATAAATGTTAATATTTTTCCTTCAACATTAGCTTGTGTGAAATGCTTCCACACATCAGATGGTGAACGTGGCATTTTTCTGTAGAATAAAATAACAAAAAGCTTGTAAAAACACTAATGCAATTGCTAAACAACTGGAATAGTATTCAAAATATTTGACATTTGATATATAAATTATTGTTGGGTTTCAGAAAACCGTCTTACAAGAGTCAGAAGAAACAGCATCACATTCGAGGTTGCTACCACCACCATAATAAGCTAGCCCCTTAAATGGTCAATGAAATGAAAAATAGCTTACATTTAGCACCTATTTTTATCTATTTTTTGCAAGTTAAATATTAATACTATTATAGATCAAATATATTTACCCCATAATATTTTTAAAACTTACTTGACTTTATATAGTCTGTGGACTCAAATGTCTTGTGCTTTGGGCTCAAAAGTGTGGCCTCCAGGGTTCAAGAAATCATCTGTGCGTGTGATGGAGGAATCCACAGTGCATGTAGGGGGTGTGGCCTCAATTGCCCTGCAGTAAGCAGTGCACTGCATGCATGTGATTGATTGTACTTGCATTAAATCTGGTTGTTTTAGCCAAGATTATGCTACAATATATTCCCACAACTATATTTAAGTTCCCTGTTGAGGGCCAACCTTCAATTTTGTAAGTTTGTGCTGACAAGGGCCAGAGGGCAAGAGCATATAATGCCAGTTTTAGCATTGCCGCATTGGCTCCCCCGTCCGTTTCAGGATTGATTTTAAGGTTCTTCTATTAGTTTTTAAATGTATTAATGGTCTTGGCCCCTCCTATTTACTGTTCATGTATTTAAGAAGATGCTCAAGACTCACCTTTTTAACCACGCTTTTTACTAACTGCCTTTTTATATTTCTCTTATTGCAAATGTTCGTTTTAATCGAAGTTCTTATTGTTTATTTCATGTCATTTTATTAATCATCTCTGTTCTTAGTCTTTTACTTAACTCCCATCACAGGTTTTTACTTCTTTTACCCCTTTTTCATATGGTAAAGTGCTTTTACTTATCTGTTCATTTAATATTATTTTCTTATTTTAGTCCATCAGGTTTTACTCTTTTTACCATTTTTATCTCCAGTGTTTCCCAAAGTTAGCTCTTTCCTCACTTGATGTCTCTGTGTCAGGCCATGTCTCTTTAACAATATATCTTAAATTCTCACACTGTGTGCGCTTGTGAGTGTGTATGTGTGGGTGAGAGAGTGAGGGTGGGTGTGTGCCTTTGTGCTCGTGTGGGTCTGTGGGTGGGGGGTTCAGATGTTATTGTCGTTAATTGTTATTTTTAGCCTGTGTGAGGCACTTTGAACTGCATTTTTTTGTATGAAAAGTGCCATAAAAATAAAGTTGAATTTGAAATTTCAGATTTATTCCCCTTAATTCCCATGGAAAGTTTCCAACTTTGAAAATTCCCGGAATTCTGCAACCCTACTGACACCACATGATGTACTGATGCTGGAAAATCTCACAGCCAACTACCACACAATCTTCAAATTAGTCTATAGCCCTCATATGAAGCATTGGTTCATAATGTTGTGAACATTTCAGTAAAATAGCTGCTTGCATACTGTACAAAAGCAACAAACCAAAAAAGGCATTATAAATGAAGATTGATGGTATTTTTCAGTCAACATCCTTGTCTACACATCTAGAGAGGAGAGAAGGTGCACAGGAGCCAGGAAGTATGTGTACGTGAGTGTGAGTGCATGCATCAAAATACTTTTATGTCAACCCTGAGCCTGCCTAACGAAATTGAGACAGCGTACGGCAGCTACACTGAAGCATGGCTAATAAAAAACATATTACACAACAATTAAAGTACAATTGTACCTGCATTGTCACCCTCACTAGAAAAACAGATAATCCTCCAGCCACTTCGGGCCCTACCTACAAGTTTGTAAAAAGAAAAGGTGGAAAAAAATGGAAAAAGGTGCCCAGTTTGGATGCCCAGACTGTTTGAATCGCAATAAACTGCCTTGTGGATGCCCTTACAGCACGTGAAATAAAAAATCTCCTTTTTCTATCTAATCTGTTTTCTCAATCTTCACTGCTAAAATCTGGCCTGCATATGTGCAGCCTTTCACTACAGATATACTTCAGACTGCTGAACAGGGGTTTGTAAATTACTCAAAATGATGTAATCAGGTGCCATACGCACACTTTAAAGGAGGCAGGTTCTTATCTGATGAGTAGTTAAATCTTGCTCAGCTGTGAAGAGCTCCCACAGCTGTACCACACCCCCAGCATGTTTTCCATTAGCTGCCCCCTCTGCACTGAAAGATTTATTAAAAGTTGGATATACTGTCGCTTTGATAGCACAGGAAATTATAAAACCGACAGTTTTATCTTGTGTTTTGAATGCCAGTGTTAGATGAACAACAGGAAAACATACTTACCAAGTCTTTTAGAGCATGTTTTCAGTCTGGGCTAACTCTGCCTATTATGGCACCGTTTTTGCTCCTTCCACGCTGCTCCTCCTTTTCATCCCTTCACTACATTTGACCATGAGATTTGAGTCGACAACATAAAAATGTGGAAGCCAAGGAACCATAATAAAGCGGTATTACACATTCACTACTCCTACACGTGTTTGAAGCTTAGTTCAAGTTCATACAAGTTACGAGCACGTCGTTTCCTCAGTTTCCTCGTTGGTATTTGCTAAGCCCTCGGTTTTGCCTTTCGGGCTACAAGGACGTTCTGTCACCTCAGGGCGGATGTTCTTCATTGTAACTGTCCTCAACGCTGTTGTACTTTCGCTGTCAAACTATTCAATTTTCAACCATATTAATTGTTTATAGTTTACTGCCTTTATCTTTCCTCGAGTTTGTATTTATCACGGCGTGTGCTGCTGACCGCTTCGCAAAGTCACCTTCATGAATGAGACCCCAAGATATCAATGGAACTTATCTGGTTAAATAAACAAAAAAATTACCGTTATTTCGTCTCACCACAACCATAGACTGTATATACTATATGTACGAGACTGTATATACTATATGCAGTCTATGACCACAACTCATACCCGGTCTCCTGCAGACAGTATTTAGGGCAGCAGGAAACCTTCGAGCCTTGCGCGGGAGGGCTTCCTATTTTTTTCCTCCACGAACTTTATTCATAACAATTTCCCTGTTTACATTTTTTGGGAGGGAGCAAATCTGCTTCATTCATTAATTGTAAAGGGGGGAAACTGCTGGAAATCAAGGAAAACAGCGTTAACAAATGCAAAGCAAATTCATAAAAAGAAAAAATGCCGGTTAAAAATGAGAAATATTTTGATAAGAGGCAGGCAACCTAATTTTGAGAAGGCTGTACACATGATTCCTTAGAGGCTGAGAGCATTTCTGTCTTTTGAGCTTCATTTCCAGTCCTTTAACGTGAAACTTTAGATATTTAGATTATTCTCACTCATACTGTGGCTCAGTATCATGGTGGCCTTTTTAGCAGTGGTGTAAATCAAACAGTCATATTTGAAAACTTAACATTGTATTGCACTGTTACAGAGTCTTGGCCTACCACACTTACCTGCTTTTGTTTATCAGTTAGAAACAGATTCTAACATTTTGTGGTAACTTCATAAGCACATTTCTTATCATTAATATAAATCTGATCAATTTGTATGGGTTGCAGAGGTGATTCTACCTATGAGTGAGTGTATTTTAAATCATTCAAGATGAGAAGAGTAAAGCTTTAAGTACTCCACTGAATTTTCTTACTGTTACCAATAAGAAAATTCAACAGAGTACTTAAAGCTTTACTCTTCTGGTTCAAAGTCCTTAAGAGATACAACCTGGAAATGAAAATTTTAAACCAGGGGCTTTGAGGCATAGGTTCAAAAAATGGGAAAAGAAAGGTATAACAATAATTAATACAATTAATGCTTTCTAAAATTTAGAAGAGAATACAATTTGGACAAACAAGACTTTTTCATGTATCTACAGGTCAGATATTATTTTAATAAAGAGATTAGGCCAGATCTCCAAGGAGAGCAAAACGGGCTGATCTGGTAAGTAGCAGACCAACATCAACTCTACACATAAGGGATAAATGGGTAAAGGAACTTAAGAGGGAAATAACTGAGGCCCTGGATAAACTGTGGACAACAGGATGTTGATCATACCCATTTCTTTTGGTGCTGCAAGAAAATGACTAACTACTGGGAAGAAATAAGCAAAGGAATAAGAAAAATATTAGGTTACGAGCTCCCCATGACCGTCAAAGTAATGTACCTGGGCAATCTTACGCAGGAAAGCATACAAACTAAAGACAGATTGACTGAAATACTTCTTGCAGCATCAAAGAAGGCCATCACGAGGAATTGGTGTAAGGAGAATCCACCCAATCAGAAAAACTGGCTGGACACGGTAGAAGAACTATATACAATGGAGAAACTAACACACGCTCTACGACTCCAGCAAGAAACAAACACCTGAAAGTGGGAAACATGGATCAAAAATAAATCTATTCACATTATTAAAAAAAAAAAAAAGGACAACTCTGGTGGAGGCTACATGGACAATTTTCTTTTCTTCTCTGTGAATAACACCATGTTTTGTGTTTGTTTGTTCCTGTATTTTTCTTTGAATGACTGTATGTCATTATGTCATTAACTTTCAGTTTTTCTGTAACGCAGATATGTTATAAATTGTAATTATTCAGTTTTTCCACAAGGTGGAGCAGTGTAGAGTAAAATTACATGGGAAAATATCATCCAGTGAAACAATATTGTCTGAGCAATTCCAATTTCATTGAAAAAATCCATTAACGTTGAGAATAAAACACTTGTACAATAAAAAGTCCATCATATGTACAATGTTCTCCTCCTCTGGTGCTATTTAAGAAATTAAATAATTCAGCCTGGTGAATAATATTTCATTTTTCTTAAAATACAAAAGAAATATAGAAATTGGATATAAGATGATAGATAAAATATAATTTTTTAAAATCTATACAAATAGACAAAAGATAAAATAGAAGTTATTTACATCAAAGTAAATCAGCAAAAGTCAGTGAGCTGGGGGGTTCTCTTCTTTTGGCACAGTGGATGTTGGTAAAGATTCTGAACTGGACAGCAGACATGTTTGTCAGAATTTGCAGTTAGCATGTCTGCTCATGAGGTGATGTCCTCTCCCAGAAACTCTCTTGATGTGAACATTTTCTTCAGGGCTGGCTTTGAATTCCACTCTTGGTTTTTGGCAAATATGTAAACGCAGCCAAACAGATCAGGAAACATGGACATCAGATCAAGTTTGGCAGCGTCGTCTTCACTGATAATAAAGACACACAGCATATCATGAAGGATAGTTGAGACTGTTTATTACTGCTGTACCAACATTTCTAAACCTTTTGGTAAATGAAGAAATGATGTTTGGGCTTTGATCTCTGACTGTTCGCCAAATTTGCACAAAGAATTTAAAAGGCTGCACCACCTTTGTGGATTTATAAACAATCAAGATGGTAGCTCCAGTTGCTGGATGGTCAGTTGAACACACTATGAATAAAAAGCTGCACTTAGTCTTCATCGGGGAAAAGTACGTTTCTTTAATCTGCAAGCCTCTGTCTGTTCACATTACTATTGCTATGCTCTTTATTACATGCTGTATTCATCTGATTGTTGTAGGTCCAGAGGCACTTTCATACATGAAGGCCCCCCAAAAAAAACACACCCATTCACTAAGGTGAACCTCAATAAATGCTCAATTTTAGAGCTGTTGCTAACTTGCCGACTTATTTTTGTGGTTGTTGTGTCTGTTAGATCTTTCTTAAGACTGAAGAATTAGAAATCTGATTTGGGTTTCAAAATGTTTTTTTTTAAAAAGCATTTTGTAATCAGCCAAAACCAAAACAAAATAAGGATGAAAAGTATAAGAGTAGACACAGGCAAAAATCAATGTGGCAGAGTTGGAAGTGTAATGAAGTACAGGGAGAGTGGAAAAACCAATATCAAGACAGTATTATTGACATTTTTAACTCATTTGAACTTACTAGTGCTCGAGGAGGTTTCGTATGAAGCGCAGCAGTCCCAGAATGTTGTCAGTGTAGGTTTTCTTTTTACCATCCAATTTCTGGACCAATTCTGGTGAAAACTGTAACACAAAAATGAATAAAAGTTATCCACTCAAATTCAGAAAAAATCAACAAGTGTGGTCCACATTCACCTGAGGGTACTTGTTCTCATTCACCTGATTTTTCCACTCTCTGAAGGATCCTTCCCCCGCACATCTTTCCATCGAGGAAACAAATACTGGGTCAGCGTTTTTAAACTTTGCCACTTCTTCCTGGTTTCCAATCCTCCTCAAATACTCCACTCTCCTTAAAAATCAAAACAAAAATGCATGTTGGATGTTTGAAAAACCTGAACACAAACCTGTTCTGCAATGTGTTGTGCAAAAGTATGTTAAATCAGAGTCCTAATGCTGATACCACATCTCAGCTTTTTGCCTCAGTGACTAGGGAGATTGGCGAGGAAATGTCCCATACAAGAATCTTACTAAATATCCTCATTCTACATCTGTTAACTTGCATGGATACAAATGCTTGTATATTTTTTGTAATAAGATAAAAAAAAAATTATCAGTCCACCAGCTTTTCTTTCTTACCTCACTGCTTTCCAAAAGAAAGGATGGCTCAGACATTCTTCAATCGTGGGTCTCTTCTTTGGATCTTCATTTATCATCCACTCAATGAGGTCCTTTGCCACCATATCTTTGACATGGTCCAGATTGTAGGTCCCTTTGGAAATGTTGTACTCACATTCATAGGCTTTGTCCCCAAAAGGATGGTGTCCCCCAGAAAGGATGTAATAAATCAGCATGCCTGCCACCTTAAGGATTTACAAAAGCAATTAAGGAAGTGGTTTTTCAAGAAGTCATCAAATTAGTGGGAGTGAAAGAACTTGCCTGTATATCAGTGCTGGATTTGTATGGTATGTCATCTCCTTCTGCTAAGGTCTCTTTGGCCTTCCAGCACTTTGTTCCAGCAGCCCCTGTGCGATAAGTTGTTTGGCCTTTGGGTAACTGTCTACTGATGCCAAAATCAGCTAATCTTGCCCTTCCATTAACATCTGCAAAAAAAAAAATTATCTCTTAAAATGGTCAACTTTCAAACATAATCTTAATATATGTTCAACTTGTCTTACCAATCAAAACATTTGGTGGTTTGAGATCCCGGTGGAGAATTGGAGGTTTTTGACCATGGAGCACCCTCAAACTCTCAAGGACCTGATGGACAAGATCTTCCTTCTGTGAGCCACCATCTTTATTGATGGTGATGAGTTCATCGAGGGAGGATTCACAAAGTTGGAGACCAAGATATCCAAAGTACTCATCCTCTGCAAAGTCCACATATCGCACGATAGATGGATGATCCAGTTCTGGAAGTCGTAGAAACCCTTCCTCATTCTTCAGGACCTCATAGTTGCTCTTGGACATTCTCTTTATAGCAACTTCAGTGCCGTCATCTCTGAGCCCCAAGAACACTTCTGTACCATCGCTGCCCTTAGCAATTCGAAACTCTCCACTATTCACGTAAATCATGCTCCCTGCTCTGATTACTTTACTTTCGTCAGACAGCTTCTGGAGTTTTTCTCTCCACCTCTTGCCGACTGGAAACCATCTGTGTTTTGTTGACAATGCAGAGGTTTTAATATCTAATGGCTCAGCTGCTGTAACCTCAGTTGCAGAAGTGGAGACTTCAGCATTGTTTGGGTCTTCTTGACTCTCTGACCTTTCCCCCTTTTTCTTTGTTCCATGTAGGTCTTCACATTCTGAGTTTGGTTTCTTCAGGTGACTTTTCAGTCGTCTGATTACTTCTTTAAGATCTTTTAGCATTTGCGTTTCTGCAGATGTCAGGATATCATCAGGCACAGAAGTTATCCCTGCTGATATGAGGACGCTAGCCCCATTTTCAAACGAGAGCAAGTTTCCAAATATGCCGTATGTGAAGACCCTTTGGTCAATGGGGCGTATGCTCTGCGCAAAAGGAGCTAATGAGCGACATAGTTTCTCAGTTAAGGGAGAATCCCCGCCATTTTTGATTTTTGTCTTCTGTGTTATCACATAAAGTGTTTGCAGAATAATATCATATTTACCCGGTATCATACCCAGGCCAAGCTCTGTCAGTAGTAAAGGGATCAGGATACAGGCCTGCTCCTTTTGTATCTCTTCAACAATACACAGAACAAGATACAAAGTGTCAATAACCTGACGTAGAATACTCTTCTTAAGCTTTGGAAAGCGACTGGCTGCACTTGTAATATAAGCATCCACATTGCCAGTTTCTTTCAGCCATTTGATACTCTTATGGCGATACATTTCTCCATCTTTCCCTGTTGCATTCAAAAGTATCTCAATCATGATTAGATGAGACTGAGGATTCTCCTGCAGCATGTGACTGTGAAAGGTTTCAAACACTTCTGTAGAGGTTTTATCTCTTATAGCAATTTCCAAGTCCAGAAAACAGCTGACTTTGGAGCACAACTCATTCCCTTTTTGTGCAAGGTTATGAATCATCTGAAACATTTTATCAGGTTCAGTAATGGGTGACACTGTTACCACTGCACCTGCAGAAATGAGCTTTTCAAAGATGTCCTCCCTGTTCAAAATAGCAGCAGTTTGTAAGCATGAGCCATTGTTTGGTCCAACTATGTTTGGATTAGCTTTTGCCTCAATCAGCTTCTCCACAAACCAAAGTGGTGCTTTTTCTTTTAAGGCATAATGCAAAGCTGTGAAGCCTTTTTTTGAAACCACATTTGGGTTTGCACCTTTTAGCAAAAGAAAAGTACATATCTCCTTATTGCGGCTTAAAACAGCAGCAATCAGTGGTGTTATTGAGTCCTGACATTTGATGCACTGGTAAAGATGGTCAGTTCCTTTATCCTCCAATAATTTTTCAAGCTCCTCCAGGTTGTTTTTCCGAACACACTGTATTATTGGATGTGATAAGCGGGGACGGATGGCAAATCCTTGGAATTTAACCCCAGGCATGATGAATTTTCACCATTTAAAGTTGTTTGTAATATTAAAACAGCAAAACTTCACACTCCAATTGCAATAAAAGTTCCTTCTGTTGAATAGGGGAGAGTGTGGTAAGTTGAGCCAAAGGGTAAGTTAAGCCACCCCCTGTTGCTTGGAAATGGCAAAAGAAATTGATCATGTGACCAAATCAATTCATGGAGTCTGTGAAGATTAGAAGCACATGGGTGAAGGGATTAGACATTTATTTCAAAAAAAAACATTTCACTCTAGAAAGACAATTTAGTCTGTTAAAGCTGGTCATTATCCCTATAGCAATTCATTCAAAGAAAGTTAAACAACTCAAAAACGCTTACCATGTGGACAGCAAGTCCACCACAGAGAGACGTGTGTATCTATCTTCGTATGCGGTCTCTTTTGCAGTTTTTCACACTTCCTTTTCTCCCTTTTCTTGCCTCACCCTCGTTTTAACGGTGGAAGTTGAACGAACTAGATGAGATGGTGGTCTGGTTGACCGTCTTTGTCGAGTATTTCTTGTTAATTGCGAAAAAACTTCTAACAAATGTAGTTCAAGTCCTCAGGAAATTAGTATGGGAAAGTTTTAGATGTTTTCCTTGCGCTCAATGCCAGGTGTGCCTACTAGATTTTTTGCCCTCAGTTTTGCCTCTCAGGCTGCCCTTACAGCAAGATGAACGTTGTTGTAAATGCCAGTGAGCCGTTTTTCCACATTATGGCGTTTCAACGCTTTGTCAAAAACCTTTGGCTTCTCTCGTAGATAGCTAAGTTGAGAGACTGACATTATCTTATTTCTCATTTAATGTCGGACTTAAACCCTGGTCTCTTGCAGACAGTATTCGGGGATTAAAAAAAAAAAAGGATTAAAAAAAAGGGGGGTTGCATATTTGTGGGCCTACAGTCATTCTCATAAAATTGGCGAAACAGTTTATCAGCTTTAACAAAAACTGAGGTTTTCCAAATGTATTAATTGTATTCACCCATGAAAAAGCAGAGCCCGCCTAACACCTAAATGAATACAGCAATTCTTTGTTGACTGGGGTGAATCTGTGGCATCATACATAGAGATTAAGTATGATGGTCTTGTTGAGTAAAAGTGCTCTTTCTCCTCTCAACTTTCCTGTTGCTCACTCATTTGGTCCTTTCTTTGAGAGAGAATTTAATGTCTGCTTAGACTCTGTTACTGGATTACTGTTATGATCACAGTTCAAATAACACCATTACCTGGTCTAAGGCAGGAGTTCCCACAGAAGAGGTCAGGACTCCCTATGGCGATGGTTCTCCGCTTAGTCACAACAACCATCAGCCATCATCTGCATCTGCTGCCAGTCTGAAATAGCCCTAAAGCAATGTGTTACTGATGAAGATAGTGCCTTGCAAGATCCATTACCCTGTCAAAAATATAGCATTTAATTTTTAGTGTTTTTAATTCACAACCATGCAGCGAATCCCAACTTATTGCAACCTCAAAAGTTAACCTTAAAAGTTACATCTTAATTATTCAAAATTGCACGTTTTATCCGTTATTGTAAAACAAAAAATAAATTGAAATAAATATTTAAATTTCTGCTTTTCTTCACCTGGCCCCAAAGTGATCACATCAGATAAAGGAAACATAGTGACATGAGCAAATGGGGGATGTTTTTCATTATATGGAACCTCGAAGATCTTATTACACTCAATATTGGCAGAAAAACGCCATCCAAATAGTTTTGTTTTCCTAATGAAACTGTTAGTTACTCTGTAAGAGAAGAAAAAAAGAAACACTCATTACAGAGATACAACCTAGTGAGCTGAAAATGGAAGCCATTGCAACAGTACCAAAAACTGCAGTTCTTCAAGTGGCCCCTTGAGGCTGGCTTTAAAATTGAGTCTCCATTCAGCACCATAGGAAACAAAAAACACAGAAGAATTTAATATTCCCACAGCCTTAAAAAAAAAAGTCTCTTTTTCTTTATTCCGGACAATTATATTGGTGATTATTTTTACAGTATTATGTTACACACCTATTAAGGTTTTATTAAGGTTAAAAGATTTAAGTGTAGCACAGTTTGGGGATATCCAAATATCCAACAAATCACATGCCTTTCTGTGTGGTTCGCTGAACAAACCAGCTATCCTTGAAGACTGCTCTACAATTGTTTTCCCTAGAGTTGATGAAAAGGGCAAGCAAATGGTTACCCTTTACCTCCCACAATCTTCACCAGCTACCCTAATCAACTCCTAACCGCTATCACCACTTCAGAAATGAGAATGAGCCCATAATTTCTACGATCATTGATGGATGAAACACATCTTACTATCATACTTTCAAACATTTATTTTGATACTCAAATGATTTAATTTACAGTGTATTTTAAGAGTAACATTCAATATGCATTAAACAAAATCTTACAAAATAATCGGTATGTGGTAAAGCTTGCATATTCCATTACACTTTTTTTTTAGTTGCAATACCATTCACTTAAAGAGTAAAGAAGCACTTTTAGACTTCTGAGTCTGGTAGGTTCATCTATAAAATGAATTTGGCAAACACCTTTTTTTTGTATGTCATGCTCTTGCAAGTTGCAGTAACGTTTCAACTATTTGAAATTAAGTGCAAAAAATCTGTTCAGATCATTTTTGTGACAGGTAGTGGCATTGCAGTCCTCGTTTTATGTACATTTCGGAGCTTGAAATTTAACATTCAGTATTTTTAAAGAACAAAATGATTAGAGCAAAAATGCCTCTCAAGTTCAGTGAATATATATACATAAACCTCATATTCCCTTCATTTTTTGACAGACAAATTATCTTGTCCAATCAAATTTTATAAATTTGAGTCCACTGACAATCACTTGGAGATTTTTTAAAGTTTAAATCCAAAAAAGACACTGACCAACTGTGGTGATTTTTTTTTTAACTTTGTAAGTAGGTTTTACTTCCCTGACAACACCTCAACATTACATGGATGGAAGGGCTTTTAACTGCTTTTCCACTTATAACACTCTGAACTACAAGGTTAACTACATATAAATGGGTTGTTTCTAATTATATGTATTGTCCAAACTAGCCTAAGTTTTGAATATTTAACCTTCTAACACAGAAATTTAATCCATTTTTTTTTACTGTTTGCAATAATCTATAGCACCTACAGTTACACTTTCACATAACAATGACACTCTAAGGTCTGGGGCCTCACTATAATTAAAGGTTTGTGCTTTCAAGACATTCCCTGTTTTGAAAAAAGCAAAGGGGTGTGACACTCTATCACGGCCACTGGGAGGCACTGTGGGCCCATCAGAACACAGATCCCCAGTGCTGGTAAGGCAACATACTGTTCATCACCACAGGGTATAAGGATAAGAGGTGAGGGACAGCCATATCTCCAACACCTTTGAAATTAAGAGATTTTCTCTTTCTAAGGTCCTGATGTATAATTTTAGGGGTACTAAACCATTAACTCTGTGATAGCTGTACATCCAAAAAAGATCAAATTGAATTTTAAATCATCCCTTTCCTAGAAAGAGTACCTAAAAGGTACGAAACAAAGTGATTCCAAGCACAACTGGCTTGACTTATCCATGAAAAATCACTTAGTAGGAACCAAAAAGTTTAGAGATCATTGAGTTCATTATGGTCCTTTCTTTCCCTTTGAAAATGAATCTTATAGTGGAAGACGTTCGATTGCAGAAGGGTAGATAAGGCAGAGCTCCTCACAAGCTCAAGTCAATGATGATGTGCTCAAAGATCTGTGTGTTGCCCTTGAAGCTAGATGTGAAGATGAAGTCCCTGCGGTCAGTGGAAACCACAGTAAAGGAACGTGGTGCCTGGATGTAAACTTCCTTGAATCGTTCAAAGAGTTTCTCATCATCATCCCACAGGTAGATCTGCGAGAAGGTGTAATCGCTTCCCAAGGCCAGGTAGTAGCGATCTTTGAAAAAGAAGGGCTGGAGAATCATGGAGCCTCTTGAAGGCAATGCCTGAATCTCTGCAAACTGTTTGGCACCCCAGCGTAGAACTTTGGAGTCGCCAATATAACGGGTCATGGCCAAGTAAAGTTCCTCCTTAATCCTGAAGTGCTTCACAGCTACAACATCTTCCATGTTGGGGATCTCACCCTGTAGGACAAACTTTTGGTTGCTCCGGCTCCACTGGTAGATCACAGGCACCTGCGAGCGGCTCGCCAAAACAAGGTGGGCCTTCCCATCCAAGTCCAAGAACTCTGCATCTGTATCCCGGTACCATTCATGAAGTGACTGGTATGAATAAAAGCCCTTATCGTTCCACTTGTAGAGGGTGGACAGGCCTGCTTTGGAGCTGTCAGCAATCACAAAGAACCAGTCAGAACCGATCTGGAAGGCCTCAATGTCATTGGGCTTGGAGATCTTAGACACCTCAATGTCCTGAAACTTGCTGAATCTGCTTTGGTCCTCATCAAACTTATATATATGGGAACCACCGAAGAGCTGAGCCACGATGACAAACACTTGGTCCAGGATGACAACTGACTTACAACCGACAATAGACTGACCTGAAAGAGAAGGGGGGAAAGGACTGCATCAGGTCAACAACAACTAAATCCAGCTTTTCTTAAACAGTAATGGGATTGCCATACCTGTGATGTTATCATAAGTCCTGAAGTTCATCTCAATGTGGTCCCATTGGAAAACCATACAACTGTCTGTGCTGGGAGCAGCAATAGTCACATAGACGTCATTCTTGTAGCTGAACGTGTCAACAGACAGAGACTCAGATGCAATGGATTGGTGAAGTACGAAATCTGTAGATATAAATGAAAAACAATTCTGCATGAAAACAGTTCATTGTCCCTTTCAGAGGTGCAGTGCATGTGTGAAAAGCATAAGAGGTGTCTGCAATGTCCTTTACTTTCACAGCTCTTTTGATGACAAAGCTAGCCTGCGCAATACTGATGACAGTTTGATTTGAAATGTAGCCAACATAGTCAGATATTTCTTACCCGTTGAGATGCACTCATTGTGCAGGCTGGTCATATCATTGAGGCGCTTGTCCTTCATTTCCTCAGGTCCAGCACACACAACGTCCGACACTGTGGCATTGGTGTTCTTGAGCCAAGTCATCAGCCACTTGGCACGACAGTCACACTCAAAGGCATTACCTCGAAGGTCCCTGCAAAAGAGGAAAACTTTTTATTATTGAAGAGAAACCAAACAGATGAGCAACTGAGAGTAAGTAAGAGAGAAATTGATGTTTTAACAGTATGTAACATTAAGAGAGAAACAAGATTTACACTTCTTAAATGACTGACAAACCTACAGCTCAATCAGTGAGTCCAAATCAATGAAGATGTCCCTGGGTAAGGCTTTAATGTTGTTGTTTGCCAAAGACCTAAAAATGACAGCATACAGTCAACACAGAGAAAAAAACAGTAAAAAAAATTCACATTAAACGATGAAAAAAGTGTATCCTTACTGCTCCGTGAATGAAAATACACTAAAAAGGACATTACACAGGCTTTCACAGGGAATGCATTTAAAGGTTTGAACTTACAAGTGAGTCAAGTCCCTGAGTCCTCTGAAGGAATATTTGGATGTAGTCTCTAATTTATTACTTTCAATGAACCTGTGGAAACAAACAAACAAATAAATAAAAAACATATTGAATGAATCCAGCTTTGGATTAGGTTATCCACTAGCCAAAACTAGAAACTGCAGGACCCAGTTGATCAGCATTTTCAATCAGGATAGATTTATCCAGTTTTAGTAATCCACTTATTTTTTGAAGATTTGGGTATTCCATCTTAGTTCTATAGCCCCCTGTAGATTATACAGGGGGCTAAAGTCAATGCAAATTGACAATTCCTTAAAGTTAATTTGTAACTTTTTTAAATGAGTGAGACTTCTGAAACAGTACATATTGAACCACTAGAGGGTGTACAATCAATACTTTGCTGCATTTTTTACTATGAAAAAAAAAAAACAACAAACCACAAAACCTCAAACTAATAACATCTCCTAGAAATCTGTTTTGTGTGTTTATATTATGCGGTCAAGCAGCTTCTTTTGATATACAGTATATAAGTTATTGAACAAAAAGAGAATCAGTAACAGTACTTAGGGAACTTACAGATACTCCAGATGTGGAAGGCCTGAGAACGCATCATCCCTTACTGTGGTGAGAGAATTGGAATTGAGAAGCCTGAAACAAAAAGTGACATTCACGGTAGTACCCTGGCTGCCAGAAGAAAACACTGTTTCATGTCCTCAGTAAACACTCGGCTTGTCACATTGTGCATTTCAAATTGTCAGTTTAGTGGCTATAAATAGAGCAAAGTCTCTAAACCCTGTTAATATCAACACATCTATTACTGCGAATGGGACTAGCTCTTAAAAGGTTATGTCCTCTGTAATAATAGCATTAATAAGCCACAAAGATAGTGCTAAAACATATAACCTTTTCTTTTTAAAGGTAAGTTGCATGTAAAAAATAACATGTATATCACACATGTAGCTTTAGGCTTTGGCTGCTCACAACAATATGCATCTTCTAGTGTGAATCACCTTGTGTGATAGGCCTTTGGCTTTATTGTGTACATTCGGCACGCCTTTGTTTTTTTTCTGTAATCTCAGCTTCCTCCATGACGAAAACCAAACTAGACTGATGTTCTTGGGTGTATGATGTATTTCATGATAGTACGCTTACATCTTATGACTCAACTAATAGTTTTAAAGTATCTAGGCCTTGAATCAAACCTTCCTGCTAACAAAAAAGTAGTTTAGATGAAGTAGTAAGATGCAAGAAAACAGCCTTATATAAAATATACTTTTACTCCAACAGAACATACAAACTTTGTGTCCCTGTTGAGTGTTTTCTGATTTTGATCAAATTAGACCACAACAATTAAAGGATATATTCAAATGACAAAGTTCATATGGTATTGAAATGAAACAAATTCGCCATAGGGTTAAGTCAATCTTGCCACACAGTACAGAGGAATGACATGCATTTGAAGCACTCTTACAGTAGCTGGAGGGATGGCATGTGAGCAAACATTGCCTCTTTGACCTCAGAAAAAGTCCCATTGACGATACTCCTGGAAGGAAGAAGCAAAAATTATAAACACGAAGCAACCAAGAGCGATTGACATACAAAAAGTGATCAATCAGAGGAGCTTGGGTGCATTGCCTGGCAACATCACCTCTCATTAAGATGGTGTCCATGTTAAATCTAGTCAGAGATAGCTGTATTTCAACTTAAAAAGCCATATATTGTTGCATATTACACATGCAAGCATTGCCCGAGCGAAAACATCTTATACTGGAGAGATACTCACAAAGAACTGACGTCGTTGGGGGTAATCCTTGGGACATAGGAGGACCCGACGCAAATGATAGACTCCCTGGAGCAGCTGCATGTTGAAGGACATCGGAAAGGCTTCTTCAAATGAGCCGGTTGGGATAGGAAGCAGAGCCATAGAGATAACAACGTCCAAATCTTGAGAGTTGGCAGCATCTTTCTTGCCGGGCTTGCATGTGTGAGCCTTACTGAGAGCGCAGATCGAGGCAGATGGCAGCACGCGTTTCCACCCTGCACCATGAAATGCTGCACTGGCTCTCCCTGACATCAGCAAATCAGCTGCAGCTCCCCTCCGTCCGCTTTCATTATTTATTAAGTCACGGCTCCGCGCGGAGAACTGTTGGTTAAACAACCACGCCGCGCGCAACGACACAAATACGCATTTTCTGCAGCTTGCGCCACAGACGATCGAGTAACCTTTTTACTTGACAATTACGCAATGAAAAAAAATGCAAACGAAGGTATTTTGGAATAAACACTGCAATCAACGCCATGTAGAAACATTTTCTATCCAGTTGCAGCATGTTTGGATTTCCAACAACAAAAGTGCAAATAGCCTAACGTCAATTAGATGTTGCCTATCACAGATTATATTCTGTATCATTCAATTCTGACAGTCTCTATATTAGAGTCAAAGGTCTCTATGAAGTCACCTCGTTAGTCTGAGTTGATATATTGTTGCATTGGACAGTTTTACATACAGTAAGCTATACAGGCCCCCCTCCTCCAACTCTCAAGATGCAGCACCACGGACAGCGCCTCTGCGCTCAACCAACACAGTTTCAGCGATACATCCAATAATGGAGATCTTGAGAACGTACATCAGGCCAAGATCAGAGGTCATGTGCATCAAGATCAGGTTAAGGATAGTATTAGACTTCTTGAAACTACATCCTAACCTTTAACATTGCTTGGATGGGAGGGGATGGTAACCCTTTCTTTTACGGTACACTTATTACCAGGTAATTACATGGTAACAACATGAAATTATCTGGTAATTACATGATAACTACTAAGTCAATACTGTCTAGTTTTTCTTTTTTTCTTTTTTCTGTGCAGCTCCATTTCGAAAGCTATTTGGGGCTCTTATTTTCTATGATTGACACTTGATACAGCCTATGGGCATGTGAAGATTGCGTAGCGATACGCTGTTTGAGCTGAGCATTATCACAGCAACTCACCCGCCGAATGCGTACAATGCTACTGCACAAGTGGTGGTTCCAGGAAGCGGAGAAAATCCTGGAAATACCAGAGCAATTCGGCTTCAAATTTGTATGATGATGGAAGGTTACCTACCTGGTAGCTAGACAGTATTGACTTAGTAGTTATTATGTAATTACCAGACAATTTCATCTTGTTACTAGGTAACTACCTGTTACTTACCTGGTAATAAGTGTACCGTAAAAGCAAGCGTTACAGAGGGGATTTAACTAGAGGAGCGACATATCAGTCTTTCATAGAAGTCATAACTAACAAACCAGCCCCCATACTGAATATCACTCACTGATTGGATGGTGCAGTGGCACAAACTCAATTGAAACTTGAGTCCAAGAGTTGAATAACAGAGGAAAATCAACCTTTGAAGGGATACTTTGGAGAGCCTTGAAGAAGAGATAAGTCAAAACACACAAAGGCTTCTTAGCAGCTGGTATGTGATCAAGAAAATGTTCGATGTAAAACCTGACAAACATCATGACAAGTCACAGTGTGGCCTCAAATACTCTTGAGAAACAGAGTAGGGTTAATACAACCCCCATTACCAAAAAGTCAAGATATTGACTAGATCTGCAGGAATTACAACAGCAATGCTCCAGCTTTTATGTCCACAGACTCTCTCTCTCCAGTTTCTGCTGTTGTCTCTACATTATCTACCACAATATCGCCAACAGGTTAGTCCCTATGAGCCAGACGGGTATGACATCCCTACTGGAACTGTTGTTGGTCAACTTCAGCCCTGTGTCTGGCTGTCTCTTAATACCTGGCAGTTTGTGCCACTGTAGACCTCCATAATCTCTGAAGTCTAGCCGACAGCTGCTGAGAGCTCAGAGTGAGCAGCCATTTGTCATCCAGGAACATCCCTGGGGTACTTGGATTCATGATTGAGTGCATTGCGTGCAGATTCAGGGAGAGTATTTTTAAAAGGCAGTCTATTCTGGTGAGGAGAGATGATGGTAAACAATCATAAAGGGGGGATTTTTGGGGAGGACAAAAGGCTGCGAGCATCTTTTAAAATTCCAAGATTGTAGAATATGGGAAAGTAACACACAACTTGTGCAAGTTTTTCATTGCCAGACCTCTTTCTGATTTATACACTGCAGCAGATCAATCAATAGAAGGTGGGAGAAGGGCCTTTGAAAGCTGGCCGATCCACAAAGAGTGGGTCTGGCTTCCTTTGTCAAGTAGGAACTTTGCAAATTCAGCAAAACACAGGAAAGCTTTGCAAACTGGTGACATCTGTAAACACATTTTTTTGACTTCTCACCCCAGGGAAAAAAATTTGCTCGACAGTTCTGCTCATAACAACAGCAGAGTTTATGCATGATACGAACAATCAGCAAGTCCAATCACACAGCTGATGAGTTTTGATCTGAACTGAGAAAAACACCAAAATTGAGGAGAAAAGCTTCACATAAACGCCTCCCTTTCTCTTTTTTCATTGCATTTTGTTAATGGTTCAGTATAGCTGAACTGTCGGAACTGTAAAAGCGCGCTGACGCAGCAACCATATCTGTTCCGACTCCAGCCCAGTTTCAAAAGGCTGCTGTGTGGGTTGGATTCAGACTGAGCTGCAGTGAAAAAGCGTGCATGCGCTGAGTGTATACATCCCATCCACACCTGGGCCTTGCACATTTGCACACCACTGTTTCACATCCACAACATGCAGCAGCAGCTTCTTCACATGCCTGGAGCTTTAAAAGAAGAGTCTGTCTCAGTAATTTGCAGCAGATAAAAAGGGAGGGAAGGAGGAGAACTTTGGCTGGGCAGTATAGAAATATAGATTAGTCATCAGTCAGTGAGGCTTGAGTTAGAGTCTATTTTTGTGCCTCAGGGTATGAGCTGCTCTGCTTCCTAATGACTGAAAGAAAAGAACAGACAAGGGAATATCTAACATGTAAGAAAACCTCTAGAATGTGCAAACATGGAGGAGACCTGTCTTATTAAAGATTGAGGCTTTGACTGAATCCCAAATACATCTCCAGCTGCGTAAAAGAAAAACACTTACGCATATTTCTCTTAAATTGTTAATGCTAATGCACAGCAGGTTCTCACAGTGTGCATTTCCTTTACCAAACACAGGAATCATCTATGTGTAGTAGGCGTCATTGATTATTTCATCCTTGCCATGTGTTTCAGAGCCTGAAAGTAAATGTCCGATAGAGTGGGAGTTAATGGCTCGGCGTCATTGGTATCGCATTACAACACACTGCAGAAGACATGGTACAACATTCAACATCATAAAGCTGTACTCCTCTCTAGATCGATAAGTAAAACGCTAATGTATTCCCAAAACACGGGTCTCACTGGCTAATTTATAGTAGATCCCACCCATAATGGCACTCCGGAGGATTTAGATGGCTTTACTTAAGAAAAATGACAAACAGAAAGTAAAGGCCAGTGCAAATTATAGATCCTCAATCTGTACTGAGTCCAAGGGTCTTGATAAAGGAAGGAATCATCAGCATATACAGACAGGAATAAAACTGCACTTTGGTCTAACTCGTGATTTCTCATATATTTCTTCTTTGCCTATAAAAGCGTCTTTAATCTTGCTCAGTTACTTCCCCGGCTCCATCCTCCTGACATGATGGAAGTACTTCAGAGCTACTTTTTGTCGCATTTCCCTCTTTCTTCAAAGTCTTTAGGCATTTGTCCAGCCTTTTCATGCACAGTGTCACATCATCTCGAGTGATTCCCACAGCTGAAGCCGCGTTCAGGTACGGACAGGGGTACGCCTCTGAGTGTGACATGAAGCCACGGAAGGTGTGTCCACTTATGGTCTGCTCCTTGCCGAGTGGTATTACCCTGGAAAGGAGAGTGTCGAGAATTGATTATGGTTCAGCAACGAGGGAAACAACTGCAATACATTATATAATATCACTACAATGATCTGGTTAGAGCTAGAGCGACTGATTCAGTTAAAGCTCCTGTGAGTAATTTTCAACTTGTGCCAACTTTGGCACCTCCTGTAGACGAAGCAGTATTATCTGTCTTGTTTGAATCGTGTCTTCTAATAAAATATCTCATCGTGCTGACTTTTGACTGTCAACTTTATCCCTGATTGTAAATATTTTGTATGGCAAGTGTAAAAACAGAGCCTGACACCTACCCCCTCATGAATTGAATGTGAATTTCACTGACATAAACAACTCCTCACAGGAGCTTTAATGTTTCAGTAAAATAATGAGTCTTTATTCAAAGCAGAGAAGACATTTCATTTATTTTAAGCATCTACTGTTTGTATTTATCACTTAAAGCTCCAGTGGGAAGTTTTGATCTGGTTTTGAAACAGACTCAAAATAACAGTAATGCCTCTTAACAACCCACAACACAATCAAGGTGATCCACAAAACAACCAGATTTCCATATTTTAACATTTTCAATGCCTGTAACTGCTGCCAAAAGGTAGGTGTCTGACTGTAGGGTTTTTAAGCACACTTGTTTCTGCAGCAAATAATAATTAGAGATATATCTGACTCACTTATGTACAGAAAAGCTCAGCAAAGACCGAAGAAGAGCTTTAATATAGCATAAAAGGATAATAAAGTAGAAAATTCACCACCATTGTGCGCTTCCATCACCATAAACCTTAACAGGTGTGCAAACTTTCAAACCGTACTTACACAAAGTCTTTATAGATGATCCTTCTCTGGTTACGCTTTCTGTCAGTAAGTTCCTTTTTCTGACTTTGTTTATGGTCCGTATGATTTCTTAAGAAACTATCAGGGTTTTGAACGGCTTTGTTTTCATTTACTTCTTCAGTGATAAGCTTCTCAACTTGTTTTTCTTCTTGAATTTGCATGCAGTGTTTTATTTTAAAAGAGGAAAAAGATCCCCACAGCTAGAGATATATATATCGAGGGCAGTGTGATCAAATCAAAGCAGTGAAGGTGTAGGCTTGAAAACTGAAATAATGGGCTAAAAGATTCTACAGGTGAATGAAGAAGGAAGTACAACTGAGAACTCTGCAGGTTTCTGTATGGACGACTGGATAACTTCCCAAGAGTGAAGTAACAAATAATGCCGCTCCTCCAAATGAGTATACTCAGTTGGAGGAGCGTCATTATCTTTTAGGGACCGGATATGACATATACATACAGGTCATAAACCCGGCCTTCTCCACATGCAAAGCTGCTTGTTATCTGTACACTTAGCGCATACATTAGCAAGCTAAAAGGATGCAGTGTTAAAACCCTTCTGTACACACTCTCGTTTTGTTCTTCAGCTTCACTTTTATACCACAGGAAGATCTCAGAATTCATATAAAAAAGCTGAAACTGAAGAGATCACACAGCGCTGTGTATTAATGCGGCAATTTCTGTGTTTTCAGAGGTGGATGGTGGACGCATGAAAAGACAAGCAGCAAAATATTTTGAACTGTGGGTGGTTTCAAGTCTGCAACGCTGTAAACAACACTGAAATTTGGCAGGGTTTCACCTCTGTCAGCACAACTTAGACTCACTTTAATGTGAAATCAATTACTGGCTATGAGTATGAGAAAGAGCATTAGGAGAGAAATGCACTGTAAAAGGATGAAGATCTGTTAATCTGCTCTGCTTGATAAGACAGTAAGTCACTCTTATTGTGGGAAAAGGTTGCCTCGTACTCAGGTTGTAAGATAAGTGTGTGTTACTGAAGCATAAACATATGATATCCATGGATCTAATTGTATACACTGCTGAGGTAGCTCAATTTTGACAATGAACAAAATGTTTGAGACAAAAATCAAGAGAAAGGAGAAAAAAAAAAAAAGGAATATCTTTACGCTTTCAAGGTGCAATTGAGCCACGAGTGCATTCAAATCTGAATAAAACAAATCAGACACAACAGAATGACCCAAATAAATCATTCAGCTGGGATATTTGAAATATTTAGTTGGGCTGAATGTTTGGTCAAAAACCACTGGAGGGAAAAATGGGAAAAAAAAAAAAAAAAAGCACCCACAGACAAGCATTCGGGATCAGGATTTGCTGAAATCCTGATCCGGAACGCTAAGAGAGTAAAAAACAACCACGTTGTTGGATGAGACCATGCTGTCACAGCAGACATGGCATCACTCTGTGTATTCTAATGGAGACATCCAGATAAATAAGGAGACGTCCCCGATAGGACAGGCAGTCTAATCAACTAGAGTAGTTCCCGCTCTGCCATATTCAGCAGATCCATCAGGCTGATTGCTGACTCTCAGTGGCCATTCTGTTCGGACGTACGCAGCTCATCCTTTCATTTCTAAAGGACAAAGACAACCTCTTTTTCTCCTCTTACTTTACCAACAAGCTGACTCACTCACACCTCCGCACCCTCTTGTTTTCTCTTTCCAAGTTTTTCATACCTGGCTCCCGACACTTGCCGGGTGAACAACATGGAGCCCAGCTGAGTCACAGCCTTGTCACTCTCAGCCTGGAGACCATCCAGAGACATGGCTGGGGGAAAAGGAAGGCCATGCCAAGGACACATAATTATTACTCATACGTCTGAGACATAAAAATTTTTACTTTCAGACAAAAGATACTCATAATATTCACAGGCTTTGTGCATTGAGCTTACCCAGTGAAATGGGGTTATGTGGGGTGTGAAGCAATCTTTCCCCATGTGCAGAAGCCAGACTCTTCAGCTCCTGAGCCAGCAACAAATAAATCTCCTGCAAGACATGCAGACACAGAGAAACGGAATGGGGAGACAGAACTAGAGGAAGTGGGGGCCATATGATAGAGCTAAAAATAGACACACAATTCTCCTTTCAGATTCTGCCACAGTCTTATTTTAGCAGCAGCAGCAGTAGCAACCGTGGTTTTCATTGCTAATCAGGCGAATCTATCCGCAAGCGAACCCTCCCATCCCCCTCTTTCTGCTCTCCCCATGTCGAGCGTGTTTCCCTCCAAGCTTAAGCACAAGTATCCACTCGTCTACCTCAGGGATCAATTAGAGAAGCAGAAGAGGAGGAAGACATGCTCTTATCTTAAGATTTAAAACATCTGTGTGTTGAAATTTGCTGACAAAGTGTGTTTAGTTCAGAGTCTTAAAGCAGAGAGTGCACCTAAAAGCAAGGGCCTCGGCATCAATGCTTTGATACCAGGCCTTTGCTGCAAAACTACAACTTTAATACCACAAGAGTTTGAATATTTGTGGGAAATGTTCTTGAGGACAGATTTGCAGATCAGCGCAAAATAGATATTGTCATCTTCTTGATGTGTCATACAAGGTTTTCAATGAAAAAGGTACCCAGCACAGCAGCATATACCACTTAATAGAGGTGGGAATCACCAGTGGCCCCACAATATGATATTATCCTCATACTTGGGCCATGATACAATATTATCACGACATTTGGTCCACATTACGATATCATCATGATACTTGGGGCACGATACGATATTATCACAATACTTGGGCCATGATATGATATCATCACAATACTTGGGCCACAATACGATATTATCACGATACAATATTGTCACGATACTTGAGCCACGATACAATATTGTTGCGATTTTGAACATTTTGCAATTTACACAATTTTTCCAACTGTTGCTAATTTAGCATTTGGCTTTCCTTTATGTTTGTCTTATTAACGCTGCATTTTATTTTCATGTAGCACATCTTACAAACTTTATGTATATTTGTTGTACTAACTTTCTCCTGCTCTATAATGTCACCTCTGCCAACCTCACTGGACAAATGGTTGATTCTATTTTTCCATCATCATAGATTTGACTTCATATTAGCAATTTATTTAACAAATCAATACTTGGTAAATGAGATGATATGATGTATTACTAGTCAAAATATAGCAATACTATGCTGTATCGATATTTCTCTCACCCCTACCACTTAAATACCTGTAGATATAGCTCTGCATTTATAGTGACTTCCAAAATATGAAAGCCATCGATACCACGCTATCATATTCATCCCTATACTAACAAAAGGAGTCAACTTTTGAGCTGTGCTCGAATTAAAAACAGAGACATCCCTTTACTCATCCATGGTTTCCAAAAGGAGAGAAGACACTGGTGTTGCTTGTGGTTTCTTCTTTTAACCTGCATTTCTAGATCAGCAACAAACTGTGTTTACAGTTAATGGTCTCTAGATATTATCTTAGCCCACGCAGTGATTTCCACTTCAGAGTAACGCCTGTCATGTGACTGGCTAGTCGTTGAAAGATTTTCCTGCAGTTGTTTTTATTCCACAACTTTTCCAGTGTTTTGATGTTCATGCCCAAGCTGCTGGATAGCCCCCCCCACTGTACAATCACACACTCCAGGATCTGCTCTCTGCAACAGTGGGAGTGTGTCAGCGTATACTCTGCTGACTCATACTTTCCTAATTTGAAAACATCTCAAAAGGGATAATGTTTTTCTTCTTTCCATCATGAGTCAAACACAAACAGCCTTACAATGATGTCACCAACTGTCCCTTGTTCTCTAATAACAATGGGTGACTTCTTTTTCTTCAAGAGAGACAGCTGAGAGCGGCGGAGGGGGTGCTTGGCCACCATTATGCGGACAATAAGAGTGTGTGCAAGAAACCAAACACACATCATATGCTGGTCCTTTCTCAGTATGTGAGCTAAAATGGTTACACGCTGCTGTAAATGAATCCTCACAGATGAAATGTCTGAATTATTTAAAGCTTTCGACCCCTGGGGGGATGTGAGGAAATCACTCTGTTCTGCAGACATTATGGAAAACTGGTCTTTTGCATGAATTATGCATAGTTTGGACCAAAAGAATCAATAAGCAGGGATGGTGTCAGGTCATGTGAGTGGTCAGAGGAACTATCTAGCTATCTAGTTGTGTAGTTCTGCTTTGAGTTGGTTCTACACTATTGCATTTGCAGTACTGTAGTACACTGTCTAGCAAGACAAGCCGTTTTTAGGGTGAGGTGCAATTTTTTTTAATCACAAATTGTATTTTACTCAACTGAAACACCAAGAAATAAGATTTAGCTTATCTTCTTTGTAGAAAAAAATACCCAAAGGACATTTTTTCTGAGTCTTGATGTCTAAGCATCAGTGGTACCAGCTGTACTCAAGCACATAAACAGTACATCTTCACTACAGCAGTTGTGAGGTGTGAGAATGCTGCAGTGCCGAGCATTTGAAGAGGGGTACTGCTGCATTGTGAGCAACTCGGCTTTAAAAGCAGAGAGCCACCAGGGGAGGTTTTTCTGAAACTTCTGGATCAATTTTATCTCGCTATAGCATACTCCCCTCTCCAACAGAGCGCATGTCTCAGTCAGAATGCAGGTAAACAAAGAGCTGTACACACGCAGGCGTGACATGTGACGCACTGCAATTCAATACTACTTATGTAAGCTGGGTTTTTTGGGCTTCAGGGGAACAATGTGAATGCAGCATGCTTAAAGACACATTCAGACCGACATTTCTGCAGAATGTCTTATGCATTAATATTGAATTTTATTACGTGATGTGTGAGGGTTCTCACCTTTCTCTCAGACAGAAGTTTCTTGTAGCCACTGGCGCCCAGAGAGAGAAGGGTAATGAGGACGTCAAGGGAAGGTGAGGCTGAAGCTCGACCTGGACAGAGAGGTGAAAAGGTGACTCTGCTGAGCAGAAACAGAGATGAGTGCAAAACTTTAGACTGTTACTCATGACACCTCCTTTTTATAGACTTCCTCACAGGAATTACAGGAACTACTGTCCTAACTAGGGCCAGGTGAGACCCAGTTCATTCACAATAATACACCTTGCCTGCTTTTCAGCTAGTTAGTGTACAGCAATCTCCCAGTTGACCTATTACTGCCCATCATACACCAAAACAATCGACAAACAATTCAACAAGAGGCTAAATACATCGTTTTATACTATAGATGTCAAAACACAACTGGAATTTCCATAAAAAACAGCACAAAACTGCATTAATCTAAATATCCAAACATGATCTCAAACACCATAAGGATCATAAGGATGAAATACTCTTGTTTTGGCCACATTTGATCAAAACAAGGGGTTAAAAGCTGTTTTCTGGAATCAATCAGTATTTTCTTTGGTAGATAAACTAGTGAGTATAAATAACAAAAACAGTACCATGCTATTATTTGGAACAGTTTGTCAACAAAAGCTGTAGATTTCAGGTTAGAGACTCAATACTGAACTTTTTTTCATATGCTTAAAGAACAAATAATGTCATATGTCAGTGATGTTTAATCTCTAGTCTTCGGATCATTACACCACACACATACACTGATGATGCTATGTGAAGCACCACCAGTTCACCATCACCTAGACCAGTTGTAATACCCACAGACTAATTGTAGGGCAGAATAGATTAAGGCTGTCCTCATTAGCGCATTAAAAGTGATTAAGGTCTGAAATTATTAAGTTTTCTTCCTTTAATTATGTGCTATTTGTCCTTTTTAGCACACCATAGTGAGGCCACAGCAGCTTTGTCCTGCTGCTGTGATGATGAAATACAATACCGCTGTGCTGCGATACAGCACAGCTGAAAGGTCGAAGGTAATATGCACTTTGTGTGAAAGGGAAATAAAATCTCACTGATGTACTTTGAGTTTGAATAACTACCACTGAGCTGAACATACAGGTGCAGCAAATTTACCTCATTGTGGCATAAGTGGATTCTAAGAATGCTAACAGCTATAGGCATCTTATTATCAGCGCAGGGAGACGCAATAATTATATACAAAAGTTACTTTAAGAAAACAGATGCTCTTGTATGCAAACAAACTGAGAATGTAGTAGCAAAAGTACACACCTACACAGCTGTGACTATAATAATACCCCCGTGATACCATTATTGTACTTAGTCCAGATATAAGGCTGTTTGTTATTTCTTACCTGGGTACATCTTGCTGATCTCCTGTATAAAGGATTCATCAAAACCTGCGATTATGGCGCCACCTACTGGAACCATGAAGTTCTTGTCCAAGCTCTGTACAAAGGCATCAATTCTTCCTACCCGAGCCCCCTGATTAACAAAAAAGGGACAGGGAAAATATAAGAATTCTACATTTTACAATTCTCTCCATTTATAACAGACAAGTAATGACTATGCTTGTATAACAATAACAGGAATACAAATATGGGATGTTTACCTGTTGTATAAGGTGCATACATTTGGATGACTGTACTCCATAGGCGTTGTTAACTATATGTGGAATATCATATTTGGCACACACAGTAGCCAGCTCCTCAAGCCTGCAAGACAATTGGAAATAATGATTTCACACTTGGTACAACTTTTAATTGTATTAAATCAACTACCCTGACATCCAGAAAAGCCTGAAGAGTGGGGGGGTTGTTTTTATTTTACCTGTCGGGGACCCGTGGGGCAAAACAGGATGTTGTTGAGTGCACACACAGGATGCTCTCGGCTCCCAGCTCTAAAATTTTGCGCTCAACTGCCTCCAAGTCTGTCCGCAACTCATCGCCCTCCAGAACATTTTCCACCACCACTGGTTCAAAACCTTAGAAAATAGTCACACAAACAGAAGAAAATCACCTGTTATCGCAAGATTAGTAATGTACAACAAAGACAGCTAACAATTGCAAAGGTATGTATTTTTGAGTGTTAAAAAGTGATGCAAAGAAAAATAAAAAAATCACTGTCAGGATATTTTTCAAAGAAATTGAAAAACACATAAGGGCGAAAGGATCTTTCTTACCTGCTGTGATCATGGATTTGAAACAGGATTTCTGGTCGATGCGAGGCCAAATGATGTAGCGAGCCTTGGGTCTCCGGTGACGAAGGGTCAGGAAGCACAAAGTCAAACTCATTCCCGTCGCCATGGGAACTACAAAGCAGCTCGCCACACTCCTGACACCTTTTTTCCAGAGAAAGCAACAACAGAGGTTCCACCATTTGAAGGAACAACAGAAGAAAACAACTTTGATCTGATTTAAAGGGACATTTCACTGATTTTACACATAAAGCCCACTTCTCAAGATGTTTTCCTGCTTGAGGAAGTTTCTGACATGAGTATCAGAGGCTTGAGATTACATTTTCAGGGGAACTTGATAACCCAGATCTGCACCCAGATCCATCCATGGGTCTCAAAGTCAGGACACAGTTGAAATAGTCAGGATTCTGATTTATTTGCAAATTGCTGAGGTTTTTATTTTTTATCAACAGCCCACCCTCTTTTTAACACCTTAAACCTCACCCCACAAAATCCCTGAATGTTTTCATACTAAGTTCATAACAACAGGATAGGCATACCTGAGAGCTTTAAGATGTCCAATACGACTGAATTCGTGAGCTTGTTGAGCAGACTGGATCCTGCAGCTTTGGGCTGAATCGCAGCAATGTCACCAGATCGACCTATACCATGAATCAACCTACACAAAAGAGCCCAACATCACAGCAGGAACATTTCTCGTGGCTTGGTAACATCATGTTATGTGACACAATGTGAGCTTAACAAGTCAGTGCTGTACCTGTAATGTCTCCTCGCCACAAGACTGGACGCCACCCTGCCTTCCCTCTCTCCCACGCCACAGTTTCCAAGGAAGTTATTGCTGTCCATCACAGCCAGCTCATTCAAGAAGAGTTCTATGGTGCTCTCGCTCCACCCTTCCTCCGGACACTTTCCCTGCAACATACACAGCATGATGAAAAAAATTGAAGAATCTGCAGTAACGCAAAGAAGGCAGCTGTGGACCTTACCTGCTCCAGTAGGCGTCTGATGAGCTGCTCATGGCTTCGGCGTGCCTGGCTGCCCTGTCGGATGTAGGAGGGGGAAACTATCCTCTCACTCAGGTTGAAGTTTTCACTGTTCATCTCTGTCAAACAAACAGCCTCATTGTGTTAATTTCAGCTGCATGTTCTGGGAATGATCTGAACAGATATATACCTTTATTGTTTTAATATTGTGAGTTTTTTTTTTTTTTTTTTAATTTATTTATGTGGGGGTGGGGGTGGCACATGGCCTGTAACTAGGGTGTAAAAGGAGTAAATCAAAGTTTCCCTGTGCAGACCAAAACTATGAAAGGAAATAACTACTTTGCTGAATTTTCTAGTGAGGACAGTTTTCTTAATTCGTAGTCTTCTTAAGAATCACAGGCCTTTTTAACAAGAGGTAGTAGCAGGCAATGTTTCTCAGTTTAAAACGTGACTTTGAGACTTTGAGCTCTCAGTCTGCTGCTTTCATTGACACATGCTTATATTCACAGATAGGAGTCAGCTGAAAGGACCGTACTGTTTCAACCAAAGTGACAGTCATTGTATCGTCTTACCTTACAGCTTTTCTGTGAGAGTCAATCTGTTTCGGCCCGTGAAACAGCGTCCACGCTCTCCACAGGAGTGAAAACAAGCAGGAAGAGGAGGAAGCGTGTAAGTGGTGCACTGAACGCGCTACGTCACGGAGTCACATGACCGAAAAGAACTGATCATGTGACCGGTATTATGCTCACACAACATTAGTTTACAAATCACTATGTATTTCCCACTGTATTGAAATATCGCTCTTTTCCAGATAATCTAAAATATTTTCTAAAATTTCATAATTTTTCAAATACAGTCATATTGTAAGTCGTGACAAAAAACATTTGATTTCACGTCTTTTATTTTTTAAATCAGAGTTGTATCATGCTTTTGAATTTTCAAGTGTTATTTTATAGTACACGTCAATCTGCTTGCATTTTAATTTGACATATTCTAAAGATGATTAAATCCTAAAATTAAGAAACATACAAGACTGGCATGACTTTTATTTATTTATTTTTTTTAAATCAGTCAATTACAATAATTTGCAAAATTAGTTTAACCTGAGGAAGACTGCTAACATTATGACTAGCATTTATTTGCTATGGGTGTAGCTTCACATTACATTTGCTGAGGAAGTTTAAAAATCACAAATGTTTCTTGAAGTAGACAAAATTGAAGTGAACTATGGACAAATAAAAGTCATATTCTAAAAATGTTATCATATATTTACACAGGAGTTATTGGCTATTAGTTGAACTTTGCCTTTTATAATTTGTTTATTTTTTGTTTACTTTTTTGAGTCTTGCTTTTTTTGTGAACTGTCACACCGGACGAAACTTAATTAAATTTTGTTCATATGATTTTAATTTCTTTTTATTTCATTGTGTATGATCTTTAAACCTATAGTTAGTGCTAAATGAGTGCTGATGGTCTACTGTTCAAAGTGTAGCACTGTGTGGTTTTATGGTTCATATACAGTAACGTGAAATGTGTGTGTGTGTGTGTGTGTGTGTGTGTTTGTGTGTGCGTGTGTGTGTGTGTGAGAGAGAGAGAGAGAGAGAGAGAGAGAGAGAGAGAGAGAGAGAGAGGGATTGTATGTGTGTGTGTTTCTTCTTTTTTCAGTATGTTGTTGCCCTTGTCTGTTTTATAGTCTTCTAAGTCTGGCCTTAGCAACTTTTAGGTGAATGACATACTGAAAAAATTATCCCCTTCTTACTGGTATTGCAGCATCAGAAAATTAAAGCAAAAATTATGCTGAATTATTTATTGAAGTTTAGTTTGTAATTTGTATTTTTGTGTTTTTTTATTTCATTTTAATTAGTTATTTAAAAAAATTTAAAATTATAATTTCAAAAATGTAAAATTGTACAATAAAAATATATGCTAACGTATATTGGTTCCACATTTAAAATATTGTATCGAGTAAAAGTACACAACTTTCAAACTTTTTTTAAAAACCTTTGGGTGTATCGCAGTACAATGAACATGAAACATCAACCATTTGTAAAGGAGCGTCCAGCTTCTATGATGAACTACAATGCTTAAAATACTCAGGGTTACTTTCTAAAACTAAGCTAGACTTGGCTCAGGGGTATCTTGAACATGTATTTTCACTGAAGAAAATGTAATGCAATCTCAGTTTGAGTAATCTAAAATAATTTGCTAAAATTAAAGGTAAACGACTAAACAGAAACATTACTGACTTATGTTTATTTACACAGGTTTTTAACCTTATAATACATTTAGGCATGGGAAAATTATATCACTGTGAACGGATTGACATGTAAATTCATTTATCTCTTTTTTAAACATTGCATAGACAGGGGAAAGACCACACATTTGATGGGGTCTCTTTTAAAAATGAATATCTAAACTTGTATCCCACTGTGACCAACACTACAAATAAAGTCACAGGCAAAGAAGTGATTGTTGAAAAAGAAATTCCATCATTTAAAAAAAATAAGATACTTCAGACCCTTTAATCCTTTAGAAAGTTGATCCCACATATATTTTTGAGCACACAGTTAAACCAGATCACAACAAAATACATAATGCATTTCACTGAAGATTCTGCATTTGAATTCTGTAATTCCCAGGGGTGACTTCATAAAATCATAAAATCCAGATGGGTTTTTTCGCTGCAAGGGGGAGAGAAAGATGGCAATTTGATGGCATAGCAGGGCTTTAAACACAACAGCTATGCCAACATCTTGCCTTCCTTCCTGGACCCATGTTCACCAAGAGATGAGTTATAACAATCCATTCTTAAAACGAGATCCATCTTCAGCTTAATCCGGGAGAGCTAGGATAGAGATTATACACACACCACAAACAAATCAACGTATATTAAATGCGTAGTGACTGACACAAACGCACGGAACTCCAAAGGGTTATGCGTAAAGGCGCATGGATGAGTTCCAAAAGATGGTTCTCCCTCGATGAAACAAGTATAAAAGTGACAAAATAATGAAATTCGTTGGATTTTAGTCAAATAGTTGTAGATCTGTTTCCTCTTGTCCACATCTGCCCTATTTCTTCATCCTCACGCCTACCTGTTAAGGTGTGTGAACCAACTACTCCCATATCCAGCTCTGTCTCGGTCGTTGTCCCAGATCCATATGTGTCCTCACATCAGGCGTCAGCAGAATTAAAAAGTAGGCCGAGGGTGGAAGTCTGTCTTCCGCCGCCCACTTTTGTGGCAGTGAGGCAGTGTCAGTGCGTGGCTATCAGGGGTTACGGTGCGGTAGGTGTGTTCAGGGGTTGGGCGCATGACGAGGAATCTCAAACGGCCTAATTAAGAAAGGGACACCCTCCCGAGTATGGAGAAAAAGCATCAAGACTGACGAATTTCAAGTACTTTTTGATGACTGTTTCAAGAAAAACGGTGAAAAATCGTACCAAGTTACAGTCATGGGATGTCACGTGTTCGTAGAGCACATGGCTGCTCAATACTTTCAAGTTGCGTTTTTTCCCATGTTAACTCAAATCCTTCGCAGAGACTTATTAGGTGATACCCAGAACGCCGAAGTGGTCCCAGTTTACCAGAATCTCTGACTTGCTTATCCAAACACAAAAACAAACCATGACTGAAGGCTCTTGATCATTAATGAATCACACAGAATGATTCAAAAACTGTCTGGACCAAAGAGTGGAGGGACTTCAGGACAAGAGGGTTCGCTTTATGTGCGAACTCTTACTGACCCTTGAGCCCACTGCATTCAATCAAGGTGTATAGAGAGTACACCTGAGCACTTAGTATTTAGAATACACACAAATAAAAGGTAGAAGACAGAGTATCACGTTTCTCCATCTAAAGCAGGTAAAAAGTTGTATTGATACTGCTTTTGTAGTTATGGCACCTTGCTCCTCAACTCCACCATATTAGCATACAACCCTTAATCTAAATATCACAAGTTAAGGTTCAACACTTGAGTCATGCAAAAATTGACGTGGTAGAAGTAAAATTCATGTTTTCCCCCTCGATCTTTTAAATACTGTTGACCTGTGTGGAAAACCAGTGTATGGTTTGAACCCCTTGTTATGAGTCAGATGTCTCAGCCATGAGTGGCTCCACAATGGCAACACCTCTGCTCAAAACTATTTACCAAAGTAGATGTCTCAAATCAAGACATTGGTCCTATTTCAATAAACTTGACAAATGAATTTAGCTAAGCCCATAAACTTTCTCTCTTTTTCCAAAGTTCCTGAAACAGTCGCAACTTTCCTACTTTCACTTATTTCTAAGGGAAGTGTAATCAGAAGTTGATAATGAAGGTATATTTTAATCAACATGTCAAACAAGTCTGTGGGTGGATATCATCTAGACGAATTAAAACTGAGGCATTGTCGTCTTTTTTTTAAACACTTTCACAGTCCAAACGTTAACTTTCGCACCTTTGCCAGTGATGACTCACTTCCTAAGGTGTCGACACTGACCACACCTGTCAACTCCCACAGAGCAAATACGTTAGAGCGAAAAGACAATTACAGGACCTGACCGTGTTAACGTTTCCATTACGTACAGTAACTCTTGTTTATCATGGTAACCACACTGTAAATAGAAATTGCAAGGTTGTAATCACTGTGAAGAATTTGAATTTGGCAAACACTCAAACCCATTCAATATGCAGACTCACCTTTTACGAAGACTAGAGGGAAGCGAGGTCTGACGTGGAAACGTCAGTTCAATTATGTAACTGCTTAGGAATGACAAAATCAATACTTGCTGTTAACCCAAAGAGAAAGCTTTAATAAAAAGGCGGAGACGCTTTTTAATAACTCAATAAAGTGACAAAATCACCAAACACAATACACACTCTGTAAAAACACAAGTATGATGATGACGGACTCCCAAATATTCAGGTGCCCGTGACTCTGCTGCAGGGCAAACGCTAAGGCGTGTCCTCATGTGCATTACACATAAATGAAGTGTGTCAACCTTGTTAACCTGTGAACTACTTATGAGTGTAGTTGATTTGAAATGTCATATTTTATCCTTACAAACATCAAAATGTCTGGATTTTAGATTTCTATTTTAAAATCACTTGTTGTATAACATGGTTAAAAGCCTCACTCCACAACATTTCCCAGAGCCAGTTTGCACTTCCTGACATACCTGGAGAAGTTTTAATTCCATGTACAGCACAATAAATACTCTCTTTTGCTGTATGTGATAAATCTGGTATATTTATTTCTACAGCTGATGTTAAGTTCAGCCATAACTGCTGCTGCATGTGCACAAGTTAAAAGATACAGTGTGTAAAATGGGAATTTTCATCAACAAATTGAGCTCCCTTGCTCACCCCTTCTATCAGGGAAGCACCACAAGTGGGGGTGGCCTTTGTGGACAAGAGGACTATCACATGAGGCCCCTACTAGTTTGTCTGTTCTGTGTTACATGGCAGAACATGATGGCGGCCTCTGTGGAAGGGGACTCTCCTCAATGTTGATACAAAAGACTTTTAAAAAGAACAGCCCAATTTTTGGGTAATTATACACTTATCTCATTATTCATTTCAACACTCCTGCACATTCAACAACTTGTGTGAACAAGATAAAAATCATTACTTAATAAGACTTTAGGGACTTGCTAGAAAAACATACAAACTGGTGAAAATACGAGAGGGAATACTTACAATGAAAGGAAATGAAAAAATAAAGTGTTTTAAATGATTAAACTCAAGGCTCATGTTCACACATTACAAAACCAGTTTCTTTTGCCGGCTCAGTTCAGAATGACACACCACATTTTTAAAACTCGAGGTGACACGACATGATCCTTGTTGATCAGTTGCCACGGTAATCCTAGATATTAAAAATGATATAATTAGCATAAATACTAACTGACTAAGGAACACTACAAACACAGAATACACCATATCTAAAAAATTGCTTACACAAGCTAATATTTGCTACCATTCAGGTCAATCTACACAATAAATCAGTGTGGACTTGTGCGGCTACGATCATACAACATTTCTCTCCACGTTTCAGACCAAAACTCTCTCTCAGACAGTTCTCAAGCTGAATCACAGCAAAGCCACATGTGCAGCAGTTCAAAATCAGATTAAAACAGACCCTCTTCTGAGTCACCTCATGGTTTCAAGTCCACTGAAGCCCCCTTTTTTTAAGCAGTCATGAAAAAGTTCACCACAAAACAGCAAAACATGGCAGTTTTGTGGATGACTCGCCTGTGTCTGGGATATTTTAAAACTATTCTCTCACTCTAAAGCCAAATTCTCTGCCTGAGACAAGCTCCCCGCTGCCACGCTTGTAACAGGATCAAGTGAGTGTGCAGGATTTGGCCCAGAGCTCCATCTGAGAGGGTTTTTTTCTTTTTGCTGAGTCAAATTGAAGCACACCCTGTAACAGTGAGCAGATGAAGTCACTGAGCAAAGTCTGGACAACAGTACACTGACTTGCTGAACGGGCACCCCTCGGTGCTGCTGACCTCGCCCTCAGAACCATGTGGAGTTTATTAACTGCTGGTAAATGACTTAAAAAGTGAGTCGCTCCATCGTAAAATGTTTGCTGGGAGAGGGAAAATCCCCTCCGACTCAGCCAACACGACCATTGACTCACAAATTTCAAGGGAATCTTGTCTTGCGAAGCAGACTCGGTGAATCAGTCTGCGTATATTTTCTTGATGATTACAAGTGGTTGATTGTTCCCAACAGGACTTGAATTACAATCTTGTCACTAAATATATCAGAAAAAAAAGGATATTGAATAAATTAAAATTTGTGCGGTCAGTGTCCTTTTCGCAAACAAGAAGTTTCAGTCTGTGAATAAATTCTTGTATAAAATATAATTCAGTTTTGGGCATAGGTATAAAATAGTAAAAAGCCTTAAACTTGGTATTTGTCATGTTTTAGACCATTCTCATAGGAGTTGGGAAGTTGTTTTGTAGGGCAGAGAAACACAACTATATAAAACATGCAAGCACATTGGAGGATTACAAAATCTTCACACTGGTTAAATACTTTTGATTAACAGTAAATTACTGTAAGTATGATTTTATGTTTATTTTTTAAAATCTTAACACTGGTTTCATACTTTTGATTAACAGTAAATTACTGTAAGTATGATTTCATGTTTATTTCATAAAGTCTTTACACTGGTTTCATACTTTTGATTAACAGTAAATTACTGTAAGTATGATTTCATGTTTATTTTATTATTTCTTCACACTGGTTCCATAATTTTAACAGTAAATTACTGTAAGTATGATTTTATGTTTATTTTTTAAAATCTTAACACTGGTTTCAGACTTTTAACCGTTAATCACTGTAAGTGTGATTTTATGTTTATTTCATTAAGTCTTTACACTGGTTCCATACTTTTGATAAACAGTAAATTACTGTAAGTATGATTTTATGTTTATTTTATTATTTCTTCACACTAGTTCCATACTTTTGATTAACAGTTCATTACTGTAAGTATGATTTTATGTTTATTTTTTTAAATCTTAACACTGGTTTAAGACTTTTAACAGTAAATTACTGTAAGTATGGTTTTATGTTTATTCTTTTACACTGTTTCTCAAGTTTTCTCTTCAAATCCTTTTTAAGGGCTATCATTGTCTTGTCTTAGATGAACTGTCTGTGTCTACCCGTGCCTGACTTGACTACCGTCACTTATATCCAACAGCACTAACAGCACGTCTGCTACTCATAATTCAATTGGACTTTAAGGTGTAAAGATACAAAAAGAAGTGACTCAAAAAGAAG